CCACAATGCTCTGCATCGTGTCCTGAATGAACTCGTTGAACGAGTCCAGCTGCTGCCGTACCAGCCCCTTCTCCTCGAAGTACGCGCTGATCACCGCCCACGCGTCCTCCTGCGTGATCTCCTCCTCCTCCCGCTCCCGCTCGTATTCCTCCTCATCGCCTCCCCCGTACATCGCGCCGGCTTTTTCGGCTCCTACGCGCGCGGGTGCTCCTCTATTCCAGCCTAAAGTCACCCGATTCGCTCCTGTTTTTTCCTTCAAATAACGCGGAACAAAGTCAACCCTAAATTGGTTACGATGCGTTTATCTCGGCCAATTCGGTAAGAAAAATCAGCAGACCAGCCTCTATTCGCACTGCTGTTCTTCCAATTGGCACGGTAACAGTTGACCTAAATTCGGTCAAGAAAAGCAAGCGAAAAAAGAGAGAGAAAAAGAACGTTTTGCGGCCCAGCTCTCGACAGGCGGCAGCGCAGGCAGCAATAAGAGAGGCTCACGGAGAGAGGCGCACCCACGGTGTTCCTCTGCTCTAGCCGCAGCGCACTCGTAGCACGCGCTTTCGTTACGCAGTGCCTGATAGGTCACGTGCTGCTAACGCAAACTGAAATTATGTTGCTTCCCTCGTGACTTTTATACTTGGACGGTGCCGTGCGACGTCAGTTGGAGGGAGGAGGGAGGGAGAGAAGGGAACCAACCGTTCTCGGGATTGCCGCCGAGCACAGGGATTGTCAGGAAGACGCGATCGAACGGCTGGTAGCATTAGCCCAGAAAATTATATAACTACACTTACTAGCCATCTTCTTATCCTTCCCAGACAGGGCAATGCACCAAAAGCAAGCATGTACTTCTTTTCCAGGCTCATGACCGATGCAACACCCCACCACCTCAAGACTGCTTCAGGCTCCTCAAATGAAGAGGGAAAAAACAAATTAATGTTCTAAATTCACAAAACAAAAATGAAGTTCTACACCAGAAATTGATAAGGAAGCATAAGGTCCAATGCCAGCAAGGAGAAGACCCCACAGCGTAACAGGAGGGGGGCGCGGAAAGCAGCGCAGCAAATGCGCCTGACCACGCATGAAACAGCAAGAGAGGAACAGCGCACATGCAAACAACAGGAGAGTCGTCCGAAGCTCTTCCTTGCGCATCTCATCTCATCTCAACACACGCCTACCGTACCGTCCTCCCATCTGCAAACATTTCCTTGCATATCCACACAGCACTTGGTTGCATCTCCACACAGCACTTGGTTGCATCTCCACACAGCACTTGGTTGCATCTCCACACCACACACCTCCACACATCACTTCCTCTCATCATGCCATCCATTTGCCTCCGAACCACCTGGCATTGTCCCCTGTTAAGCCCGCTCCGCCTACCACTGCCCAAAAACGGCGCCCTGCTGCTACTACTTCCCTTCACTCCAGCCTCACTCATTTTGCTGCTCAAAGCTGCCAGTTTGGGTTCCTACCCATTCTCCTTCCAGAACCCATCAAAAGAGCAGCTCTAACCACCCACTCCTTGTCCTTCTTCCATCTGATTCCGCTGCTCAGAGACTTGCCCAATTTCCCCCAGTTGGTCTCAACCAAATCTGCTGTTCCATACTCCTCTGCCTACTTGCTCCCCCCCGTCTGCCGCGACCTGATTCTGCTGCTATGCCGCACCGTTGCCAGCCTAATCGCCTCCTCCCTGTCCCTCGCCTCCTGCTCTTTCAGCACTTTCATCCTCTCCCTCTCCGCCTCCTTCTCCCTCCTCTCCCTCTCCTCCCTCTCCCTCCTCACCTCCTCATCCTCCCCTTCCTCCCCTTCCACACTCCCATTCTCCACCTCTCCTACTCCTCCTCCACCCCCTCCTCCTCCATCTCCTTCTCCTCCTTCCCCTGGCGCCTTTTCAGGTGCAGCTGAGGTAACAGCACCAGTAGCCCCACCACTCGTCCTGCCAGTTCTACCTCCCCCAGATGCACCTTTCCTCCCTTTCTTCCCACCCGTGCCTTTGCCCCTGGGCGCCCTCGCCCTGCTGCGCGTTTTACCTGTTCTCCTTGCTCCTGCGGACGTCTGCGACAGTTCTGACTCGTCAGCTGTTCCTTCACCTGCCCGTGCTTCTGCCCCTTCACCTGCCCCTTCGCCCGCCTCCGAAACTTCCTGCGAGGGCCCTTCAGCAGGTTCCTGGGAAACTTCCTGCGACATCCCATTGCCTTGACTTGCATTCGCTGTAACCACACCAATTTCAGTAACAGCCACTTCAGTTGCACCCGTATGCTCCTCCTCTTTCCCTCTCTCACCACCTCCCACTCTCCCCACCTCTTCACCCCCTTCAGTCACTTCAACAACCGCATCCATCTGCTCCCCCTCACCTACGGCTCCCTCACCTACAGTTGTATTTTGAGTCGACTCAAATACACCTCACCTACAGCTCCCTCACCTACAGCAACCGCATCCATCTCCTCCCCCTCACCTGCAGTTCTAGCAACTCCCACCTCCTCCACGTCCGCTTCTACCTCTTCCATTTGAATCCCCATTTCTTGTTTCCCCTCCTTATTCTCTCCCCCACTCTCCCCCCTTCCTCCTTCCCTTGCTCCTCTCCTTTTTCCTCTCCCCCTTCCTTTCCCCCTCCTCCTCCAATCGTACCCTCCTCTTCCATGTCATCCCCACTGCGTTTTTCCTCCATCCCTTTCCCCTTGTCCTTTCTCTCTTCTCTCCCCTCTTTCATCTCCTCCTGCTTATGGTCCTCCCCTCCAATGCCCTTCTCTGATGTGTCATCCTCCCCCCTCTCACCCTTCCCCTTATCCCCCTCCACCCCACCACCCCCCTTTCCTCCTGGTTCTCCCTTCTCTCCACTCTCCCCTCCTTCTCCCTTCTCCCCACTCTCCCCCACCTCTCCCTTCTCTTCACTCTTCCCCGCTTCCACCTTCGCTCCTCCTTCTCCCCTTCCACCGCCAGCTTTCAAACCAGCAGCAACAGCATCATCAACACCAGCACCAGCCCAGCACCAGCACCATCACCATCACCATCACCATCACCATCACCATCACCATCACCAGCACCACCACCAGCACCACCAGCACCACCAGCAGCAGCACCACCACCAGCACTATCAGCACTACCAACACCTGCCGTCCTCACATCTTCGCCAGTCATCTTAGCATCACCATCTCCCTCCGTAGCATCGCCTTCTGCCATCTTAGCATTGTCTGGAGCAGCAAGAGGCAAGCTGGAAGGCTTGGACCCCTCAATAGCATCAGCAGTGGAGGCAGGAGCATTTTTTTTTGCCTTTAGCAGTAGCAGCTTTACCCGCAGCAGCTTTCGGTGCAGTAGCCTTTGCCGCAGCAGCCTTAGCAGCCGCAGTTTTAGCAGCAGCAGCCTTCCCAGCAGCAGCCTTAGCAGCAGCAGTTTCAGGAGCAGCAGCTTTAGAAGCACAAGTGGTAGCAGCAGCAGTAGCAGTAGCAGGGGCGGCGACAAGCTTGGTAGCTTTGGCAGCAAAAGAAGATGGTGCAAACAGGGCTGCTAGCCCTGTCTGTAGCACTTCCGTCTTCACCTCCTGCACCTCCTCCTGCTCCTCTTTCTGCTGCTCTTGCTCCTGCTGCTTCTGTTCCTCCTCATTCGCCTCCTGCTCCTGCTTCTCCTGCTGCTGCGCCTGCTCTTCCTCTGCTCGTTCTTCCTTGTGCCGCTGCTGCCGACCCCGCTGCTGCTTCGTGCTAGCAGCACCTCTGCCTCGTGCCTGCTTAGGAGTCCCAACACTCCGTTGCTGCTGCTGCTGCTGCTGCTGCTTTCTGCCTCTCGTCCTACCTCTAGCAACAGCAGCAGGAGCGCTACCAGCAGCAACAGTATCACCACCACCAGCACCATCACTACCACCAGCAGTACCAGTGTCAGCAGCAACAGCAGCAGCAGCGGCAGCCGGAGAAGCGGCCACAGCAACAGGGGGCCCAGAAACAGGAGGAGCAGCAGGAGCAGCAGGAGGAGCAGCAGCAGCAGCAGCAGCAGCAGTGGGAGCAGAAACAGCAGCCCTCTGACTGGAAGAAAGAGCAGAGAGAGTCATTTTCGGGAGCCGAATCACCAAACCTCTCCTTAACACTGCTCCCGTGCTGCCAGCAGACTCTCCCCCGACACTCCCTGCTCCCTTCCCTCCCTTCCCTCCTGAATCTTCCTTCCTGACAACCCCACCCCCATCCCCACCCGCACAAGCACCAACAACAGCATCGCCGTCCCCACCACCACCACTACCACTACCGCCTTGCTGAAGGGTATGCTCATCTCCCTGCTCCCCTTGCGTCACCATCCTATCTTCCACCACACTTGGGCCTTTCTCTTCTAACTTCTCCCCCCCAGACCCCACCCTTCGTCTCTTCACCTTTCCCGCTTCTTTTTCAGTCGACTCAAGGACCTTCCCAACTCCTCCTTCTTCTCCCCCTCCTTTGTCTGACCCTCCTCCATCTCCTTCTGCTCTCTTCACCTTTCTCAGCTTTGCGCTACAGCCTTGAGTGCCCCGGAACCCCTTAGCCCCGGCCTTCCGAGCCTGATGCTTAGGCCTGGACGCCTTCCAAGCCTGCTGCTGCGGTGGCGGCGGTATGGTGTGCGGCTGCCAGGCTGACACTTTGTCAAGTGCGCTTTCAGACGCTTTGTTAAACTCCACAACCGGCGGCGAAGCGAGATAAGCAGGAAGTGACATGCTTGCTGCCGGAACTTCACTAGAGTGAAGGAATCTGGCAGTAACGGAGAGGCTTGTACGGGGGATGGATGGTGGCGTCTTGATGGAAGGGGGCAGCGATGCGAAGAGGAGGGCAGGAGGTAAGGAGAAAAAGAGTGAGGAGGAGGAAGCAGCATTGGTGGATGAATGTGGAGGGGATGGTTGAGTGGATGGTGCGAGCCCAATACGAGACAGACATGCCTGCAGGCGTTGCCAAGGGACGGAAGGGGTGGAGGGGAGTAGGGAAGAGAGGAGAGAGGGAGGGTGGGGTGGGGATGGTGGGGTGGAGAGTGGGGAGGGAGGCAATAAGGGAAAAGCGTCAGGCAAGGGTGACGAGGAGCAATGGGGAGAGAAACGGGAAACGACGTTGGGGAAAAGGGCGTTGGGGAAAAGGGCGTTGGGGAAAAGGGCGTTGGGGAAAAGGGCGTTGGGGAAAAGGGCGTTGGGGAAAAGGGCGTTGGGGAAAAGGGCGTTGGGAAAAGGGCGTTGAGGAAAAGGGCGTTGGGGAAAAGGGCGTTGGGGAAAAGGGCGTTGGGGAAAAGGGCGTTGGGGAAAGGGCGTTGAGGAAAAGGGCGTTGGGGAAAAGGGCGTTGGGGAAAAGGGCGTTGGGGAAAAGGGCGTTGGGGAAAAGGGCGTTGGGGAAAAGGGCATTGGGGAAAAGGGCGTTGGGGAAAAGGGCGTTGGGGAAAAGGGCGTTGGGGAAAAGGGCATTGGGGAAAAGGGCGTTGGGGAAAAGGGCGTTGGGGAAAGGGCGTTGGGGAAAAGGGCGTTGGGGAAAAGGGCGTTGGGGAAAAGGGCGTTGGGGAAAAGGGCGTTGGGGAAAAGGGCGTTGGGGAAAAGGGCGTTGGGGAAAAGGGCGTTGGGGAAAAGGGCGTGGGGAAAAGGGTGTTGGGGAAAAGGGCGTTGGGGAAAAGGGTGTTGGGGAAAAGGGCGTTGGGGAAAAGGGCGTTGGGGAAAAGGGCGTTGGGGAAAAGGGTGTTGGAGCAATGTGTACACACATAGAATATAGAAAACGGGAAGGCGGGGGAGGGAGGGATGTTGGGGGAAATGGGGGGTGAACTAGAAGGGTGGAGAAGGGAGGGGGAAAAGGCGGTAGGAGAGAGAACTCGCCTCAACAGCCCTGCATGTGTTCCACCTGAGTATTCCACAGCACTAACTCCCTCAGCTGATTTTTGAGAATTCTCAAAAATCACTCACAAGGACTACTATTCCACAGCACTAACTCCCTGAGCTGACCCATGGCAAATATGAACCGTCTGAAAACTCACCCATCGACTGTTGACTCATAACAGCTTTGTGACTGTTAACTCCTCTGCCCCTGCCCTTACTGCCGCCCCCATCTAGCCTCTGAAACTGCCCTTGCTTCCACACCCTGAGACAACGCAAACGCGCACACTCACCTGAACCGCCATTGCAGCGTCGGCATCAACAGCTGGCAGATGGGACAATGCCGCCTCTGCCCCTGCCCCTGCTGCCACTCCACCCGCCTCTGCTGCAGCAGCGCCTCCTGTTGTCGCACGCCCAGACAGCCCAGCAGCGGCTGCAGCAGCAGAGGATGGTGCGGCAGCAGAGGGCAGAGGCCGACCCACTGCACCAGCACCAGCAGCCACAGCTCCAGCAGCAGCAGTACCAGCAGCTGTAGCAGCAGCAGCAGCAGCAGCAGCTGCTGCAGGGCTCCCCGTTGCCACAGCCCCTGCTGCCGCTGCTCCTCTTGCCCCCCTTGCTGCTCCCGCTCCCCCCCGATCCCCCCGCTCCCCCTGCTACCCCTGCCCCTGCTGCTCCCCCTCCTCCTGCACCTGTTCCCGCCGCTGCCCCTTCTTCTCCCTTCCCTGCTGCCGCTGCATGCAAACACTTAGTTAAAAGTTCCCCATGCACCAGACCAGCAGCAAGAGGTAGAGAACCCAGAAGCCTCGCCACTGCTCTCACCTCCACCTTCCTCCCTGTCACTATCTCTTTCTCTTTCTCCTCTGTAATCTCCCCCTCCTTCCCTCCTGCGCCTCCCTCCTCCTTCCCTCCACCTCCCCTTCCCAACCCACCATCCTCTCCCGTTCTCCCAGCCCCAATCCCCCCAGCCATCCTCTCTCTCTCCTCCTCTCGCCCTCCCGCCTTCCACCCACACCCATCCCCCCTAAAATCCCCCTCCCACCACCACCACACCCCCTCTCCGAACCTCCCCATCCCGCAAAAACTCCCCTCTGCCCCTTCCCTCCCCGTGCCTGTCTCCCGAGCCTACTCTATGGAGATCCCTAGGCCCTCCGAACTGCCCCACCCCTCCCATATCTCTAAGGCCTCTTCCGCCCCCAGGCATGCCTCCCCCTCCTCCCGGACCCATCAGGTTCGGCCCAAACCCAGGACCGCCCGGGCCTCTTACTCCCGGGCCTCCCATGCCTCCTGGACCTCCCATCCAGCCTCCCGGACCTCCCAGGAACGGCGATCCCGAACCTGGCATACCATCCCACATACCCCCCGGAGGAAAGATCGGTCCCCGCCCTCCCATACCACCTCCCGGACCTCTACCTCCAGGTCCAGGCATGCCTGGGTGGCCGCCGAACCTACCTCCCATGCCTGGCCCAGGCATGGGATGGTGGTGTGGTAGCACACCTGGCCCTGCAACAGAAACACCTGAAGGAACACCTGAGCCTGGCCTGGCCCTGGGCCAGCACCTGGGGCACCTGGGAGGAGGCCAGGAGAGAGGGGACCCAGGGGGGGCGTGTTCAGGTGCCCCCCAGGTGAATTTCCAGGGTGAGACCAGCGGTTTCTGCCCTGATTCGCGGGCGGCTGCTGCTGGTGTGGCGTCTGTGGTGGCTGATGTGGCACCTGCTGATGTGGCGGTTGCTTGTGAGCGATGGCAGGAGGTGGGAGAGAAGCGGGAGAGTGAGACACTTGTTCAGGCTGCTGGTGCTGCTGCTGCTGCTGCTGCTGCTGCTGCTTTTGCTCTTTCTGTCGTTGCTCAGAGTCAACGCTCTCTCTCTCCTCCTCCTCCTCTTCCTTCACCTCCTGCCCCTCCCTCTCCTCCCCACCCTCCTCCTTCACTGTTTTATCTGCCCCTATCCCCTTCGCCCCCTCATCACCCTTACCCGCTCCCCGCTTCCCTTCCCCCTTGCCCCCCTCATCCCCCTCCTCCTTCCCTTCCTCTTTCCATCCTCCCCCTCCTTCCCCTTTCCATCCGAATCTTTTTCTTGCCTCTTCTGCTGCTGCTGTTGCTGGTGCTGCTGCTGCTGCTGCTGGTGATGGGGGGTCATATTCGCCCCCATTCCACCCATTGCCCCAATGCTCGGGCCCCCACCAACCCCCATTCCTCCCCCCAAGTGCATCCCCATGCCCATATGCATGCCCATACCCATTCCCATACCCATCCCCATGCCCATGCCCATGCCAATCCCCATACCCCCACCCATGCCCATGCCCAAGCCTCCCATTCCCATGCCCATTCCCCCCATCCCAAACGCCATTCCCGGTCCCACACCCCCACCCCTGCCCATGCCCTCCGCACTCATTCCCCCCATCCCCCTCCCCCGCCCCGCCCCATCCCAAGGCCCCGCCCGTGACCCTACCATACCTCCACCAGGGGAAATACCCCCTGACATGCCCCCTCCTCCCCTCCCTGCCACGCCTTGCCCCGCCCCAGCTGACCCAGGCCCCCCACCTCCCCCCGCACTCCCCCCATCTCCTCCCCCTGCCCCCCCTGCTCCTGCTCCTCCTGCTCCACTTTCCCCGTTCCCTGCTTCTCCCTCTTTCCCTCCCCCACCTCCAGCCCCGCCCCCTGCTCCTCCGGACTCTGCTCCTCCCCCCCCGGCACTGCCACTCTCCCCAGTCCCCCCTCCCGCAGGCCCCCCTCCCCCAGTCCCCCCTCCCCCAGGACCCCCGCCCCCTGCACCTCCCATGCCCCCCTCCCCCTCTCCCCTGCCCCCCCAAGCCTGCATCCCAGCTGATAATCCCCTCCCCTCCCCCTCCCTCCATTTCCCCCCATCTTCCGCCTCCCCTTCCCCTTCCCTTCCCTCCACTTGCTGCTGTTCCATCCCCTGGTCCCTTCCCCATGCCTCCCCCCGCCCCTCCCCCCGCCCCTCCCCCTGCTCCTCCCCCGCCCCTGGTTTGAACCCCGGCCCAGGCCCCCCTCGCCCAAACCCTAATTCGCGCATATGCGCGCCTGCCCCTGGGGACCCCCCTCCGCCCGCGCCCTAGGTCCCCCAGCCCCCAGGTGCGGGGGGAAGGGCGCGCCCATCATCCCCCCGCCCCCAGGGAAGGGCGGAACCCCCGCCCCTGAACCCAGCCCCCCAGGAAAAGGCATTCCTGGGCCTGGGAACCCATGGAAAGGGGGGAAGCCGCCTGGGGGAGGCATACCCGGGGAAGGCTGACCTCCTGGCCCTACAAGCCCCTGCCCTCCCGCTCCCCCTGCCCCTGCCGCTCCCCCTCCCCCTGCTCCGCCCATTCCCCCGCCCCTCCCGCCCCTGCTCCGCCTCCTGGGCCTGGTTGCCCCCTGGGCCCGCCATTCCCCCCCATCCGGGCAAAAACCCCTGTGGCCCTCCCCCTCCGCCCCTCCATGCCTCCCCAGGGCGCAGCATCCCGCTGCCCCCTCCTTCTCCCCGCCCCATGACTCTCGGTCCGCCCATTCCCCTCCTCCCCCCGCCCCCGGGCCCCATTCCCCCCATTCCCCCCGGTCCCCCAGGCCCAGCCATCCCCCCTGCTGCTACCGCAGCAGCTGCTGCTGCCGCCGCTGCTGCGGCATTTCCGGACCTGCCAGGGGCAAGCAGGCCTTCCATACCTACGGGTAGGTTTCGGCGGCGCAGGAGAACTGAGGGTGCGTCAATACCAGGGCGGAGGGGTGGAGGAGGGGGGAGGGAAGGATCTGTGGATGCATCCCTCCCACCTCCCCCTCCCCCTCCTCCTCCTCCCCCTTCTCGACCCCCTCCCCCTCCTCCCCCTTCTCGTCCTCCTCCTCCTCCTCTTTCCCCTTCCCGTCCCCTCCTTAGCCCAGGAGCCACATCCGACCGCCCTTGCCACTCCCCTCCCCCCCTCCCCCTCCTCCCCCTCCTTCCCCCTCCCCCCTGCCACCCTGCCCCCCCTGCTCCTCCCCCTCCTCCCGCTCCCACTCCTCTCCGCCCCTCACCCACCCCCCCTGTCCCCATCAAAGCCTCCTTTCTTTCTCCCCTTCCATCTGACTCTCCCTGTCTCGATCTCGCCCCCTCTCCCTCTCGCGCTCTCGCTCCCTGCCCCTCCTCGCCTCTTCAACCACTGCTCCCTCCCCTGCCACACTCGATCCCATGACGGATCCCTCTCTTTTCGCCCTCCCCACTCTCTCCCCCCCATATTCATCCTGATACATTCCCCCCCTCTCCCTCTCCCTCCCCCCCTTCCCACTCCCTCTCCCTTTCCCTATCCCTGTCCCTCTCTCTCCTCTCCCTCTCCCTCCTCTCCCAATCCCTCCTTCCCCACTCACCCTCCCTCTCCCTCTCCCACTCTCGCTCTCGGTCCCACTCACGATCCCTCTCCCACTCTCTCTCTCGCTCCCTCTCCCTCTCCCCATCCCTTCGCACTCGTCCCTCCCTACCCGACCACCATCTGGCCTCCCTTTCCCCCCCCTCTCCCCCCTTTCCCCCTCTCCCCCCTCTCCCCTCTCTCCCCCCCCTCTCGCCCCTCTCGCCTCTCCCCCCCCTTTCCATCCTCTCCCCTCTCCCCCCCCTCTCCGCTCCTTCCGCCCTCTCACCTCTCTCTCCTCTCTCTCCTCTCTCCACCCTCTCCCCCCTCTCTCCTCTTTCCCCTCTCTCCGCCTTTCTTCCAGCACCAAAAGTTCGGCCACTCTCCAGCCGTTCCACCCTCCTTCCCCCCCTCCCCCCCTGCCCCCTCCCCCCACGGCCATACCCTTCCTCCTCCCCCTCTCCCTCCCTTTCCCCCCCCTCTTCATCCGTTTCTCTCCCTTCTTCCCCTCTCTCCTCTTCCTCCTCCTCCTCAACAGCTACCCCTCTCCTCATTCTCCTCTCCCCCTCATCCTCCCCATACCCCTCTCTCCTCCTCCTCCGCTTCCTCTTCCACTGCTCCTCATCCTCCCCCACCTCCTTGCCCCATTTCCCCCCACCCTCCCGCCCATCCGCTCCCCACTCCTCCTCACCCTCTTCCCCTTCCAGCCCTTCACCTCCCTCTCTTCTCCCTCTCTCCTCCCTATCTCTCCTACGACCTCTTACACCTCTCTCCCCTCCTTTCTCATTCTTCAACTGCTGCTGCCAAAGCTCCCCTTCTCCAATCGACCCCTCCCTTTCACCCATCTCACTCTTCTCACCCTTCTCCCCTTTCTCCCCCTTCTCCCCCTTCTCCCCCTCCTCTCCCATTCCTCCCTGCGCCCTCCCTGCCCCCCTCTTTCTGCTTCCATCACCCGCCTCTGCCCTTTCCTTAGCCTTCATAAGCAGCTGTGATTCCACAAAACCAGCGTCAGCAGCAGCAGCAGCAGCAGCAGCCACAGCAGCAGCAGCAGCAGCAGCACCACCACCACCCTTCCCTGTCCCCTCTAGTTTCAGCCCCTCATTCGCCTCATCCCCTTCGCCTCCCGTCACTCCCTCCCTCCCCGCTGCCTCTGCCTGTTCCCGCCCTTCGCTCTCTCTTCCAGGCGCCTCAAACGTGCGTCCTTGCCTTGCCTCTCGAACAACGGAAGCCTCATCCTTCCCCTCGTCCTCACCACTCTGTCCCCGCTTGATGCCTGCTCCCTCTAGCTTCAAACTCCGTCTCCCCAGGACACTAGAGTCTGCAGCAGCAGCACCAGTCACAGCAGCAACACCGCCATCAGAAGCAGCAGCATCAGCAGCAGCAGCTACGGCCAGTTGGGCAGGTACACTGGTCTCATCAACACCAGAAGGAACACCACTATCAGCAGCAGCGGCAGCGGCAGCAGCAGCAGCAGCAGCAGCACCACCACCACCCAACAACCCACTCTGTCTCTGCCTCGAGTAACTCTGATTCAAAATCGCCAGTCCCTCTCCCAGTGCTCCCCTTTCCTCTTTCGCCGCCTCCTCCTCTTCCTCTTCTTCCTCCTCCCCTCCTTCTTCCCCTTCCTCCTCCATTTCTCCTGCACCTTTCCCTTGAGCCCTTTCCACGAATCTTCTCATCCTACCAGGCTTAGAAGACCTTCCTTCGGTCTCACCTTCCCCAGATAACACCTTCCCCAGCTTTGCTCTCTCAGTTGATACCTTCACCACCCTTCCCCCCCTGCTTCCACCTCCCTCACCACCCTGTCGGTACCCTCATAATCGCTAGGAGCAATTGTACTCTCTTTAAGCCTCTCCGTTTCTGCTTGCAGCCCAATTTCGTTCTCCACACCACCCTTCTTTCCCCCATGCTCCCTGTCCTTCCGCTCCTTCCTCCCATCCCCACCCTTCTCTCTCCCCCTTTCCCTCCCCCTCCCAACCCTCTCCTTGCCTCTCCTCCCCTCCTCCTCACCCTCCTCTTCCTCCTCCTCCCTCTTCCGATCCCTGCCCCACCTCCTCCCTTCTCCTCTCCCCCTCTCCTCTCCCTCAAACTTCTCTCCGTCCTTAATAAACGACGCCCTACCTTCTCGTCCACCCGCCTTGGCACCCTTGCTGCTGCCCCTGGGTCCGGCCAAAGGACTGCCCTCGTCTTCCTCCTTGTGCCGCTGCTGACGCCCCTTCTGCCCCTTGCCTCTCTCCTTTCCCACGTCCCGCTGCTCGTGCTCTGCAGGGAGAAAGGACGGAAAAACGACATTAGGGTTTTTGAGACGTCTAGAAAATCGTCCTCCCTCGTCTTCTTCCTTGTGCCACTGCTGACGCCCCTTCTGCCCCTTGCCTCTCTCCTTCCCCACGTCCCGCTGCTCGTGCTCTGCGGGGAGAAGGGAAATTAGGAAACAAGGGGAGGAGGGAAAGGTGAGACGGGAGGGAAGGGTAAGAAGAGGGGAAAGACAGGCGACGCGTGAGCCAGGAGAGAAGGGGAATAAAGTTGCAGTTTGAATCTTCTAGATAATTTATACCTGAAGGTTTCATGCCGCAGATAAATGCTTCTAGATGCAGGTAGATGATGATACATCAAGGTGTGGTGGGTGACAAGGGGGCATACCTGACGAAGACGACAGCTCAGGCGAGTCTGCCCGCCTGCTTCCTCGCTTCCCATGCCGCCACTCCCTACGCTCCCCCTCCCCGCCATAATCACCACGCCTATAGTCACCCTGCCATTCCTCTTCTGCATCCCTCCTCCTCCTCTCCTTCGCTCTTACCCCTTCCTCCCGTGCTTTCCCCCTGTCCCTCTCCCCATCTCTGTCACGATCCCTGTCCCTTCCTCTCTCCCTTTCTCGCTCTCGTCCCCTTCTCTCCCTCTCCCTGTTCCGCCCCTTCTCCCGGTTACCATGCAATGCTGACCCACCCTCAATTTCCTCCTCCTCTTCCTCCTCCTCATCCCCCTCCTCATCTCCTCTCTTTTCCCTCTCCTCCACCACTTCCTCCCTTCTCCTCACCGGATTCAACTCCTCATCACCGCCCTCATCCCCTCCCTTGCCTCCTTGCCTGGCTCTTCCGGCTCGGCCACTCCTTTCCGCTCCCCTCTGTCCCTCTTCCTCCTGATCACCCTTTCTCTCCCTCCCTTCTCTTTTCTCGTCCTCATTCCTCACTTCCGTAACCTTCCTACTGCTCCCTTTCTCCCTCCGCTCCTCCCGCCGCGAACCCCCCAGCTTCTCCTGCTTGTTCTCATACGTCCCTATTAAAGCCTCCGTGGTTAATACCCCGCCTTCCCCAAACCGCTCTAAGTCTTCCGGCGCCTCGAGATCCTCGAACAGCGGGCTCCGAGGCGCCTCGAACGCGACCTCGATCGCATCGATGTCCACGAACCGCGCGTTCCAGTGCGCGTCGTCGTCGCCATCGTCGCCCGCATCGCCAACCTGCCCTGCGGCAGGTCGTGCGACAGCCGCCTGCGACGCCTTCTGCGACGCCTTTACCGCGGGATCCGCCTGAAACGACAGCTCACGGCGACCGTCACCGCCTCCCTTCCCTTTCAACCGCGCAAAACCCCTCTCAGGACTCTTTCGCCGACTGCGATCCGGAAAATCATTTCTATCAGCGGCATCGTGGCTCCTATCAGGACTCCCGGTTCCCCTATCCCCCTTCTCCAATCGATGCCTTCTCCGGCGTTTCGACTCCCTATCGTCGTCCCGGTCGCGGCTTCTCTCTCCTTCAATCAGCCGCTGACGATCCAGCCCTTCGCCATTCTCCTCCTCCTCCCTGCTATGCGCGCGTTTCACGGATCCGGACGACCTGTTTGCGGAATGTCGGTCCTTTCGGTAAGGGAAGGCAGCAGGCCCGCTGTCGCCTATTGGCGTCGCGAACGCAGCTGTAGCAGCTACAGCGGCTGTAGCAGGGACGGTTGGAGGAGCTTCCGCCACGTCATTGTCGCGAGACGCCTCGTAATCTGACGCGGATCCCGGCGATTCGTAGTCGTCCGATTCGTTGTGCCGGCGGCGCGTGTGCCTGGATCGGTCCTTATGGCGATGGTGGTGGTGGTGGTGACGGTGGCGGGAAGTATGATGCGAATCCGTGTGGCCTTGCCTGCTACGACCGTGCGACTGCTTCCCCTCCTCGTGCTGCTGCTTCCCCTCGTCGCTTTTCCGCCACCGTCGTCTCTCCGCTGCGCCGCCTTCGCCGCTTCCTTCCGCGTCGCTAACGTCCGGATCGCTCGCTTCGTCTGCCTTCTCCCATCGGCTCGGACGGCGCATTGCACGGTACTACAGGAAGCCAGAATCTGGTTCTAGAGTAAGAAAATTAATGCCTAAGCTGCCATAGGAACCGCTATCTATCTAAAGATAACGGTGCATCACAACGGTTGCAATCAGCAGAAACCCTAAAGCAGAGATGAAAGGTGAAAGGTGTCTCATGGAGTGGCATCGGTTGGGAGAGTGGTTTCGACCTTGGGGATCGTCAGCACATGAAAGCCAAGGAAGTGTATCAGGTTGTTCTGATAACAATGCAATTACTGGTGTTGCTGTTCCGTACAGTTGGACAGCTCATCGTGCATGACTGAAAAGCGAGTCGTGCTTACAAAGAGTATGATACTTGTTTTTCCTGTGATTAAAGCATTGGGTTTCCCTGTAATTTTCTTCCTCCATTCGGCGTGCTTAGCTAAAAGTGAGACACGAAAGGTGGAAAGGTGCATGAACCGAACCGAAACCTATGGATGTAACTGTTTTGGATAACGGCTGAACCTTGTCCAACCATACTCCCCCAACCCCCCATTGTCCCCTTCGGCTTTGCTCTCCAGAAAGCGCCCCCCCCAGAAGCAGCGGCAAACTCTACCTGGTCAACCTCCTACCAGCCAATGACGACGTCGTTTCGGCAACATCCATGTCCGAAAGCGCCGTGTGTTCCGCTCCCCTTTTACATCTCTCCGCGCGCTGCCCCCAAACTTTCCCCGTTCAGGGCAGCCCGCAGCACCCCCCTTTCCCCCATCGCCAGTTTCCCGCGCCAAATCCTCGAAGAAGTTCCTTGGCTCACAGAAGGCCAGGGAAAATTTCTGGTAATATGCCAAAAACACGTCCACACCTTTTTTTTACCGTACCGTACCGAAATGAATCCTACTGTGTCTCCGTTCTTCTGCTCAACCCCCCCTCACCTCCACAAACCATGTTTCTCGAGCTCATCCATTCATTGTCTCCTCTTTCCTTGCTTTCTCACCAGCCATACATTCCCGCCTCACCAGGGCGACTCACGAGTTGTACTCGTGCCCCTGGTTGGGTAGGGCGAGCTGGTGCTCCGTGTCTGAAGACTGGTCTGGTCAGCGTTGGCCAGGATTAGCGTCGACCGGGATTAGCGTTGTCCAGGAATAGCTTCGGCCAAGGATTAGTTTCGACCAGGAAGTTTCCTGCGAAGCATCTTTATGTCGTGCGGGTGGATGCATCCTGCGACACCTCTAGTTGTGCAGCGTGTCGCATAGGCTGCACTCTTGCTTGTCGCGAAGCTTTTTCGTACACATCGGTTACCGCTGGAGCGGCGAGGCCTCCGTCGGCTGTACGCTAGTGGCCTTTTCCGCACTCCTTCCATTCGCGATCAGTCGTCAGACAGTCTCCTGTGGTCGATCCAGAAGAGTCCATTCGTGGCCGGCAGTGCTTCTGCGCGAGGCTTGTGATTCGACTCGGGCATCGGCACCAAGTCAGCCATGGCTTCCATGGTGAGCCCGTCCTCGTAGCGCGTCGTTTCGATTCACCTTGACCCGGACAGTGAAACATGTCTCTTCTTACGGTTGGACCCAGCGGTCCATCGGTCAACGCCGTCGTTGGGTCAGCGTGGTCCATAGGTCAACGCAGTCGTTGGGTCAACGCGGTCCATCGGTCAACGCAGTCGTTGGGTCAACGCGGTCCATCGGTCAACGCGGTCAATCGGTCCTCGTCTTGAGATTTGTTAAGAGTGATTTTCTTTCACGAAGTTAGTAGAACGTGCGTCCTTTCACTGTCGAGTCCCTTGGGCTTACTCCGTCACTTTGGTGAGGTTCTCAATCCCCCGGCGACGCATTCTTTGAGGCTACGTAATCAAGGCGCTGCGAGTCATGTTGTAAGATCGCATAACGAGAAACGATCAGAACTATCGCTCGTCGGAAGTTATTATCTGAGTCTTTGAGCTCAATCATGTATTTCGTATCGCTCAATCGAACCACCCCACAGATTTAATGAAGCGCTGTGAGGCATGTTGTACGATCGCATAGCGGGATTTTATCAAAACCAATCATGTATTTCGTGTTGCTCCACCGAACTGCCCACAGACTTACCTTTCGTCATGCTCAGTCGAACACATCACAGAAGCACCTTCCCCTTGGTCATTCAACCCACGCAGCCCCGTAGACTTCTACTGTTTCAAACGCATTGAAATCTTGCAACACCCTCTTCTCCCCTTTCTCGTCGCCTCTTCCCCTTTCCCCTCCCCCCTCCCCTCTCCCCTCTCCCCCAGCCAACCCCCCTCCCCCCACCCTCTTCCCCTTTTCCCACATGCCCTCACCTTTCCCCTCCTCGTCCCCCTTCCGTGCTTTCTTCAGCGAACCCCCTTTCTCCGTTCCACCCAGCAAATGCAACTTTGTATGCCGTTGCCCTCGCCCCTCTCCCCCCTGCCCTTCTGTTGATCCAGGCTGTATCGTCCGCAGCAGCACCAGCGTCAGAAGCGGCAATGGACTGTGCTGCAGCCATGCAGCCTTCCACTGAGGCACCCTCCGCCCTCTCCGCTCTCCTCTCCGCCCTCTCCCCTCTCCCCTCTCCCCTCTCCCCTCTGTCCTCTGTTTCATCCAGGCTGAAGCGTCAGCAGCAGCACCGGCGTCAGAAGCGGCAATGGACTGTGCTGCAGCCATGCAGCCTTCCACTGAGGCGTTCTCTTATCGGATCGGAGGCATGCTGGGCATCCTCGTTAGTAGCATGTGAGACATCCTCGCTAGTTTGCAGCGTGCGTCCGAGTCAATCTCGCTATTGTTTCGCCGCAAATCGTCCTCGTTAGTAGCATGTGAGACATCCTCGTTGGTTCGTAGCGTGCTTGAGAGTCAATCTCGCTACTTTAATTTCGCGAATTGTTCTCGTTAGTAGCAGCGTGTGAGCCCGATCCGCGTACGTGTTTGCGTATTGCAAATCTTTGTTTGCGAAGTGTTCTGTTATATACACAGTACGGATCACACTCTCTCCTCCAGAGCAGTCTGTCAATACATTTTCCTCCATCCGCAGCTCCACCCATCCGCACCCATGCTCAACTATCCGCAACCATACTAACCAATTTGCGCCCATGCTCACCCGTCCACACCGTCACAACGAACCTCCTCACCCTTGCACTCACATTCATAACCCCTCCCCTCCTCCCCCCTCCTCCCTTCCCCCCTCCCCCCTTCCTCCTCCTTCCAGCATCGGCTTCTCCCTGCCATTCCTGCTGCGCGGGCGCCACAAGACGCTGCTCTTCTTCTTCCGGGCCATGGCTGCTGGCATCGTGCTAGCCGTTGCCATCGTGCACATCTTCCCTGGTGCGTATATAAATGAGACTTAGAATATGAGGCACTCGCATTGTGCCACCATGGCTGCTGGCATCGTGCTAGCCGTTGCCATCATGCACATCTTCCCAGGTGCGTATATAAATGAGACTTAGAATATGAGGCACTCGCATTGTGCCACCATGGCTGCTGGCATTGTGCTAGCCGTTGCCATCATGCACATCTTCCCTGGTGCGTATATAAATGAGATATGAGGCACTCGCATTGTGCCACCATGGCTGCTGGCATCGTGCTAGCCGTTGCCATCGTGCACATCTTCCCAGGTGCGTATATAAATGAGACTTAGAATATGAGGCACTCGCATTGTGCCACCATGGCTGCTGGCATCGTGCTAGCCGTTGCCATCATGCACATCTTCCCAGGTGCGTCCTAAATGATAGCAGAAATCGATTCGCCGCGTTGCACGGGTATCGCGCTGCCATTGTGCTGCCATTGTGCTGCCATTGTGCTGCCATTGTGCTGCCATTGTGCTGCCATTTTGCTGCCATTTTGCTGCCATTTTGCACATCTTTGACCCATCTTCCTCCCGCTCCCAACGCAACCCCTTCATCCCCTCGCCTCCCCAACCACCCAGGCTCACACACGGGAGGCGCTGTCAAACCCATGCCTGAGCTTTTCCTCCTCGTTCTTCCCATGGGCTCCAATCTTTATCCGCTTCTCCTCCCTCAACCCTCTCCTCCCTCTCAAACTAACCAGGCGTACAGGAAGCACTCTCAAACCCTTGCCTGGCCTTCGCCTCCTCGTCCTTCCCATGGGCTCCAGTCTTCATCCTCTTCTCTGCCCTCCCCGCCCCCTGCTCCTCCCCTTTTTCCCCTCTCCTCCCCATTAACCAGGCGCACAGGAGGCCCTTTCAAACCCGTGCCTGGACATCTCCTCCTCGTCCTTCCCCTGGGCGCCAGTCTTCATCCTCTTCTCAGCGCTCTGCTCCTTCCTCGTGGAGTGCTACCTCAAGAAGCTCCTCCTCTTCTCCTGGCGCCGCAGACACCCCTCCGCTGCTGCTGCTGCATCTGCCGCTGGTTCTGCTGGTTCTATTGGTTCTGCTGGTGGGAGCAGCAGGAGTGGCGGTAAGACGCGGAGGCTGGGTGCGGGTGGTGTGGGGCGCGTGGCACGAGCTGTTGCTGCGTTGCTGGCTGGCGGGAGGAGGAGGAAGGGAGTGGAAATTAGCAAAGGCGGCATCAGCGGTGGCAGCGGCAGTGGCCGGGGAAGCAGCAAGAGGGATGGGAGGTTGAGGGAAGATGGGAAGCAGCAGAAGGCATGGCAAACGGATGGGGGAAGCAACCCCCCTGATGTGGCATGCCATGCTTCCCCCCCGTGCTGTGATGCCCCATGCAGTGCTGCTGCTGTTGCTTGTCATGATAAGGCATGCCACGATCCCACATGCCATGACACCCCATGCCACGAAGTGGTGTGTCACGATGCCACCTGTCATGATGCCACGTGTCCGGATGTGACTTGCCCCGAATGCCCGGAATCCACCTGTCACAGCACTGCATGCCACGAGATCACATGCCATGTCGCCACCTGTCATGAAACCACCTGCCAAGGTAGCACGTGCCCAGACACAACCTGTCCAGATAACACCTGCCGTGGCGTCACCTGCATGGAAGCCACCTGTCCCTCTGCTGCCTGTGTTCAATCCCAGTGTGTTAGGACCAAGTGTGCGGATTCCACTTGCACCGACGCTAAGTGCATGGAAGCCAAGTGCACCGACACGCAGTGCTTAGCTAAGTGCCCCTCGTGCCCCGACTGCGCCCTGGACGTGAGAGGAGGGGAGGAGGAGAAGGCAGCAATGAAAACCGGGAAAGCTGAGTGGGAGGAGCAGGAAGGGCGGGAGGAGAGTGAGGAGAGGCGGATGCGGGAAGCAGTGGCGCTGTCGTCGCTGCGAGCAGTGGCGTACACGCTAGAGGCCGGTATCATCTTCCACTCCATCTTCATTGGGATCGCCCTCGGTGCCAACCATGACAGCGCCGAGATCCAGGGGCTTGCCATCGCCCTCGTCTTCCACCAGGTGTGTACCTTTCCCCGTGCCTCCCTCTCTCTCTTTCCTCGCTTGTGTCCATGGGAGGAGCGGGAGGAGAGTGAGGAGAGCCAGATGAGGGAAGCAGTGGCGCTGTCATCGCTGCGGGCAGTGGCGTACACGCTAGAGGCCGGTATCATCTTCCACTCCATCTTCATTGGCATCGCCCTCGGTGCCAACCATGACAGTGCGGAGATCCAGGGGCTTGCCATCGCCCTCGTCTTCCACCAGGTGTGTGTTTAGGTAGCTTGTGAGTCGACTGAAATGTCTCTCCCATTCCATCTTCATTGGGATAGCCCTTGGGGCGAATCATGACAGTGCGGAGATCCAGGGGCTCGCCATCGCCCTCGTCTTCCACCGGGTGTGTGTTTAGGGGCTCGCTATTGCCCTCACCAGTTGACTGAAATGTCTTTCCCACTCCATCTTCATTGGCATCACGCTCGGGGCGAACCACGACAGCGCCGAGATCAAGAGGCTCGCGGCTCGCGATTGCGCTTGTCTTCCACCAGGTGTGAAACATTCTCCATATGTCTGTCATTCTCCTTCTCGCTCTAGATTTGTACGCGAAAAAACATCTGACATCTCATGCGGTTCCCTACTGCCCTCGTCTTCCACCAGGTGTTCACTTGTTCCACGCCTCGTACCCTCCTTCCCCATGGCTACCCCAATTTTCTCCCACTACTTCCCATATTCACCAGGTCTAATGTATTCCCATCGCTCACTGGTTTGTCCGCTGTCCTTCCACTCCCCTCTCTCTCTCTCTGCAATCAGGGCTTTGAGGGCATAAGTCTTGGTACTGCGGTTGCCCCATGCCGCTTCTCGCTTCTCAAGACCCTGTGCATGGGGCTGCTTTTTGCATTCACCACGCCTCTTGGTGTGGCTATAGGGTTGGCCGTCCATTCTTCTTATAACTCCAACAGCCAGGCTGCTCTTGCGACCGAGGGCGTGTTCAATGCCGTGTCGGCCGGCATCCTCATTTACAACGGACTCGTCGACTTGTTAGTGCCGACGTTCGACGAGCACGACGAGAACACTCCCAAGGATCCGGTTGTGTATTTCTTTGGGTTTGTGTTTTTGTTTCTGGGTGCTGGAGCCATGAGCCTGCTCGCCATTTGGGCCTGAAATGGCAGGAGGTTGGGCTATAAATTGGTGGTGGCTCAATTTTAGAGCTACCATGCTGCATTAGGTTATTGCTACATTTTGTGGAACGGATGTAACTAATGACTTTATAACTAGCCGTTCTTTTAGGAATTATCAGTTGGATGAAACGTAACAGATCAAGCTCGCATTTACGCAATTTTTTCGCCGAGAGCACACCACCCTCCCAGATGTTCTCTTCGGCAATCCCAAGACCAAGGCTACCTCCTTTTTTCTCAGCACCTACTGCATCCCACTAACGCGCGTCCCCTGTGGACCGTAGTCTCTAACCGCTGTGTAGGAAGCAACTCTTGCATCGGGCTTAGATTGTAACGGCTATTTTTCCTCTCGTTGTAAGAGCGAGTTTTTAGCGTCGGCGGTTTCCAAGAGCGAAAATGGGGAGCGGCGCGGGCCGAGGGAGGAAAGGCGGACCGACGGGTCGTCGACACTTTTCGACGGTCGAGGAAATGAGTACGCATGGGGAGAGCACGAGAAGGGAAAGGGAGAAAGAGCGAATAGAAGATGTGAAACTAAGGGAGGGAGAAGGTGGATCAGAGCGAAGCGAATAGGGAGTGTCGGTTCCCCTGTTGGGGAGAGACTATCGCGTCCGATCTATCTCCACCTCTCCTCCAAACCCCTCGTGTGAATTTCCCAGCTTCGTGCATGTGTAATGAATCTGCACTCAATTACGACCTAAGCAAATGCATACCCTATTTCTTTCATGCCTTTCTTAGGATTTATCAATAGGCTCTTCGAAAATTTGTTTCCCCTCATTTCGCTTTCGTTCCTTCACCCTTCACCTCTATCCTCAAACCCTCCTTCTCCCCCCAACCGCAACCAACCTCCTCATCGACCTTCCTTCTCCTCCCCTTCTCTTTCTCGAACCTCGTGTGTCGAGCCTGCAGAGTCAGGCACGTCATCCGAGCCTAAGTGGAAGCAGCGGCGGGTGAGTGTCCGATCCCAAACAGCGGCGCATGTGTTGCCGGTCATGCTTTTCTTTTATCGCAACCGAACGCAACCGAAGGAGCACCTGTGTCAAAGACTCTCAAGAAAAAAGAAGCCTTCTCACTGACGTTGCGTTAATGGCAACCTGACGTGGCATTGTGGGCCTTTTACAACGTCTTTAACGGACTCTTGACGAACCATTTTCCACGTCCCATGCTGCGTTCCTGTCCTGCATGCGTTGCTCCGTGCCTTTCCAGCCATTGATGGAAACCTGACGCGGGTGTTCATTCTCCGCCCCTTTTCCCGTCCCTCTATACCGGTCACGTTGACAGAATCGGGACCAGGAGGACGATCCGGAGGAGGAAGGGGAGGAGGAGAGCAGTGAGGAGGAATCGGAAGAGGAAGAGGAGGAGGAGGAGGTGAGAGAAGGGGGGTGAGACATAGGCAGAGCGGAAGAGAGGGGTAGAGGGGAAGGGAGGGATGAGAGGGGAGATGGAGAAAGGGTAGGAACCGAAAGAGGGTTGGGTACCTGGTTTCGTTCCTGGAGCTGTTAACATTCCAGCAGCAAACTTTCGCTCCCCAGTCTGACCTTTTGTGCTGCTTCCTTCTTTCCTCCCGCCCCTCTCTCTTCCCACACCCCTCTCTTTTTTCCACTCCCCTCTCTCTTTCCCCACGCCTCCCACTATTTCCCCACGCCTCCCACTATTTCCCCACGCCCCTCTCTCTTCCCCACCCCTCTTGCGTTCCTCGCCCCTCTTCCCCCGCACCTCTCTCTCTCCCTCGTCAGAAGCACAAGAAAGTGACTTGGCCAACACGTCGCCCTTCCCTCAATCGTTCCCTTCCTTCCCTCCCCCCCCCCTCCTCCCTTCTCCCTCCTCCCTCCTCCCGCTCTCTCCGTCTCTCCGTTTCTCTCCCCCTCGCCAGAAGCACAAGGGAGTGACTTGGCCAACACTTCGCCCTTCCCTCAATTGTTCCCTTCCTTCCCTCGTCCCTCCTTCCTCCTCCCCCTCTCTCTGTTTCTCTCCCCCTTGCCAGAAGCGCAAGGGCGTGGCAGGGCTGATTGCCGTCGAAAATCCCAATGCGCCCAGAAAGGCCGCTGTCAAGGTGTCCCAGGCGGATGTGAGTATAACGAGAGGGCGTTTGTGTTGTGAGTGTATTGGAATGGGGTGGTTGTGGATTTAGTGAGATGGGTTGGTGGTTGCGAGCATGAGGGGCGGTTGCGAGCATGAGGGGCGGTTGCGAGCATGAGGGGCGGTTGCGAGCATGAGGGGCGGTTGCGAGCATGAGGGGCGGTTGCGAGCATGAGGGGCGGTTGCGAGCATGAGGGGCGGTTGCGAGCATGAGGGGCGGTTGCGAGCATGAGGGGCGGTTGCGAGCATGAGGGGCGGTTGCGAGCATGAGGGGCGGTTGCGAGCATGAGGGGCGGTTGCGAGCATGAGGGGCGGTTGCGAGCATGAGGGGCGGTTGCGAGCATGAGGGGCGGTTGCGAGCATGAGGGGCGGTTGCGAGCATGAGGGGCGGTTGCGAGCATGAGGGGCGGTTGCGAGCATGAGGGGCGGTTGCGAGCATGAGGGGCGGTTGCGAGCATGAGGGGCGGTTGCGAGCATGAGGGGCGGTTGCGAGCATGAGGGGCGGTTGCGAGCATGAGGGGCGGTTGCGAGCATGAGGGGCGGTTGCGAGCATGAGGGGCGGTTGCGAGCATGAGGGGCGGTTGCGAGCATGAGGGGCGGTTGCGAGCATGAGGGGCGGTTGCGAGCATGAGGGGCGGTTGCGAGCATGAGGGGCGGTTGCGAGCATGAGGGGCGGTTGCGAGCATGAGGGGCGGTTGCGAGCATGAGGGGCGGTTGCGAGCATGAGGGGCGGTTGCGAGCATGAGGGGCGGTTGCGAGCATGAGGGGCGGTTGCGAGCATGAGGGGCGGTTGCGAGCATGAGGGGCGGTTGCGAGCATGAGGGGCGGTTGCGAGCATGAGGGGCGGTTGCGAGCATGAGGGGCGGTTGCGAGCATGAGGGGCGGTTGCGAGCATGAGGGGCGGTTGCGAGCATGAGGGGCGGTTGCGAGCATGAGGGGCGGTTGCGAGCATGAGGGGCGGTTGCGAGCATGAGGGGCGGTTGCGAGCATGAGGGGCGGTTGCGAGCATGAGGGGCGGTTGCGAGCATGAGGGGCGGTTGCGAGCATGAGGGGCGGTTGCGAGCATGAGGGGCGGTTGCGAGCATGAGGGGCGGTTGCGAGCATGAGGGGCGGTTGCGAGCATGAGGGGCGGTTGCGAGCATGAGGGGCGGTTGCGAGCATGAGGGGCGGTTGCGAGCATGAGGGGCGGTTGCGAGCATGAGGGGCGGTTGCGAGCATGAGGGGCGGTTGCGAGCATGAGGGGCGGTTGCGAGCATGAGGGGCGGTTGCGAGCATGAGGGGCGGTTGCGAGCATGAGGGGCGGTTGCGAGCATGAGGGGCGGTTGCGAGCATGAGGGGCGGTTGCGAGCATGAGGGGCGGTTGCGAGCATGAGGGGCGGTTGCGAGCATGAGGGGCGGTTGCGAGCATGAGGGGCGGTTGCGAGCATAAGGGGCGGTTGCGAGCATAAGGGGCGGTTGCGAGCATAAGGGGCGGTTGCGAGCATAAGGGGCGGTTGCGAGCATAAGGGGTGGTTGCGAGCATAAGGGGTGGTTGCGAGCATAAGGGGTGGTTGCGAGCATAAGGGGTGGTTGCGAGCATAAGGGGTGGTTGCGAGCATAAGGGGTGGTTGCGAGCATAAGGGGTGGTTGCGAGCATAAGGGGTGGTTGCGAGCATAAGGGGTGGTTGCGAGCATAAGGGGTGGTTGCGAGCATAAGGGGTGGTTGCGAGCATAAGGGGTGGTTGCGAGCATAAGGGGTGGTTGCGAGCATAAGGGGTGGTTGCGAGCATAAGGGGTGGTTGCGAGCATAAGGGGTGGTTGCGAGCATGAGGGGTGGTTGCGAGCATGAGGGGCGGTTGCGAGCATGAGGGGCGGTTGCGAGCATGAGGGGCGGTTGCGAGCATGAGGGGCGGTTGCGAGCATGAGGGGCGGTTGCGAGCATGAGGGGCGGTTGCGAGCATGAGGGGCGGTTGCGAGCATGAGGGGCGGTTGCGAGCATGAGGGGCGGTTGCGAGCATGAGGGGCGGTTGCGAGCATGAGGGGCGGTTGCGAGCATGAGGGGCGGTTGCGAGCATAAGGGGTGGTTGCGAGCATAAGGGGTGGTTGCGAGCATAAGGGGTGGTTGCGAGCATAAGGGGTGGTTGCGAGCATAAGGGGTGGTTGCGAGCATAAGGGGTGGTTGCGAGCATAAGGGGTGGTTGCGAGCATAAGGGGTGGTTGCGAGCATAAGGGGTGGTTGCGAGCATAAGGGGTGGTTGCGAGCATAAGGGGTGGTTGCGAGCATGAGGGGTGGTTGCGAGCATGAGGGGTGGTTGCGAGCATGAGGGGCGGTTGCGAGCATGAGGGGCGGTTGCGAGCATGAGGGGCGGTTGCGAGCATGAGGGGCGGTTGCGAGCATGAGGGGCGGTTGCGAGCATGAGGGGCGGTTGCGAGCATGAGGGGCGGTTGCGAGCATGAGGGGCGGTTGCGAGCATGAGGGGCGGTTGCGAGCATGAGGGGCGGTTGCGAGCATGAGGGGCGGTTGCGAGCATGAGGGGCGGTTGCGAGCATGAGGGGCGGTTGCGAGCATGAGGGGCGGTTGCGAGCATGAGGGGCGGTTGCGAGCATGAGGGGCGGTTGCGAGCATGAGGGGCGGTTGCGAGCATGAGGGGCGGTTGCGAGCATGAGGGGCGGTTGCGAGCATGAGGGGCGGTTGCGAGCATGAGGGGCGGTTGCGAGCATGAGGGGCGGTTGCGAGCATGAGGGGTGGTTGCGAGCATGAGGGGCGGTTGCGAGCATGAGGGGTGGTTGCGAGCATAAGGGGCGGTTGCGAGCATAAGGGGCGGTTGCGAGCATGAGGGGCGGTTGCGAGCATAAGGGGTGGTTGCGAGCATAAGGGGTGGTTGCGAGCATAAGGGGTGGTTGCGAGCATAAGGGGTGGTTGCGAGCATAAGGGGTGGTTGCGAGCATAAGGGGCGGTTGCGAGCATGAGGGGCGGTTGCGAGCATGAGGGGCGGTTGCGAGCATGAGGGGCGGTTGCGAGCATGAGGGGCGGTTGCGAGCATGAGGGGCGGTTGCGAGCATGAGGGGCGGTTGCGAGCATGAGGGGCGGTTGCGAGCATGAGGGGCGGTTGCGAGCATGAGGGGCGGTTGCGAGCATGAGGGGCGGTTGCGAGCATGAGGGGCGGTTGCGAGCATGAGGGGCGGTTGCGAGCATGAGGGGCGGTTGCGAGCATGAGGGGCGGTTGCGAGCATGAGGGGCGGTTGCGAGCATGAGGGGCGGTTGCGAGCATGAGGGGCGGTTGCGAGCATGAGGGGCGGTTGCGAGCATGAGGGGCGGTTGCGAGCATGAGGGGCGGTTGCGAGCATCAGGGGCGGTTGCGAGCATAAGGGGCGGTTGCGAGCATGAGGGGCGGTTGCGAGCATGAGGGGCGGTTGCGAGCATGAGGGGCGGTTGCGAGCATCAGGGGCGGTTGCGAGCATAAGGGGTGGTTGCGAGCATAAGGGGTGGTTGCGAGCATAAGGGGTGGTTGCGAGCATAAGGGGTGGTTGCGAGCATAAGGGGTGGTTGCGAGCATAAGGGGTGGTTGCGAGCATAAGGGGTGGTTGCGAGCATAAGGGGTGGTTGCGAGCATAAGGGGTGGTTGCGAGCATAAGGGGTGGTTGCGAGCATAAGGGGTGGTTGCGAGCATAAGGGGTGGTTGCGAGCATAAGGGGTGGTTGCGAGCATAAGGGGTGGTTGCGAGCATAAGGGGTGGTTGCGAGCATAAGGGGTGGTTGCGAGCATAAGGGGTGGTTGCGAGCATAAGGGGTGGTTGCGAGCATAAGGGGTGGTTGCGAGCATAAGGGGTGGTTGCGAGCATAAGGGGTGGTTGCGAGCATAAGGGGTGGTTGCGAGCATAAGGGGTGGTTGCGAGCATAAGGGGTGGTTGCGAGCATAAGGGGTGGTTGCGAGCATAAGGGGTGGTTGCGAGCATAAGGGGTGGTTGCGAGCATAAGGGGTGGTTGCGAGCATAAGGGGTGGTTGCGAGCATAAGGGGTGGTTGCGAGCATAAGGGGTGGTTGCGAGCATAAGGGGTGGTTGCGAGCATAAGGGGTGGTTGCGAGCATAAGGGGTGGTTGCGAGCATAAGGGGTGGTTGCGAGCATAAGGGGTGGTTGCGAGCATAAGGGGTGGTTGCGAGCATAAGGGGTGGTTGCGAGCATAAGGGGTGGTTGCGAGCATAAGGGGTGGTTGCGAGCATAAGGGGTGGTTGCGAGCATAAGGGGTGGTTGCGAGCATAAGGGGTGGTTGCGAGCATAAGGGGTGGTTGCGAGCATAAGGGGTGGTTGCGAGCATAAGGGGTGGTTGCGAGCATAAGGGGTGGTTGCGAGCATAAGGGGTGGTTGCGAGCATAAGGGGTGGTTGCGAGCATAAGGGGTGTTTGCGAGCATAAGGGGTGTTTGCGAGCATAAGGGGTGGTTGCGAGCATAAGGGGTGGTTGCGAGCATAAGGGGTGGTTGCGAGCATAAGGGGTGGTTGCGAGCATAAGGGGTGGTTGCGAGCATAAGGGGTGGTTGCGAGCATAAGGGGTGGTTGCGAGCATAAGGGGTGGTTGCGAGCATAAGGGGTGGTTGCGAGCATAAGGGGTGGTTGCGAGCATAAGGGGTGGTTGCGAGCATAAGGGGTGGTTGCGAGCATAAGGGGTGGTTGCGAGCATAAGGGGTGGTTGCGAGCATAAGGGGTGGTTGCGAGCATAAGGGGTGGTTGCGAGCATAAGGGGTGGTTGCGAGCATAAGGGGTGGTTGCGAGCATAAGGGGTGGTTGCGAGCATAAGGGGTGGTTGCGAGCATAAGGGGTGGTTGCGAGCATAAGGGGTGGTTGCGAGCATAAGGGGTGGTTGCGAGCATAAGGGGTGGTTGCGAGCATAAGGGGTGGTTGCGAGCATAAGGGGTGGTTGCGAGCATAAGGGGTGGTTGCGAGCATAAGGGGTGGTTGCGAGCATAAGGGGTGGTTGCGAGCATAAGGGGTGGTTGCGAGCATAAGGGGTGGTTGCGAGCATAAGGGGTGGTTGCGAGCATAAGGGGTGGTTGCGAGCATAAGGGGTGGTTGCGAGCATAAGGGGTGGTTGCGAGCATAAGGGGTGGTTGCGAGCATAAGGGGTGGTTGCGAGCATAAGGGGTGGTTGCGAGCATAAGGGGTGGTTGCGAGCATAAGGGGTGTTGCGAGCATAAGGGGTGTTTGCGAGCATAAGGGGTGGTTGCGAGCATAAGGGGTGGTTGCGAGCATAAGGGGTGGTTGCGAGCATAAGGGGTGGTTGCGAGCATAAGGGGTGGTTGCGAGCATAAGGGGTGGTTGCGAGCATAAGGGGTGGTTGCGAGCATAAGGGGTGGTTGCGAGCATAAGGGGTGGTTGCGAGCATAAGGGGTGGTTGCGAGCATAAGGGGTGGTTGCGAGCATAAGGGGTGGTTGCGAGCATAAGGGGTGGTTGCGAGCATAAGGGGTGGTTGCGAGCATAAGGGGTGTTTGCGAGCATAAGGGGTGGTTGCGAGCATAAGGGGTGGTTGCGAGCATAAGGGGTGGTTGCGAGCATAAGGGGTGTTTGCGAGCATAAGGGGTGGTTGCGAGCATAAGGGGTGGTTGCGAGCATAAGGGGTGTTTGCGAGCATAAGGGGTGTTTGCGAGCATAAGGGGTGGTTGCGAGCATAAGGGGTGGTTGCGAGCATAAGGGGTGTTTGCGAGCATAAGGGGTGGTTGCGAGCATAAGGGGTGGTTGCGAGCATAAGGGGTGTTTGCGAGCATAAGGGGTGTTTGCGAGCATAAGGGGTGGTTGCGAGCATAAGGGGTGGTTGCGAGCATAAGGGGTGTTTGCGAGCATAAGGGGTGGTTGCGAGCATAAGGGGTGTTTGCGAGCATAAGGGGTGGTTGCGAGCATAAGGGGTGGTTGCGAGCATAAGGGGTGTTTGCGAGCATAAGGGGTGGTTGCGAGCATAAGGGGTGGTTGCGAGCATAAGGGGTGGTTGCGAGCATAAGGGGTGGTTGCGAGCATAAGGGGTGGTTGCGAGCATAAGGGGTGGTTGCGAGCATAAGGGGTGGTTGCGAGCATAAGGGGTGGTTGCGAGCATGAGGGGCGGTTGCGAGCATGAGGGGCGGTTGCGAGCATGAGGGGCGGTTGCGAGCATGAGGGGCGGTTGCGAGCATGAGGGGGGTTGCGAGCATGAGGGGTGGTTGCGAGCATGAGGGGCGGTTGCGAGCATGAGGGGCGGTTGCGAGCATGAGGGGCGGTTGCGAGCATGAGGGGCGGTTGCGAGCATGAGGGGCGGTTGCGAGCATGAGGGGCGGTTGCGAGCATGAGGGGCGGTTGCGAGCATGAGGGGCGGTTGCGAGCATGAGGGGCGGTTGCGAGCATGAGGGGCGGTTGCGAGCATGAGGGGCGGTTGCGAGCATGAGGGGCGGTTGCGAGCATGAGGGGCGGTTGCGAGCATGAGGGGCGGTTGCGAGCATGAGGGGCGGTTGCGAGCATGAGGGGCGGTTGCGAGCATGAGGGGCGGTTGCGAGCATGAGGGGCGGTTGCGAGCATGAGGGGCGGTTGCGAGCATGAGGGGCGGTTGCGAGCATGAGGGGCGGTTGCGAGCATGAGGGGCGGTTGCGAGCATGAGGGGCGGTTGCGAGCATGAGGGGCGGTTGCGAGCATAGGGGCGGTTGCGAGCATAAGGGGTGGTTGCGAGCATAAGGGGTGGTTGCGAGCATAAGGGGTGGTTGCGAGCATAAGGGGTGGTTGCGAGCATAAGGGGTGGTTGCGAGCATAAGGGGTGGTTGCGAGCATAAGGGGTGGTTGCGAGCATAAGGGGTGGTTGCGAGCATAAGGGGTGGTTGCGAGCATAAGGGGTGGTTGCGAGCATAAGGGGTGGTTGCGAGCATAAGGGGTGGTTGCGAGCATAAGGGGTGGTTGCGAGCATAAGGGGTGGTTGCGAGCATAAGGGGTGGTTGCGAGCATAAGGGGTGGTTGCGAGCATAAGGGGTGGTTGCGAGCATAAGGGGTGGTTGCGAGCATAAGGGGTGGTTGCGAGCATAAGGGGTGGTTGCGAGCATAAGGGGTGGTTGCGAGCATAAGGGGTGGTTGCGAGCATAAGGGGTGGTTGCGAGCATAAGGGGTGGTTGCGAGCATAAGGGGTGGTTGCGAGCATAAGGGGTGGTTGCGAGCATAAGGGGTGGTTGCGAGCATAAGGGGTGGTTGCGAGCATAAGGGGTGGTTGCGAGCATAAGGGGTGGTTGCGAGCATAAGGGGTGGTTGCGAGCATAAGGGGTGGTTGCGAGCATAAGGGGTGGTTGCGAGCATAAGGGGTGGTTGCGAGCATAAGGGGTGGTTGCGAGCATAAGGGGTGGTTGCGAGCATAAGGGGTGGTTGCGAGCATAAGGGGTGTTTGCGAGCATAAGGGGTGGTTTGCGAGCATAAGGGGTGGTTGCGAGCATAAGGGGTGGTTGCGAGCATAAGGGGTGGTTGCGAGCATAAGGGGTGGTTGCGAGCATAAGGGGTGGTTGCGAGCATAAGGGGTGGTTGCGAGCATAAGGGGTGGTTGCGAGCATAAGGGGTGGTTGCGAGCATAAGGGGTGGTTGCGAGCATAAGGGGTGGTTGCGAGCATAAGGGGTGGTTGCGAGCATAAGGGGTGGTTGCGAGCATAAGGGGTGGTTGCGAGCATAAGGGGTGGTTGCGAGCATAAGGGGTGGTTGCGAGCATAAGGGGTGGTTGCGAGCATAAGGGGTGGTTGCGAGCATAAGGGGTGGTTGCGAGCATAAGGGGTGTTGCGAGCATAAGGGGTGGTTGCGAGCATAAGGGGTGGTTGCGAGCATAAGGGGTGTTTGCGAGCATAAGGGGTGTTGCGAGCATAAGGGGTGGTTGCGAGCATAAGGGGTGGTTGCGAGCATAAGGGGTGGTTGCGAGCATAAGGGGTGGTTGCGAGCATAAGGGGTGGTTGCGAGCATAAGGGGTGTTTGCGAGCATAAGGGGTGTTTGCGAGCATAAGGGGTGGTTGCGAGCATAAGGGGTGGTTGCGAGCATAAGGGGTGTTGCGAGCATAAGGGGTGGTTGCGAGCATAAGGGGTGTTGCGAGCATAAGGGGTGGTTGCGAGCATAAGGGGTGGTTGCGAGCATAAGGGGTGGTTGCGAGCATAAGGGGTGGTTGCGAGCATAAGGGGTGGTTGCGAGCATAAGGGGTGGTTGCGAGCATAAGGGGTGGTTGCGAGCATAAGGGGTGGTTGCGAGCATAAGGGGTGGTTGCGAGCATAAGGGGTGTTGCGAGCATAAGGGGTGGTTGCGAGCATAAGGGGTGGTTGCGAGCATAAGGGGTGGTTGCGAGCATAAGGGGTGGTTGCGAGCATAAGGGGTGGTTGCGAGCATAAGGGGTGGTTGCGAGCATAAGGGGTGGTTGCGAGCATAAGGGGTGGTTGCGAGCATAAGGGGTGGTTGCGAGCATAAGGGGTGGTTGCGAGCATAAGGGGTGGTTGCGAGCATAAGGGGTGGTTGCGAGCATAAGGGGTGGTTGCGAGCATAAGGGGTGTTGCGAGCATAAGGGGTGGTTGCGAGCATAAGGGGTGGTTGCGAGCATAAGGGGTGGTTGCGAGCATAAGGGGTGGTTGCGAGCATAAGGGGTGTTTGCGAGCATAAGGGGTGGTTGCGAGCATAAGGGGTGGTTGCGAGCATAAGGGGTGGTTGCGAGCATAAGGGGTGGTTGCGAGCATAAGGGGTGGTTGCGAGCATAAGGGGTGGTTGCGAGCATAAGGGGTGGTTGCGAGCATAAGGGGTGGTTGCGAGCATAAGGGGTGTTTGCGAGCATAAGGGGTGGTTGCGAGCATAAGGGGTGGTTTGCGAGCATAAGGGGTGGTTGCGAGCATAAGGGGTGGTTGCGAGCATAAGGGGTGGTTTGCGAGCATAAGGGGTGGTTGCGAGCATAAGGGGTGGTTGCGAGCATAAGGGGTGGTTGCGAGCATAAGGGGTGGTTGCGAGCATAAGGGGTGGTTGCGAGCATAAGGGGTGGTTGCGAGCATAAGGGGTGTTTGCGAGCATAAGGGGTGGTTGCGAGCATAAGGGGTGGTTGCGAGCATAAGGGGTGGTTGCGAGCATAAGGGGTGGTTGCGAGCATAAGGGGTGGTTGCGAGCATAAGGGGTGGTTGCGAGCATAAGGGGTGGTTGCGAGCATAAGGGGTGGTTGCGAGCATAAGGGGTGTTTGCGAGCATAAGGGGTGGTTGCGAGCATAAGGGGTGGTTGCGAGCATAAGGGGTGGTTGCGAGCATAAGGGGTGTTTGCGAGCATAAGGGGTGGTTGCGAGCATAAGGGGTGGTTGCGAGCATAAGGGGTGGTTGCGAGCATAAGGGGTGGTTGCGAGCATAAGGGGTGGTTGCGAGCATAAGGGGTGGTTGCGAGCATAAGGGGTGGTTGCGAGCATAAGGGGTGTTTGCGAGCATAAGGGGTGGTTTGCGAGCATAAGGGGTGGTTGCGAGCATAAGGGGTGGTTGCGAGCATAAGGGGTGTTTGCGAGCATAAGGGGTGGTTGCGAGCATAAGGGGTGTTTGCGAGCATAAGGGGTGTTTGCGAGCATAAGGGGTGGTTGCGAGCATAAGGGGTGTTTGCGAGCATAAGGGGTGTTTGCGAGCATAAGGGGTGTTTGCGAGCATAAGGGGTGTTTGCGAGCATAAGGGGTGTTTGCGAGCATAAGGGGTGTTGCGAGCATAAGGGGTGTTTGCGAGCATAAGGGGTGTTTGCGAGCATAAGGGGTGTTTGCGAGCATAAGGGGTGTTTGCGAGCATAAGGGGTGTTTGCGAGCATAAGGGGTGTTTGCGAGCATAAGGGGTGTTTGAGAGTGTTCCTCCCTTGGGTTCCTCACCTCACCTCACCCATCTCCCTTGCAGCTCACCTCCCCCTTTGATATTTTTCTCTTCCCTCCTTCCCTCTCCCGTAACCCTCCCTTCTCGTCCTTGACAGACCAGTGCCTCCACGCAACTCTCTCGCCGTGAAAGGTGCGTTTTGATCAACCCAGGAGACAAGATGCGCTTTGATCATTTAGTAGCTGGCCTGCGCTAGTAGCTGGCCTGCACTAGTAGCTGGCCTGCGCTAGTAGCTGGCCTGCGCTAGTAGCTGGCCTGCGCTAGTAGCTGGCCTGCGCTAGTAGCTGGCCTGCGCTAGTAGCTGGCCTGCGCTAGTAGCTGGCCTGCGCTAGTAGCTGGCCTGCGCTAGTAGCTGGCCTGCGCTAGTAGCTGGCCTGCGCTAGTAGCTGGCCTGCGCTAGTAGCTGGCCTGCGCTAGTAGCTGGCCTGCGCTAGTAGCTGGCCTGCGCTAGTAGCTGGCCTGCGCTAGTAGCTGGCCTGCGCTAGTAGCTGGCCTGCGCTAGTAGCTGGCCTGCGCTAGTAGCTGGCCTGCGCTAGTAGCTGGCCTGCGCTAGTAGCTGGCCTGCGCTAGTAGCTGGCCTGCGCTAGTAGCTGGCCTGCGCTAGTAGCTGGCCTGCGCTAGTAGCTGGCCTGCGCTAGTAGCTGGCCTGCGCTAGTAGCTGGCCTGCGCTAGTAGCTGGCCTGCGCTAGTAGCTGGCCTGCGCTAGTAGCTGGCCTGCGCTAGTAGCTGGCCTGCGCTAGTAGCTGGCCTGCGCTAGTAGCTGGCCTGCGCTAGTAGCTGGCCTGCGCTAGTAGCTGGCCTGCGCTAGTAGCTGGCCTGCGCTAGTAGCTGGCCTGCGCTAGTAGCTGGCCTGCGCTAGTAGCTGGCCTGCGCTAGTAGCTGGCCTGCGCTAGTAGCTGGCCTGCGCTAGTAGCTGGCCTGCGCTAGTAGCTGGCCTGCGCTAGTAGCTGGCCTGCGCTAGTAGCTGGCCTGCGCTAGTAGCTGGCCTGCGCTAGTAGCTGGCCTGCGCTAGTAGCTGGCCTGCGCTAGTAGCTGGCCTGCGCTAGTAGCTGGCCTGCGCTAGTAGCTGGCCTGCGCTAGTAGCTGGCCTGCGCTAGTAGCTGGCCTGCGCTAGTAGCTGGCCTGCGCTAGTAGCTGGCTTGCACTAGAAGCTGGCTTGCACATGCCAGTAGTTTGGCGACAGTTGCATATTTGCTGCATTCGTCTTGTCTATAAATAGGCCCCTCTCTCTGTGTGTGCACTTGGAATCGTGCAACTGATTGTTTAGATGAGTGTGAATTTGAATGTTTGTGTCGTGCTGCGTGCGTGCATGTGCGTGCGTACATGTGTGTGTGCGTGTGTTAGTGTGTGCATGGGTGTGTGTGCGTGTGCATATGTCCATGTGTTTGTGTGTGTCTGTGTGCGTCTGTGCGTGTGAAAACGGCTGCAACTGCGAGGGCAGGGAGGAGATAGAGAAGGAGAGGGCGAAGGAGCGATTCATGAAGCTGCAGGAGCAGGGCAAAACAGAGCAGTCTAGAAAGGATCTTGGTGCGTTCATCAAATAATGTGATTGCGGTCTTACTGCTGTTGTTGACCTAGGGACTGGGGGAGGTGGCTGGGGCATAGGAAGGGGTGAAATCTGTGCCTCCGCCCACCTCCCCTTCCAGGGGTGAAATGTGTGCTTATGCGTTGTCTCATGCGCCTCGCTCGTGCTTCTCGTTTTCGCTTCATGCTTATGCTTCTGCTTTTGCATCATGCTTTTGCCTATTGCCTCATTTGATTCTCGCTCATGCATCTCGCTTATGTGCGTCATGTGCTTGAATTTTCGGTAACTCGATTATGTTTCCCTTTACAAGGCACTGCCATCCCCCCTCCCCCCGTCTTCTCCCAATAGGCATTTTCCTGTCTCACATAACGGTCTTCATCCTTCTGCATGTAACGTTCCCCTCTCCTTTACCCGCTAAACAGAGCGCTTGGCTCTTATTCGGCAGCAAAGGGAAGAGGCAGCGAAGAAGAAAGAGGAGGAGCGCTTGGGTAAGTACACTTCTACAAGTACTGATTTGAACTTTTCTGGTTTTGTGATGCTGTTGGTGGGTATTTGCAGTGTTTTCCTGCTTCCTTGGCAGTTGATTTTTGTCCCCCTTTTTTTTTTCGGTAAGCTGACCGTCCGTTCATTGACTTTACCTCAATATCACTTGCGTGTGCAGCAAAGGAGGCCAAAAAACTAGAAGCTCGTAAAAGATGACAACATGCAATATGTCTATTGTATCGTAATTGTACCAAATAACGCAATGGTTGGGTTAGTTGCACAATCTCCAGCTATTGGAGTTACCATTCGCGTGATGGGCTGCTAGTGTAGAGTTACCAAACGTGTTAAGCGAGTGACCAAACATGTTAAGCGAGTTACCAAACGCGTGTTACCAAACGCGTGTTACCAAATGCGTTAAGCGAGTTACCAATTGCGTTGAAATCGTTATCGTACGCGTTACAGTGCCCCATGTAAGTTACCATTGACATATTTTCCCTATTGTAAACCCTCCTGCTGAAGCCCTGCTGCTCGCGATTTTCCCTGGGCACTGGGACTCCCCATGCATGCTTGAACTTCTCCTTTTGACAGTTCCCGCCGAAAACTAACGGAGCCTTCTCGACTCGTTTCCTCAGTCCGATACCGCGCTTTTGAAACATCTTATGGAAGTTCAAAGCCCCGATGGAACGCGCATTGCACGGCACTAGTGATCTGCCCTGAATGACACTACTGTAGCAAGATACCTCATCCGCGGCTAGGGCGGGAATTCGTTGGCGAGCGTGTGTATTCGTGATTCATTATCTACGCTAAAATGGCGAGCTCGCTTTGTTCTCCTTGCGTCGCTACATCACGGGATCACGGAATCTCTCATATCTGCGGCGTTCGTCAAACAACCGGGGTTCCGGCTCGGCACGGTTCGTGTTTCAGTACTGTTCGCGATAGTTCCCACCTCAGATCGTACCACGTCAGTAGCGGCCGCCATCCCCGCCAGCGTTGCCTGTGGAAACCTCGCCGGGTAGTCGCTCGTGCTGAGTCGGCACGATCAGGGAGCGGGAATGACGGAGGGAACGGCGGGAATGACGATGAGCCCATTAAAGTGGAGGTCTCTCCAAACCTGACCATCGCGCTCGGCGACGAGGTTCGGCGTTTGACAGCAGGTGCGGAAGGAGGTTCGGAAGGAGCAGTTAGGGAGAGTGGCCTAAGTCTGATCGAGCAGAATGAGCGGAGAAGGCAAGCTCGAAGAGCCGCTGCCGCCGCCGCCGCTGCTGCTGCTGCCGCTGCTGCTGGCGATGCCTCTGCTTCAGCTGATGCTTCTAAAACAGTCACGGCTGTAGCAGATTCGTCAAGAAGTGAGGAAGCGCGAGCAACAGCAGCCGCAGCAGCAGGACCAGACGTAACAGCAGCAGCAGCATTGCCAGCAACGGCAGGTGAAACGCGCGCTTTCATTACTGACGAGGCGGCGTATGTATCCATGGTGAAACGCGCCGCGGCTGCCACATCAGCTTGGCGACAGGCGGTACCGTTTCCCCTGAATGATTTCTTTTTCGACCCTGACGGAGTGGCGGTTAAGAGGGGGAGGGAGGAAGAAGAACGGCTGATTCATGACATCTATTTCAAGGTACGTGTGACTAGCTGTTGTGATCTGGCTCAGAGCCGCAACTCCTTACTACACGATGTATGTTGTGATGCAGCATGCAATGTATGGCCTCTGTTTCTCCTTGTAAAGAGGCTTACTTATTGTGCTTTGTGTGATGGGGGAAGCGGGTGTGACAGGTCCGACAAATTTTGTTGCTTGGTTGGGGGAGGTTGAGTCCATACATTTATAGGTTGATATTGTAAAGAGAAAAAATAATACTGATATAAACAATTTTTGTTCTATATTGTGCCCTCGTGGGTGTACCTGCGCAGGCTGAGAATGGCAAGCTTTGGAGCAGGTCGACACAGAGGCTATCAAGGCGAAGGTATTGTTCTGTCACAACAGCAGATCGGACTCATCCAGTTCCAGGCCATATCATTCTCCTCGCAGTGCATGCCGTGTATTGAATTGCTGTTAATCATTCTTTGTGATTTCACTCGTATCTGGTATTCTGCTTACTCACGTCCAGCCACATGCTCTTTACCCTTGTGACCTCAGACCCGTTGTCCTCCTGGCTCCCACTGAGATTTTAGAAGAGAAAACTCCAACCGCCCCCTTGCCTCTGGCTCCTCCTTTCTTCTGACCCCAATCCCCTGTTTTGGCCTCGCTACAACGGCCTTCACCCCACTGCGTGTTTGTACCCTCAAGGTGCTGACGTCATCAGGGTTCGAGGTTGAGTCAGCAGTGAATCCACTTCAGTGCCAGCAGGGCGTGGTTTTCTATGGCCGCCTCTCTGCACCTGCTCCCTCTGTGTACTCCACTATTCAAGTAAGGCTCTGTTCCTCTGTCGGCCACAATGTGTGTGTATTGCGTTTGCTGGCTGATCAACAATGCATTAGCCCATGTTTATGACTAGGCAAAAACCACCCCCCTACTCTCTCCAATCATTTGTACCAATTCCCTGTTCATCTTCCTACTGCACCTGCTCCTGCTCCCCTCCTTCTGCCTTCTCCTCCCTTTCGTCCATCTTCCTCCTCCTCCTCTCTGTCCGCTTGACTCTTCCTACTGCAGGCTCGTCTAGACACCTCATTCCCCGGCTTCTGCGCAGTACTCGCTAGAGATGACATCATCCGGCCGGCAATCAGCGTCCTTATTGCCCCACGGCAACACCTCCTCTCCTTCTCCCTCCCCCGCCCCGTCTTCGCCTTCATTTCCTCCCTCACTCTCTCCCTCTCCCTCCTCATCCTCACCTCCTCTCTCTCTGTCGACCCCACACTCTCTCCCACCACCTCTCCTCTCCTCACTGCTGCCGCTGTGCCACTTGGCGTGCTCTTAGTGGCTGCTGCCGGTGCTGGGGGCAGGTCTATAGCAGCACGGCAACATGGGGTATTACAAGCCCTAGATACGCCCCTCCCTCTACCCTCCCCTGCCTTTGGGTTATTTGGAGTTTTATCCCCGTACAAAGGGTTACTTCCAAACCGTACCGTGCTCCTTGACCTGTCTCTCAGCAGTGCCATTGCCTCCTTCTCCGCATCTGCTGTTCTAATCCTTCTCGGCCTCCTACAATCTGATACAATCACTCCTGATGTAGTCACCGTTCCTGCTTCCACCTTCTCACACTCCCATGTCCTCTCCTCTCTTGCCTCTGACCTAGCATCGGCCGTACTCGTTACTAGCCCCGACTCGCTACAGCCTACAGTATACACGGGCGCTTCTACAGTGGATCTCGCAATAAACCCTCTCATTCTAGCCGGATTGCTCGGTATCAACCTCTCATCCCTCTCCTTGCTACCTGTGGGTATTCTGGATGGGGGTCGGATAATCATAGCGCTGTTTGGAAGGAAGCAGCAGCATGCAGTGTCCATGGGTGTGCTAGCAGCAGCAGCGGTTTCCCTTGTGCTCAGACCAGACGGTCGGGAAAATGCAGCAACATTGCTTGTGTTGGCGATGGTTCTGCTGAAGCGAGATGATTGGTTTCAACGAGAAGAGGTTTCGGAGCCGTCAGGAGTGAGGAAGCTGGTTGCTGGTGCGCTTGTAGCTGCTTCGATATTGATATTGTGGCCTTGATGCAATGCAACATGACATGAGATGGGTGATAGTTTACTCCATACCAGTATGCAATACGGCATTCAGTAGGTTGTCCTTATTTTTTTCCTTCACAATTTTGAGTGTACGTTGTAGTGAGGTGGTGTTTTGGGAGGGCAATGTTCATGTCAATGGGCTTTAAATATACGGTATGAAAGGATGATAACAGTTTGCGCTAACAGGGCCGCAGCATGGAGCAAAACAGCGCACGAGAATGAGATTTGACGTTCGACTGATGAGGGGAGTAGGTGGGTAGATTGTGTCTTGGTACCAGTACCAAATAAGCGCAGTCCAACTTGTACGCTTGCACTGTAGTGTACTCTTGGTGTTGGGGGCTTAGAAACATTGCCAACAGAGTAACGTATGGGCATACACAGATACACATCACAGGTGTATGTTGAGTTGATTAGGCTTTGAAATGACAGGGTTCATGTGGTTACTACGTACAGACACATCTGTGGATGCTCCATCACATGCTATGCAAAGCCCTATGGAAAGAGCTTTCCCTCAGGCTAACTGGTGCGCTTGAATCAATCAGTGCGGTGCACGACTAAGCGAGTCTTGCTAAAGCGGGTAGGCTGGTCGCACTCAGGCTACCTATCAATCAATGCGGGGCTGCAGCAAGTTGCACCTCCAGGGCCTTCACCTCCTCTTGGGAGTGTGGCAGGCTTAAAACGAGTATGGGAGGTTAGACCTCAAGTGCGTCCTCGAGGGCTCGTCCCTGAGTGCCTGGCTCCAGCAAGCTGCATCCAGACGGGTCTCACATTGTAACGAGTCCCACATTCTAACGAGTCCCACATTGTAACGAGTCCCACATTCTAACGGGTCCCACATTCTAACGAGTCCCACATTGTAACGAGTCCCACATTGTAACGAGTCCCACATTGTAACGAGTCCCACATTGTAGCGAGACTCACATTGTAAGTCTAACCTCAGAGTACATGCATGGGGTGAGTTCCAAAGGGTGGTGTGAAGCTTGGAGTGTGGTCTGAATCCAGAGCGTGTGGCAAACCTTAGAGGGCAGGGCGAAACTCATAGGGCGAGGCAGAATCTTTGAGGGTGGGTCGCAGAGTGCCGGGTTCCAGCAGGTCACGGCAGGCGGGATGTTGCTTCATGAACGTCTCCTGTTTGGAAAGGGAAAGCAACGGACATGAGGTGTGATCATTAGACGTTGAGATTACGATACGACGGGAAGGAAGGGTGGGTCGCATAGTGCCGGGCTTCAGCAGGTCATGGCAGGCGGATTATCGCATAATCACATTTACACCGTCACATGGTAAAAGGTTTATACACCTTAGGACACGGAGCAGGATTTTTTTTCCCACGTGCCGTCCTCCTTTAGCCCAGGCCATGGCTTGCACGCGCACCGCTTGTCTTCGGGAATGCTATTGTAGACGCTCTCGACGTGCATGCCGCATCCCATCCACGTGTACTTGCCGCACGATTTGCAAGGGGTCTTGTGACACATGTTCGCCACGTGGCAGAACGAGGTATGCTCGCTTGTTCAGATAGAAACGGCAGCGGAAATAAAGACGCCTGGTGTGACGTGACGGATTGTTGGCGCGAAATTGTTGCTGACACAAGAAGCGATGGACTAGTGCGATTAGGAGAGCTCAGACGCAACGAGAACAAGGTCAGGGGAAGTAGTTTGTGAGGCGAGGCTCAGGTAAGGTTAAGGTAAGGGGGTTCTAGGAATGTGGTATGGTGGCGATGGAACGCGAGGGTGTGGTTACTAGGAGAGATTCATCGTGTATCCGTTTCTTGCTGATGTGTCCGAAAGGGTTGGGTTAGTGGCCAGCGAGGCTGCTGCCAGCTGGCAGTTTGGCTCTTTTGTTCCTTGTGCCAGCGAGGCTGCTGCCTGCTGGTGATGGAAGGAGCCTCACCATCGCTAACAGCATACTCGGAAACTCTGGATGGTCGTCTGAACACAAAGTACACCTCTAGAATCACTTATAACCTGCAGCGTTAATTCTCGGAACACACGGGGTAGTTCGAAGTTGAGAATTGCTGAACAATGTAAACCACCAGTTGAAAATCTGGAAAAAAAAAATATTCATATTGAGATAAACTTCTAAAAGAATGTAAGTATGTCGTTGAATGACATATCGGTCATATGAATTTCACTATCGTTGGCTCCTAGTGTTCCAGAACTTCAATCATTGCTATCATCGATGTCTCCTCGATGTTGTCACGGTACTGACACCTCCTTCGCGCCATAATTTCGCTCCTCCACAGAAAGCAGCCCTCGCTTCTGGAACAGGCAGCAATGTCCCTGATACATCAGTTCTAGTGCCCAAAATTCTGGTTACTTGCTAGCGTAAATCACGGGGACACCGGAGCTTGACCTTGTGAGCCTGTTCTGGGAACCTGTAGCTACGCAAACGCCTGGTTTTTCTCGTGTTGTTGGCTTAATTTGTTGTAGAAACCGGTAGTACGAAGGAAGGAGATGGTTGCGGAAGGCAAGTGGTCGACACCGTGATTAACATAGCCTCAGTTCGTTACCAAAATCTTTGCTACTCTAGTGTCAGTTGTAGGATACGGGTTTCGCTCGCGTCAATCCCTAATTCCCTGAGTCCCTGATTCCCAGTTATCACCTGCTAAGAGTGCAAGCCGACCTAGAACAGAGGAAGGGACTTTGTATTTTACAGCCTTGTCAACTCTTGTCGGCGTATGGATCTGATTTCGCTCGTGTTCCGTCTTTCTGAAGCTAGCGGTGCTTGTTACAAGCCCACAGCTGCTTAGCTTGCTGACATGGCCTAGATAACTCTCTGCTGACGTGTCACCCTTCCAGCTCCCGCCATGTCAGCAGCCAGCCGTCGCCGAAAGAGCATCAATGCGCTGGCATCGCCCACTCGCGTGTCGACACGTCGGACAGCGCGGACGGTCATTGACTTGGCATGTGACGATGCAGAGGAGAGGGAAGGGAGTCAGGAAAGGGAGGAGGAACAGGATAACCGCGACAGTTGCGAGAAAAATGGTGACCGTGAGAACGAGGGTAACGCGGAAAGGGACGCGGGAGGCACGGGGGAAGACGATGGAAGGGAAGACAAACGCTCGTCTAAGAATGGGCGTGGAGTCAGGAGGGGAAGAGGCAGAGCGCGGGGGAGAGCCGGGAGGAGAGTCTTGACAGGGAGAAGAGGAAAGGACACTGATGCTGACCAGGACGACCAGGGCGATAGAGGCGACCTGGGTGACGACCAGGGTAACCAGGTTGACCACGTTGACCACGTTGACCTGATGGACCAGGAGGGGGACCAGGGTGATCAGGATGACCGGCGGGTTGACCTGGTTGACCAGAGGGACCGGAATGAGCAGGGCGACGGGGGTTGTGACGGGGAATCTGACAACGTGGAAGTTACAGGGATACAGGGGAATCAAAATGAGGACATTTCGGTGGTAGGTGATGACGTGGCACGGGGAGATGATGACGTGGCACCCATGGATCGTGCCCAGCCGACAGAAAGAACCTCGGGTGACGTGGCAGCATCATGGGTCAAAGATTGGGCTGTGGGAACCTCGTACCGTTGTGCACGTGGGATAGAGTCTCCTTCTCTCTGCAGATTCGTGCTCGCTTTGGCGGCTCCTGGTGCTCCTCACAGCAAACTTGTAGAAAAACCTGGGAACCCTGATAAGAGAGTTGTAGGGACGTCTGAGCGTTCTGAAAAGAGAGGTCTGGGAACAACTGGGGACTCTGAGAAGAGAGTCTCAGGGTCTTCCGGGAGATTAGGGAAGAGTAATTCACGGAGGCGTGGCAGTGCAGCAGGGCTGCGCAATGCAAGCCGTGGGGAGAGGGACGGAAGCAAAAGTTTGACGGAAGCGGAAGACATGGGAGGGGAGGGGGAGTTGCGAGAGGGGGGAGAGGAAGGGGAGAATGGGGAGAAGGGGGAGAAGGTGGGGGAGAAAAGGGGGAAGAAGGGGGAGAAGGAGGGGGAGGGAAAGGAAGGGGAGGAGGGAGAGGTTGGTGAAGGGGCAGATGGTGAAGCGAGAGTAGATGGATGTAGCCTTAGTGAAGATTCTTGTAAGGAGGATGGAGATGAGGTGGAGGCGAAAGTCGGCACTTTCGAGGAAGGTAGCTGCAGGCTTGGTGAAGATGGTTGTATGGAGGATGGACGGGAAAGAGTTTGGGGGGAGGAGAACGTGGTGGAGAGGGGCAGAGGTGGAAAGGAGGGGGGTGGAAAGAAGGGTACAGGGAAAGAGGGTGGTGGGAGGGAGGGTGGTGGTGCTTTGGGCGGTGGGGGCAATGGCAGTGCGGCTGCTGATGCTGCTGCAGCAGGAGGGAGAGATGGGGAGAGGGGGGATGTAAAAGTGGGAGAGAAATGGGGAGATGGGAAGGGGAAGGAGGATGAGAAGAGGGGAGATGAGGAGGCAGATGATCAAGGAGGGGCTATTGCGATTGTCACAACGCGTGCAACATCGCAACACACTGCCACAGTGCCACACACTATCACTGCAACAACGTCGCATCGCAACATTTCTTCACAAGATCCACACATTGCACCTGCAGTGCCTGAGGCAGGAACCAGCACCCAGAAGCACCATGCTCTTATCGAGTCAGCTAGTAACGAGAATGCTCTTATCGACCCGTCAAGTAGCCAACAGCAGGGCACAATTGTGGTGGCATCATCCCCTGAGGGCCAGTGTGCTGCTGCTGCCACCCCACACTCATGCTCCTCCCTCCCGTTTGTCTTCACCAGAGACCGATGCCAGCAGTGGCTGGACCGGTAAGTTGCTTTGCTGCCATACGAATGGTTAAACTGCATGCATTTCTCTCAAAAAGCCCACCATTCCTTGCCTTGCCGTGCGCTCCCACCTCCCCTCCCCCTCTCCCCTACACCTGTTTGCCTCCTCCTTCCCACCATGTGGCAGTCCTTGGTGTTATGAGTTGTTCTATTGGTTCTTCCATCATGGTTGTTTTGCGTTCATTGTTCACTCTCCCACTCATTATTTCCAAGTCCACCACGTGCTTCCCTTTCTTTGCTTTTCCTCGCTGTCTCTTTCTCTCTTGAAACCCCCTTCCTCGATCCCCTGTTCTGCACCTTGGCAGGGTTGAAGGGCGGGCGTTCACATATCCCACCAGGTATGTTGCGGTGTGAGACAGTGGTGCACGGTTCAAGGTGGTATTCTCTAGGTATCGCTTGAGTCAACTCGAAAGTCACCTCCTATCCCACCATGTATGTTAATTTCTGACTCAGCATGGTGCACAGTGGTACAGTAGTGTTTAAGTATGATGCGCACTGTGTGAGTGAGACAGTGTGGTATGGTATGGTGTCAAGTCAAGCCCTCTATTCCCACTGACCACCATCATGCCCCTCCCACCATCTCTTCGTGCATGCGTGTGCAGGCAGCAGCTGGGGGCAGTGGAGGTGAAGGCAGCGGACTTGCAGCGGCTGCAAGTGGAGGAATCGTCACGTCAAACCTGCTACTTCTGCCCCTCGCGCTTCTAACTCCCTCCCTTCCTTCCTCTCTTCCACTCGCCTCCCCATGCGTGCAGGCAGCAGCTGGGCGCAGTGGAGGTGAAGGCAGCGGACTTGCAACGGTTGCTGCCAGGGGAGTGCTTGAACGACACAGTCATCGACTTTTATGTCAAGTAGGTGTGTCCTTGATTTGAGTTCAAGTGTGTGCTGTCAGCAGGTTCCCTTGTTTTTATGCCAAGTTAAGTAGATAGGCTGGCTCGTCTCAGTCTCAACTCAAATATGCTGTGCACGGGAGTACTTTCGCGAGTTTGTCGAGAAGTTGGTGCCACCAATGCTCAGATTCAGTCACACTTGTCCTCGCATGTCAAATCATTAGACTCTTGAACGTTTGTTGAAATTCAGTTATTGCACCAATCCCCGTGTCCAGGTTCATTGAACAGACGATGCTGCAAGAGCCACAGCGGTTGCGGTTCCACTTCTTCAGCACCTTCTTCTCCACCTCGCTCGTCCGCGCGCAGGAGCGATTCGTGAGTTCCCCTCTGTTGTGCCCTGCGTTTTCTCAACCTCGCTCTTCCTGCTGGTTGCTCTTTGAGATGACTCAGTACTCTTCTCCACCTCGCTCGCTCTTCCGCTCCCAGTAGCGATTCGTAAGTGCCCCTCCTGCTTTGATGCGCAGTGCTGTAATACTATCATACGGCACGGTGCAGTTCAGTGCTGTGTGGTGGAACCACGCCCTCAATCATGTCCCCCTCCTAACTCCCTCGTCCATCTCCCCGCGAGATCTGATGCGTCTGACAAGGTGCCCTTGCTCCTGCAATCCCCCCCGCCCTTGCCCCTCCCCCCCCAAACTCCCCACACCAGAAGCTGACTCAGGACCCGCACGAGCTGATGCGTCGACAAGGTGCCCTTCCCCCGCCATTCCCCCCGCCCTTCACCGTGCTCTTTCCCCCGCCCTCCCCCTTCCTCCCCTAACCTCCCCACACCAGAAGCTGACTCAGGACCCGCACGAGCTGATGCGGCTAACCAGGTGGACGAGGGGCACGGACATTTTCTCCAAGGACTTCATCGTCATCCCCTTCCATGAAGAGTACGCCCCCTTTCTTGTCTGTCCTTGCTGCTCTCTGGGGTCGTGATCGTTTCGCTCCTTGTCTGTGCCGTGCTTGTGTGGTGTGGCAAGCCGAGCTGCTAAGAAAAGCAAGTTTCGCAGCCATTGGAGAAGCATATGACGGCATTGGAGCGTGGCCATCATATGCTTCCCCAGGAAGGATGTGATGTGAGGATGCCCCCCCTCTCCTCTACCCCCATGCCCTTACGCACGCCCCCTCCCCACTTGCTCCCCCCCAAACCCCTTTTAATCCCACAGATCTCGCAGCCATTGGAGTCTGGCAATCATATGCTTTCTCAGCAAGGACGTGAGGAAGACCACCCGTAAGGGGTCAGGAGAAAGTAGCAAGGGGCCAGGTGAAAACAACAAGGGCCCAGGAGAAAACGGCAAAGCGCCAGGAGTTTCAGGAGAAAACAACAGAGAAACACGAGGAGCAGCGAAGTTAAGGGAAGAGGGCAGCGTGGGAAATGGGGGAGAGAGGGGGAATGGGAAGGGGAGGGGCAACGGGGGAAAAGGGGAGAGGGGCAAGAGGGGCATTGGGGGCAATGGAGGCGTGGGGAGGGGGAGGGGGAAGGTGGGCGCTTTTCAGTCAATTCCGAAAGGAAGGAGGGCGAATCTGAAAAGAAGCAGGGCGGACATGAAAGGAAGGGGGGTGAGTACGCAAGCCAGGGGGTGGCTTGGGCAAAGCAGGGAAGTGCGAGCATTGTTGGAAGGTGGGAGAAGAATTTCGTTAAGTGAGAGAGGTGCTGTCGTGGCAGAGGGGGGTGAGGAGGGTGGTAGAAAGGGCGATGGGAAGGGGAGAGGCAGCAGTGCTGGTAGAGTGAGGAGGCTTGCTGACGTGGCAGAAGTTGCAGTGTCGGTGGAGAGAGGAGAAGAGGATGGGGAGGGGGAGATGGGGGAGGAGGAAGAGGAGGAGGAGGAGGAGGAGGAGGAGAAGGAGGAGGAGAAAGGCGAAGGTGGAAGGGAGGGGGTTGGGAAGGAGAGACGAGGGGAGGGAGGAAAAAGTGTGAGAGTTGCGAGCGTGAATCGGCTGACGTCCCAGGGTGGTGATATCCCCAGTCCCAGGGTGTGTGGGGGCAGGTCTTATGTGAAGCGAAGGCGGTTGGATGCGGTTGATGGGGGTGTGATGCATGATGGGTCCGGGGATAACGCAGATGGTATGGGTGTTGTGTGTGGTGTGGGTGATGGCATGGTGTGGGGTGTAAGGAAGCATCTGCAAACACGCAGCAGGGCGAGGGGTAAGGCGAGAGAAGAAGCTCCAAGGGAGGATGAGGAGGAGAAGGAGAAGGAGAAGGAGAAGGAGAAGGAGAAGGAGAAGGAGAAGGAGAAGGAGAAGGAGAAGGAGAAGGAGAAGGAGAAGGAGAAGGAGAAGGAGAAGGAGAAGGAGAAGGAGAAGGAAGAGAGGGAAGAGAAGGAGGAGAAGGAGGAGAGGGAAGAGGAGGAGGAGAAGGAGGAGAAGGATGAGGAGGAGGAGAAGGAGGAGAAGGATGAGGAGAAGGAGGAGGAAATTGGTGGTGGTGCGAGGGGGGTGATAGACGTTGGTGGGATCAGCGGAGTGGAAAGGCGTGGAGGGGCCGATAGAGTGGTGGCGACGAAGAAGAGGGAGGAGAGAGTGGAGGAAGAGGGATGGATGTTGAAGAGAGGTGTGTGGAGGTGGCTGGTGTGGCTGCGGGAGGGAAGGATGAAGGGGTGGAAGAAGGGAAGGATGAAGGGGTGGAAGAAGGGAAGGATGAAGGGGTGGAAGAAGGGAAGGATGAAGGGGTGGAAGAAGGGAAGGATGAAGGGGTGGAAGAAGGGAAGGATGAAGGGGTGGAAGAAGGGAAGGATGAAGGGTGGAAGAAGGGAAGGATGAAGGGGTGGAAGAAGGGAAGGATGAAGGGGTGGAAGAAGGGAAGGAGGAAGGGGTGGAAGAAGGGAAGGATGAAGGGGTGGAAGAAGGGAAGGAGGAAGGGGTGGAAGAAGGGAAGGATAGGGGTGGAAGAAGGGAAGGATGAAGGGGTGGAAGAAGGGAAGGATGAAGGGTGGAAGAAGGGAAGGATGAAGGGGGGAAGAAGGGAAGGATGAAGGGGTGGAAGAAGGGAAGGATGAAGGGGGGTGGAAGAAGGGAGGATGAAGGGGTGGAAGAAGGGAAGGATGAAGGGGTGGAAGAAGGGAAGGATGAAGGGGTGGAAGAAGGGAAGGATGAAGGGGTGGAAGAAGGGAAGGATGAAGGGGTGGAAGAAGGGAGGATGAAGGGGTGGAGAAGGGAAGGATGAAGGGGTGGAAGAAGGGAAGGATGAAGGGGTGGAAGAAGGGAAGGATGAAGGGGTGGAAGAAGGGAAGGAGGAAGGGGTGGAAGAAGGGAAGGATGAAGGGGGGAGAAGGGAAGGAGGAAGGGGTGGAAGAAGGGAAGGATGAAGGGGTGAAGAAGGGAAGGATGAAGGGGGTGGAAGAAAAGAAGGGAAGGATGAAGGGGTGGAAGAAGGGAAGGATGAAGGGGTGGAAGAAGGGAAGGATGAAGGGGTGGAAGAAGGGAAGGATGAAGGGGTGGAAGAAGGGAAGGATGAAGGGGTGGAAGAAGGGAAGGATGAAGGGGTGGAAGGTGGAAGAAGGAAGGATGAAGGGGTGGAAGAAGGGAGGATGAAGGGGTGGAAGAAGTGGAAGAAGGAAGGATGAAGGGGTGGAAGAAGAAGGGAAGGATGAAGGGGTGGAAGAAGGGAAGGATGAAGGGGTGGAAGAAGGGAAGGATGAAGGGGTGGAAGAAGGGAAGGATGAAGGGGGTGGAAGAAGGAAGGATGAAGGGGTGAAGAAGGGAAGGAGGAAGGGGTGGGGGAAGAAGGGAAGGATGAAGGGGTGGAAGAAGGGAAGGAGGAAGGGGGTGGAAGAAGGGAAGGATGAAGGGGTGGAAGAAGGGAAGGATGAAGGGGTGGGTGGAAGAAGGGAAGGATGAAGGGGTGGAAGAAGGGAAGGATGAAGGGGTGGAAGAAGGGAAGGATGAAGGGGTGGAAGAAGGGAAGGATGAAGGGGTGGAAGAAGGGAAGGATGAAGGGGTGGAAGAAGGGAAGGATGAAGGGGTGGAAGAAGGGAAGGATGAAGGGGTGGAAGTGGAAGAAGGGAAGGATGAAGGGGTGGAAGAAGGGAAGGATGAAGGGGTGGAAGAAGGGACGGATGAAGGGGTGGAAGAAGGGAAGGATGAAGGGGTGGAAGAAGGGAAGGATGAAGGGGTGGAAGAAGGAGAAGGAAGGATGAAGGGGTGGAAGAAGGGAAGGATGAAGGGTGTGGAAGAAGGGAAGGATGAAGGGTGGAAGAAGGGAAGGGAAGGGGTGGAAGAAGGGAAGGATGAAGGGGTGGAAGAAGGGAAGGATGAAGGGGGTGGAAGAAGGGAGGATGATGAAGGGTGGAAGAAGGGAAGGATGAAGGGGGTGGAAGAAGGGAAGGATGAAGGGGGTGGAAGAAGGGAAGGATGAAGGGGTGGAAGAAGGGAAGGATGAAGGGGTGGAAGAAGGGAAGGATGAAGGGGTGGAAGAAGGGAAGGATGAAGGGGTGGAAGAAGGGAAGGATGAAGGGGTGGAAGAAGGGAAGGATGAAGGGGTGGAAGAAGGGAAGGATGAAGGGGTGGAAGAAGGGAAGGATGAAGGGGTGGAAGAAGGAAGGATGAAGGGGTGGAAGAAGGGAAGGATGAAGGGGTGGAAGAAGGGAAGGATGAAGGGGTGAAGAAGGGAAGGAGGAAGGGGTGGAAGAAGGGAAGGAGGTAGGGAAGGAGGAGGGGAAGGAGGACGGGTTGCAGGAGCATGGGAGGGTAGAAACAAGAAGGGATGGTGGGGGGATGGTAAGGGAGAGTATGAGGCTAGAGTGGGATGATGTGAGAGGGGTGTGGAGGCTTGGTGGCGCTGAGACGAGGCAAGAAAGAGTTTGGAGAGGCAAGTGGAAGGCGGCAAAGCTGGCGCGGAGAGGGGAGTGGGAAGGAGGGAGGGTGGTGGGGAGGAGGGAGGATGGGGCTAAAGATGAAGCAAGAGAGGAGGGCAGTTTGGGAGAGAAGCGAGGTGCAGGAAAGGAGGAAGCTGTAGGAGAGGAGGGAGAAGGGGAGCGAGGGGGGGAACGAAGGGAAATGGCGGAAGGGGAGGCATGGAAGAAAGGGATGGAAGAAGAGGGAGGGATGGAAGAAGAGGGAGGGTGATGAAAGAGGAGGAGGGGTGAAAGAAGAGGGAGGGGTGAGTGGGGGGGAGGAGGATGGAATTTTGTTGGAGAGGGAAGGAGTGGCGATGGAAAAGGTCAAAGGCAGGGCTTTGTGGGTGTAGAGGGGAGAGAGGGGGGAGTAGAGGACGGGAGAGAGGAGGACGGAGAGGAGGGGGAGAGAGGAGGACGGAGAGGAGGGGAGAGAGGAGGGAGGAGAGGAGGACGGAGAGGAGGGGAGAGAGGGAGGAGGAGAGGAGGGAGGAGGACGGAGAGGAGGGGAGAGAGAGGGAGGAGAGGAGGACGGAGAGGAGGGGAGAGAGAGAGGAGGGAGGAGAGGAGGACGGAGAGGAGGGGGGAATGGAGGGGGGAATGGAGGGGGGAATGGAGGGGGGAGAGGAGGAGGAATTGGGGGTAGGAGAGGAGAGGGTATTGGAAGGGGGAAGAGAGGTGAGAGAGGAGGGTGGAGAGGAGGGGAGAGAGGAGGGACGAGAGGAGGGGAGGGAGGAGGGATTGGAGAAAGGGACTGAGGAAAAAGAGGAAAAAAGGGAGGAGAAATCTGAGAAGGTGGAGAGGAAAGAAGAAGGTGGAGAGGAAGAGAAAGTGGGGGAAAAAGAGGAGGGGATCGAGAAGATGAAAGAGGAGAGGAAAGAGGACAGGGAAGAGGAGAAGGAAAATGAGAGGAAAGAGGGAGGTGGAGAGGAAGAGAAAGTGGAGAGAAGAGAGAGGAAGGGAAAGAGGAGAGGAAAGAGGTGAGGGAAGAGGAGAGGAAAGAGGAGAGGAAAGAAAAGGAAGGAGGAGGAGAGGAGATGAAGAGGAGATGGAAGTGGAGAGGAAGGAGGATATAAAAGAGGAGGGCGAACGAAAGGAGATGAAAAAGGAGCGGGAAAGAGGAAAGTGAAGAGAGGAAAGAGGAGAGGAAAGAGGAGAGGAAAGAAGAGAGGGAAGAGGTGAGGGAAGAGGTGAGGGAAGAGGAGGTGAAAGAGGGGAAAAAGGAGAGCGAAGAGGGAGAGCAAAGAGGAGAGGAGGGAGAGGAGAGTCGAGGCGAAGGGGGGGCTGTTTTGGCTGGAAAGTTGGTTACTCATGGAGGGACGGCTGTAGCAGATGCTGCTGCTGTAGCTCCAACCGCTTGCAGTTGCACCAACCACTGCTTTAGCAACAATTCTGTCTCCATTGGAACAATTTTTGCCTGCTACAACTTCTCCTGCTGCAGGCTCGCCTGCTACAGCTACTCCAGCCGTACCTGCTACTACTGCTCCTGCTACAGCTGCACCTGCTACACCCGCGCCTGCTACAACCGCCCCTGCAACAGCTGCTGCTGCGCCTGCCTGCACAACATCTGCTACAGCGGCAGTTGGACGCGGCATGTCTGCTATGCAGCTGCTGATGCGAGCAACAGTGTCTGGCCCTCAAGCCCTGGCCAAGGCAGGTGCACGCACTGTTGAGAGCACTCGTGAGGGCACTAAGGAGGGGACTCGTGAGGGCACTAAGGAGGGGACTCGTGAGGGCACTAAGGAGGGCACTCGTGAGGGCAGTTGTGGAATGACTCGAGAGGGGTTTTGTGTTGATGTTGCTGCTGGGAGACGTTGTGAGGGAATGCATGAGGGCAGCTTCTTTCATGCCGTTGAAGGAGGCCGTGAGGGAGTTGGTGCGGCGGCTGCTGCTGAGGTGGTTCGGGAGAAAACTGGAGAGGGACAAGGCAGTGAGGGCGGAAAGAAGGTGGTCCCTCAGGTGTGTGAAGCGGTGGGGAGCGGTGCAAATGGGAGTGAACCAGGGGAGATCAGGGGAGGGGAGACGGGGGTTGGGGAGGCAAGCAAGGACGGGGAAGAAGAAGGGAGTGGGAGCAAGGAAGGGAGGGATAGAGAAGAGGGTAGGCTTGGAAGGTCTGTGGAAGAGAGAGGAGGCATGGAGGGGCAGGTCGAACTGGGGGAGGCGGTTCTGATAGTAGCGAGGGTCTTGGGGTGGTTATATGGGGTATGGGAAGGAAATTGTGGGGTATGGGAAGGAAATTGAGGGGTATAGTGAAGAGAAAGTGGCAGAGGAGGAGAGAGAGGAAAGGTGGAGTAGTGGGTGATGTGAGTCAAGGGGAAGAGAAGGTAGAGGAGGGGGAAAAGGAGGTAGAGGAGGGAGAGGAGGAGGGGGAGGATTGGAGGAAGGGGAGGAGGGAGAGGAGGGAGAGGAAGAGCTGGAGGAGGGAGAGGAAGGAGAGGAAGGAGAGGAAGGAGATAAGGAGGGAGAGGAGGGAGAGGAGGGAGAGGAGGGAGAGGAGGGAGAGGAGGGAGAGGAGGGAGAGGAGGGAGAGGAAGGAGAAGAGATAGAGGAGGAAGACGAGGGAGAGCTAGGGGAGGAGGGATCAGAGGAGGAGGGAGAAGAGGAGGGTGGGGAATGGAGGGGAAGAGATAGAAGATACCCAGGAGGAGGAGAGGGAGGAAGGGGAGGAAAAAGAGGAGAATCCGGAGAAGGAGGCTGAAGTGGATGGGTCTGGAGGTGTGCAAGTGAGGGAAGTAGGGAGCTGGATTCCTGGGTTGGATGATGCTGATGCTGGTGATGCTGTTGGTGATGCTGGTGATGATGATGATGTGAAGGAGATAGGTTTCAATACGTTTCGGGGGGGCAGGGGCAGAGCCGAAGGCAGGGGGCGGGCAGGAAAGGCAGCGCAAATGAGACGAGGAGGAAAGAGAGGGGTTCAGATGCGGGGCAGCGGGAAGGGAAAGCAGCAGAGGGGCACAAGGGGAGGGCAGATGAAGTGGAGTATGGAGGGGGAGGAAGAGGAGGAGGAGGATGAGGAGGGGGGAGCAGGAGGGGTAGGTGGAGAGGGGTTGGAGCTGGTGACGGGGCCAAATGGCACACGTGAGGCCACCATTCTGTACCTTGACTCGCTGCCTGATAGCTCCAAGTCGCCTAGCATCTACAGCGCGATCAAGTTGTGAGTTTGGTTCTGTTGTTGCTTGGGTACCGTTCAACCACACACATATGCACACCGCACACACGCACACACACACACACACACACACCACACACACACACACACACCACACACACACACACACACACACACACACACACCACACACACACACACACACACACACCACGCGCGCACACACACACACACACACAACACACACACACACACACGCAGATGCACACTCACACTCATGCACGCACGCAGACGCACACTCACACACACGCACACATGTCGCATCCCATCTACACGTGTGATGTCATGCGACACGCGCACGCTTGCACACACTCGAGCCGTGAGTAAGAGCTTTAAGTAAGAGCCTCTTTCTCGGCTCCCGTGCACTTCTTACTTAAAGCACAAAAAAAGAAAGGAAAAAGATGCTGTGCCTGCTCATACGAGCCATAGCTCCTAATTGGTTTGCCCCGATTCCTTCTCTGTCTCTTTTCATCTTCATGTATCCTCTCTCTCCTCCATGCTCCTCTCTCTTTGCCCGCCCCCCCCTCCCTCCCCTCCCCCCCTCCACACAGCTACCTGCAGGCTGAGTGGATGAAGAGGAGCAAGGAGCCCTTGGATCCAAAGAAACCGCTGCAATCTGGGCCATTCAGCAAAGTGCGGGGGAGGAAAGTCAAGGTGGGTTTCTCTCCACTCACTCGTTGCTTCGGAGAATTCTCTGAAGCACAGGCGGGAGAAGTCTAGTTTTGAGGCGCCTCAAAACTAGACTTCTTGTAGGTGCAAGATGAACTCTGCAGTGCTCCCTACCACCTTCAACACCCCCTGCACCTTTCCCCGCCACACTCCCCTTTCTCTGCGCTCTCCTGCTTGCATCTGTTCAGGTACCAGCACAGGACAACGACTATGACTGTGGCTGTTTCATCCTCTACTACATCCACACTCAGATGTGTGAACCCCAATGCACACTCTCCCCTCGCCTTGCCCTGCTCTGCTCTGCTCTCCGTGTGTCTGCGCAGGTGCCAGCACAGGACAACGACTATGACTGCGGCTGTTTCATCCTTTGCTACATTCAGAAGTTCGCTCAGATGGCCGCTGCTCTCCCACGCTCTGCCGATGGCGTTGCAGACAAGGTACGCTGCGCACTGCTCCCCCCCCCACCCCCCCCCCCCCCCTCTTCCCTTTTTTTCTTTTTGGTAGCTGAAAAAAAATAGACCACTGTGATCGAGGCATGTGAAGCATCCTCGCTGCGCCGGTGGCTCTTCTCCATAGTGGCGGGCATGCTGCTGCCTAATCATAAACCCCCCTCCTCTTCCCCTCTGTCACCCCCTCCCCTGCACCACCAGTTGAGCAACGACTGGTTTGAAGCATGTGAAGCATCCTCTCTGCGCCGGCGACTCTTCTCCATTGTGGCGGGCATGCTGCTGCCTCACGAACCCCCGCCGCAACCCCTCTCACCGCCCTCTCAAACCCTCTCAACTCCCTCACAACCCATCTCACCACCTTCTCAACCGATCTCCCTTCCTCCACCTGCCTCGCCGGCCCTGCCCATCTCTCCACCTCCAGCAACCTCCCTTCCATCTCCTGCCCTTCCACCTGCTGTTGGCACCATTGCTGCTAGTGCACTAACGCCCACGTTAACAGTAGCATCAGCTGCAGCGGCAGCTGGAGCGACAGCAGCAGTGGTAGCAGCAGAACAACCAGCAACAGCAGCTGGAGCAGCAGCAAAAGAAGCAACAGCAGGAGCAGCAGCAGGAAAAGCAGCAGCAGGCACGCCTATCAAGGTGAAGAGGGGAAGAGGCAGGCCCCACAAGCAAGTGGAGGAGGACGCAATCAGCCCTGCTGACGCTGCTGCTGCTGATGTGCGCACGACTGGTGTGGGTGCTACTGGTGTAACTACTGATGATGGTGATGCTGGCGCCAGTGCTATTGCTGGTGTAGGTGAGGCTACAACTGGTGCAGGCGCTGCTGCTGGTGCTGGTGGTGCAACTGCGGATGTGGGTGATGCTGATGTGGCTGGTCCGGGTGGTGCAGGTACAGCCGGTGCAGGTGCATCTGGTGCAGGTGCATCTGATGAGGGTGCATATGGCCTGCCCAAAGAGATCAGTCTTCTGCCAGAAAATGCTGGCACACCCGAGGCTGAGGCTGACATTGGATCAGAGGCTAGGGCCGAGGCTGAGGCTAGGGCCGAGGCTGGGGATGGGGCTGACGTTGGGGCGAGAAGGGGGCCGAGGCTGGGGGCGCCTGCGGTGCAGTTGACGTGGATGCTGCGTGCAGGGAGGATGCTGATGTTGCTCGCGTGACAGGCAATCTGGAGCAAGACGACACCCAAGGCGACACCGGACATGACACCCAAGGCGGTTGGTAGCAGCAGGGAGGGCAGTGAAGCGCTGGTTGTGTTTGGCAAGGAGCCGTGGTCTGCTTGGCCCTGCCGCGCTTCTGAGCCCCTGGGTCACATCAGGCCCTCGCCCCTCTGGCCCTGGCGTGCTTATATTTGTGCTGCTGGTGGTGCTGCTGCTGCTAATGGGGGTGGTGGTGCTTATATTTGTGCTGCTGATGGTGGTGGTGGTGGTGATTATGATGGTCGTGCTTTTGCGTGGCCGGGTGTGCAAGAGTCGGCGCCAGTGCTGGTTGCAATTGTTTGGCAACCGTTGGACGGCACGAGTCAACATCCACATGAAAGGAGTGCCGACGGGGAGGGTGTGACACAACCAGGTGTAGAGAGGGATGCAGAAAGGTTAGAAGGAGAAGCGGTGGAGGGGAAAGAGAGAGACAGGGCGGGGGAGATTGAGAGAGAGGGCGGGGAGGGGGAAGAGAAAGTAGGAGGAAAGGAGGGAGAGGGAGAAGGGGCGGTGAGGGGAAGAGCGCGAGGGGGGACGAAGCGGAAGCGAGTGAAACGCAGTGCTGGATGGGGCCAGAGGAAGAGGGTCCGCAGGGGGGTGAAGGGGCAAGAGGGGGAGGGGAAGAAGAAGCAGGCTGAGGGGGGGGAGAGGAGGAGGGAGGATGATGAGGAGGAGGGGAAGGAGGATGGGGAGGAGAAGAGGAGAGATAAGGATAGGGAGGAAAAGAGGAGAGATGAGAGGGTTAGGGACGAGGTGGGCAGGGAGGAGAGATGTAGGGATGAGAGGGGTAAATGGATGCTGATAAGGCTTGCACCTTCAAAAGAGGTGATTCGAGTGAGAAGAGGGGGAGATGAGGAGGGAAAGGTGGAGGTTTCTGGGATGGGGGATGAGCATCAGGAGGGCTGATAGGGGCTGGGGAAGAGGGAGAGGAGGGGTGTGGAGTGGGCGTAGAGAGAGGTTTAGAGGGAGGTGTGGAGAGAGGTGCGGAGGAAGAAGCAGGGGTGGAGGCGAGAGGCATTGCAGCAGAGGAGATGGAGGCAGCAGCAGGAGCGGCGGTGGCAGCAGCAGCGGCGGCAGCAGCAGTGGCTTCCATGAGAGAGTTTGTGAGGAAAGCACGTGCTGCTGCCGCCGCCGCTGCTGCTGCTGCTGCTGTCGCTGCTGCGACTGCGACTGCGACTGCGACTGCGACTGCGGGTCGTGCTGCTGTAAAGGAGGAGAAGCAGCAGGAACGGAAAGCTGCAGCAGGAAGCAGAGGGAAAGTGACACCACGCACTAGCATGGCAATCGCTCTTGAGGAATCCAAAACTGTGACGTTTCCGAAGCTCGAATCAGGCTCGGCACCGGAGCAGCTGCACAGCTTCGGCTCTGGCGAATCTGAGTTGGACCTGTTGGTGAAGTTTGGTTTCGGGAGGGCGGCAGAGGGGCGGCGGCGGCTGGCAGGGTTTACTGAGATGTTAATGTGGAATGGAGGCAGAGATGGTGCTGTGGCGATGGAGGATGGTAGAGCGGTGCAGTGCGGTGCTGGGGAGGGGCAGCAGCGGCAGCTAGCAGGGTTCACTGAGCTGTTACAGTGGAATGGAGGCAGATATGGAAGTGAGACGGTGGCGGCTTATAATGTAGCTGGGATTGCCCGTTTGGAGGAAAGTGGAGTGGTGCAGTGTGGTAGTGAGGAGGGGGCGTGGCGGCAGTGGGTTGAGAGGTGGAAGGAGGGGAGAGGGGATGGGAGCAGCAAAGCAGGGGAGGGGTTGGATGGGATGAGGGTGGGAGGAGAAGGGGTGGGAGGAGAAGGGGTGGGAGGAGAAGGGGGGGAGGAGAAGGGGTGGGAGGAGAAGGGGGAGGAGTGGAGGGAGGAGGAGCAGGGGGAGGAGGAGTGGAGGGAGGAGGAGCAGGTGGAGGAGGAGCAGGTGGAGGAGGAGCAGGTGGAGGAGGAGCAGGTGGAGGAGGAGCAGAGACGAGAGTTGTTTGGGGAGGGTCTGAAAAGGTTGAGAGTCCAAGAATGGAGGAGGATGGTGTGAAGAAAGATGAGGAGGGAAGTAGTGCGGAGAGAAGTGAGATGGAAGAGAGTGGCTTTGTGGGGGTGTGTGGAAAATTCGCTGGTCGGGAAAGGGAGGCTGAAGTCAAAGCTGTGAAGGAGGAAGGGTGCAAAGGCAGGGTTGAGCGTGCAAGTGGGGATGGGGATGGGAATGTGGATGAGCATATGGTTGGCTACGAGATTGGATATGAGGTTGGATATGGGATAGGGAATGAGGTTAGGAATATGAATCAGGGGGATGGGGCGGAAGAGGTGGAGAGGAAGGGGGAGGAGATGGAGAGGAGGGGGGAAGAGGTAGAGAGGAGGGGAGGGAGTGTGATGGATTGCAGGCCTTTGGATGAGTGTGAGATGGAGGGGAGGGAGAGAGTGGAGGTGGAGACGCAAGAAGGGGAGTGGGAGGGAGAAGAGGTGGAGAAGCAAGAAGGGGAGGGGGAGAGAGAAGAGGTGGAGAAGCAAGAAAGGGAGGGAGAAGAGGCGGAGAAACAAGAAGGGGAGGGGGGGATAGAAGAGGTGGAGAAGCAAGAAGGGGAGGGGGGGAGAGAAGAGGCGGGGAAGTTAGTGGGTAGCAGGAAGAAAGAAGAGAAGCAAGATGAGGAGAGCAAGGATCAAGTAGTGCAGGGGAAGGAAGCAGAGGATAATTGTGAGGGTGAGGAAGAGATGGATAATATAGGAGGAGCAGGGGAAGAGGAGAAGGATGAGGGAGGAGAGGCACGGGAAGAGGAGAAGGATGAGGGAGGAGAGGCACGGGAAGAGGAGAAGGATGAGGGAGGAGAGGCACGGGAAGAGGAGAAGGATGAGGGAGGAGAGGCACGGGAAGAGGAGAAGGATGAGAGGGGAGAAGCAATGGAAGAGGAGAAAGGTGAGAGAGGAGAAGCGATGGACAAGGAAGGAGCTGCAGCTGGTAACAGGGAATGGGCGAGTGAGGCGAAAGGAATAAATGAAGACGGTGAGGAGGGAAAGAAGGTGAATGAAAGGGATGAGGAGGGGAAGGAGACGAACCCAGAAGGGGAGGAGGAAATGGAGGTGAATGAAACGGGTGAGGAGAAAAAGGAAGTGAACTTAGAGGGTGCGGAGGTGAGTGAAGGTGGTGAGGAGGGCAAGATTGAGACTAGACGGGGTGAGGAGGGCAAGATTGAGACTAGAGGGGGTGAGGAGGGCAAGATTGAGACTAGAGGGGGTGAGGAGGGCAAGATTGAGACTAGAGGGGGTGAAGAGGCGAAAGAAATGAACATGGTGGGTATAGCGGTTGAGGGGGAGAATGGAAGAGAGGAAAGGAGAGTTGCAGCTGGTAACAGGGAATGGGTGAGTGAGGCGAACGAAATGAATGAAGGTGGTAAGGAGGTGAATCAAGGGGGTGAGGAGGTGAATCAAGGGGGTGAGGAGGTGAATCAAGGGGGTGAGGAGGCGAATGGAGGAGAGGTACAGGGATGTACAGACGGTGGTGGTAGTGGGAGACGAATAGATGGGGAAGGAAGAGAGGACGAGTGGGGAAGGAGAGTGGAGAAGGAGGAAGAAGGAGAGGACGTGCATGTGGTGGGTGAAGCAGAGGGCGAATCAAAGGGGGGAGCAGTGGAGGAAGCAGTGGAGGAAGCAGTGGAGGAAGCAGTGGAGAAAGCAGCAGTGGAGGAAGCAGTGGAGGAAGCAGCAGTGGAGGAAGCAGTGGAGGAAGCAGCAGTGGAGGAAGCAGTGGAGGAAGCAGCAATGGAGGAAGCAGTGGAGGAAGCAGTGGAAAGGAAGAGAAGGCGGCTCGATCAGAGTGTTGCTATTAGTTCTGATCGTGCCGGCCCACCGATCAAACCTGGCGCTGCTGCTTATGGTTCGGAAACTAGTCCTGGTGACCATGAGCGTCAGAATGGTAGGCTTGGTAGGAATCGACTCGGTGAGAATAGGGTTGGCGAGGATAGGCCCGGCAGCAGCAGCCTCGGTGTTACCAGCAGCAGGCCTGTGCGAAAGGCTAGTCTTGGCAGGTTCGGGGTTGGCCGAACCAGACTGGAAGAGGGGCTCAGGTTCGGTGAGGAAATGTCACCAGTGCTGGTGCTTCACAGGCTCGGTAGCCATCCCAAGGCCCCCCGAAGCAAGCGGCCTCGGAAGTCCAGGTTCGGAAAAGACCCGCAACAAACAAGCGAGGAGCCAGGTTCGATTCGAAGGTCCGGCAGAGGTTCGGGGGGTCGCAAGAGGAAACGAAAGAATAGTGCTGGAGAAACCACCACAGGCTATCGTGGAAATGCAGCTGCTGACAGTAAAGGCGAGGCTTATAACGAGACTGAATCTGGAGGAGGGATGGGTGAAGGATTTTTGGCATATGCGGCAGGGGGAATGGAAGGGAGAGAGGTAGCAGGGAGAGGGGAAGAGGGGGAGGCAAGAGATGGCGAGAGAGCAAGCGCTGAAGAGATGGAAGCAGATGGTGTTGGAACTGCATGCGTCAGTGGCCCTCTTGCTTCCACTCTGCCTGCTGCCTTGACGTCTCAACGCTGCCCTCCCCTTCCTCTGCCCCTGTTGGTCCCTCCTTCCCGCCCTCTGCCCCTGTCTGCCTCTTCTCCCCGACCTCGCCTCCTGGTGCTTCCATCTCTTGTTCCTCTGCCGCCTCCTCGTCGTCTTCCCCGCCCCACTGCTTCTGCTGCTTCTGCTCCTGCTCCTCCTGCTGCTCCTGCTGCTCTTGCTTCTGCTCCTGCCGCTTCAGCTGCTGCTGCGGCTACTGCTTCTGCTCCTGCTGATGCTGCTCCTGCTGCTACTGCTCCTACAGATGCTGCTACTCCTGCCTCTTCTTTACCACACTCCCCTCTATCCCTCTACTCCCCTCCATCCTCCCACACTTCTCCATCCTCCCACCCTTCTCCATCTCCCCACCCCTCTCCATCCTCCCACCCCCCTCCATTGCCAACACCTATTGCCCCAAGCTCTCCTCCTCCTCCTGCTCCTCCTCCTGTGCCCACTCCACTGGCCACTGCTCTGAAGGAAAGTCACACTGTGACTGCAGACGGGGTGACAGCAGTGAAGGCCGAACCTGCCCCTTCTGCCCCTCGCTCTCCTCCTCCCCCTCCTGCTGTTCCACCTCCTCCTGCTGCTGCTGATTCTGCTCTGTCCATGCCCACTCCATCAGCCGCTGCTCTGAAGGAGAGTCACAGTGTGATTGAAGAAGAGGTGACTACAATGAAGGCCGATCCTGCCCCTGCTGCCCCTCCCTCGTTTCTTCCTGCTGTGCCCACTCCATCAGCCGCTGCTCTGAAGGAGAGTCACAGTGTGACAAAAGCAGAATTGGCAGCACCCAAGGCCGAGCCAACCCCTTCAAACCTTCCCTCTCCTCCACCTCCTCCACCTCCTCCTCCTGCTGTTCCACCTCCTGCTGTTGCTGCTGATTCTGCTCTGTCCGTGCCCACTCTATCAGCTGCTTCTCCAAAGGAGGAAATTCATGCTGTGATCGAAGAAGGGGTGACTGCAGTGCAGGATGCGCCACCAACCACTGTGACTGCAACCGTTGAACCCTCCGATGTGACTGTAAAGGATGAAAAGGACGAGCCTGCTGCTGTGACTGTAAGGGATGAGAAGGATGAGCCGGCTTCTGTGACTTCAGTCCTGGAACCCTCTGCTGTGACTGTAAAGAATGAGAATGCTGAGCCTGTTACTGTAGCTATAGACTGTGACCCCACAGATGTGACTGTAGAGGGTGAAAAGGATGAGCTAGCTGCTGTGACTGTAGAGAGTGAGATGGATGAGGCCGATGAAACTGATGAAACGGATAAGCTTTTGACTCTGACTGCAAGCCTTGAACCTGCGTCTCTGACTGCAAGGGATGAGACGGATGAGTTGCCTGCTGTGACTGAAAAAAATGAGCCAGCTGCCGTGACTGTAGAGGGTGAGAAGGAGGAGGCCAATGAGAAGGACGAGCTACCTGCTGTGACTGCATGTGTTGACCCCACTGCTGTGGCTGTAGAGGGTGAAAAGCATGAACCGCTTGCAATGATTGTAGAGAGTGAGGAGGAGGAGGCCAATGAGGAGGATGAGAAGGATGGGCTACCTGCTGTGACTGTAGAGGGTGAGAAGGATGAGACCAATGAGAAGGACGAGCTGCCCGCTGTGACTACAAGCGTTGACCCCACTGCTGTGGCTGTAGAGGGTGAAAAGCATGAACCTCTTGCAATGATTGTAGAGAGTGAGAAGGGGGAGGCCAATGAGGAGGATGAGAAGGATGAGAAGGATGAGCCACCTGCTGTGACTGTGAAGGATGAGCTGGCTGCTGTGATTGTAGAGGGGGAGAAGAATGAGCCTCCAGCAGTGTCTCTAAAGGGCGAACCCTCCCCTGTGATTGCAAAGGACGAAGCTGTTGACACGGGTGCTGCAGCTCCACCACCTGCCGCGCGTTGCCGCCCACTTGCCGGGCGGCGCACTGTGGCCCATGGGCTGATAATCAAATCGGGCAGTTCAGCAACCCAGGAGGAGCATCACAACACTCTGGCCGGAATGATGCCGGGCGGCGCTCTGTTGGCTGGGGCCTCAATTGGAGTTCCGTTGCCTCTTGAACCTCCCAGGCTGCATGGGCTTTCCATGGAGGCACGGGACGGTCGGAAGGATGAGGGTGGGAACGTTGAGGGACGAAAGGATGAGGGTCGAAAGAAGGGTCGGAAGGATAAGGAGGGTCGGAAGGATGAGGAGGGTCGGAAGGATGAGGAGGGTCGGAAGGATGAGGAGGGTCGGAAGGATGAGGGTGGGAACGATGAGGGACGAGAGGATGAGGGTCGGAAGAAGGGTCGGAAGGATAAGGAGGGTCGGAAGGATGAGGAGGGTCGGAAGGATGAGGAGGGTCGGAAGGATGAGGAGGGTCGGAAGGATGACTCACATGGCACCTATGATGCCTTGCTGCTGCAGCAGACGCCATCCCCTGTGCTGCTTGTTGCCACCAGGGATGCACAAGACCCTGGTGTTTCACCTGAGTCTCTGTCGCAACCTGGCGATCCACCTGAGGATCAGATGCGACCTGAAGAGCAACCAAGCTGTCAGGAGATTCCAGCAAAATTAGCAGCTGAGGGAAGGACTGATGGTGTGGCAAAAGAAGGTGCTGCCACATCAGCAGCACCTGATTCGATCACGCCTGCCACACAACTGAGCCCTACCCCACTTGCTGTGTCGTCTGTTTGTGTAGTTAGTGCCATGTCAGCCGAGCCCGGCGAACCGTCCACGTCAGCGGAACCTGACATGCCATCCATGTCAGCAGATCCGGTCACTGTTGACATGTCAGCAGAGCTGGTTGCTGCGTGCCTGGGAGCCAATCGCGTGCTCCGATCGCGGAAAGCAGCACCGGCAGCAGCAGCAGCAGCAGCAGGAGCAGCAGGAGCAGCAGGAGCAGCAGCAGGAGCAGGAGGGGGAGGAGGAGCAGGAGTGAAGATGGTTGGAGGAGTGAAGTCAGAAGAAGGAACGAAGGCAGGAGGAGACGCATTGAAGACACCACCACGACGAGGCGTGAAAGCATCGCCACAAGGCGTGACTCGGTCACATGGAGTGAAGGGGAATCAAGGCCACGCCAGGTCACCAGCCCAAGGTAGATCACGAGCCCAAGGTAGGTCACCAGTCCAGGCTAGGTCGCAAGGACGTAATGGGGCGCAAGGCTTGAGGAAGGGGGGAGAAGGAATGGGAGAGAAGAGTAGATCGGGGAAGAGAAAGGCTGGGAAGGCTAGGGAGAGAGGGAGGAGTGGGAAGAGGAGGCGAAAGGAGGAGGAAAGTGAGGAGGAGAGTGAGGAGGAGGATGAGGAGGAAGATAGTGAGCAAGAGATTGCGGAGGAAGGTGGAAGGGAAGCAGAGGAGGAGCACAAGGGAAGAAGGGCCAAAGGGTTGACGAAGGGGGTGGATAGGGTGAAGGAGAAGGAAGTGGAGGGAAGGGAGAAGCGGGTGAGGAGATGGGGTGGTGTCAGCAAGGAGACACGTGATCGGGAGGAGGAGACAGATAATGAGAACAGCGAGAGGCACAATGGTAGCAAAGAGGTTGCGGCAGAGGAAGGATTGCGAGACGAGGGATTGGGAGACGGGGAATTGGTGGGGGCGGAGTATTTGTGGAAAGAGGGTGGAGGGAGGCAGTACAGGAGGAGAAAGCACGGGCGGAGGTGAGTGCAGGAGGGAAAAGAGGGCCAGTGGACGTGAAAGGCGGTTGGGCTTTAAGGAGTCTCGTGAGTGAGCAGACCCGCTGTTCATGATCGGTGAGGGAGAGAAAGGAGGATGGAGGAACTGCAAGGAATGAGCAAGTGTTTTTCTTGCAGGAGCAAACCGCATGTCCTCCATAAACCAATGCAAGCAAGGGGGTAAACAAAGTTGGGAAAGTGTAAGGGTGCAACTGCGCCAGCTGGTACGGGTAGGATGTGGTGCGGTGTGAAGTATACCAGTATTGGCAGCATACAGTACTTCTGTTCTGTAAGCTACACCACCCACCGCTGAACAAGTTGTCAGCTATACATTGTATTAGGGTACATTCCGTGCTGGACATGTCCCAATCGAAAGTGTTTCAATCGTTTCTACCGCACTGCATCGTATTACACCAAATTACACCCTAGTTTCGAATTTTTCGCGTCTCTGGTTTAGTTCGGTTCGGAGCGGTACACTCGATTGGGACACATCGATTGGGACATGTGTCCACAGCGGAATGTACCCTTACCCTATAGCCAAATATTTTAGGTACAGTTTATTTGGTGCATTTCGATACTGCATCAGTATTGCTTTCCTACAGTGGACTCAGAGCAACACAAAATAACCAGCACCTGCATCGAGCCTCTGTAGGGTAGAAGAGGAGAGAACCTAAAGCCGCATCACTACAGGAGAGGACGCATACGGTAGGTCCCTCTAAAAGAAGCAGCATTGGACCTAGACCGTATACTGCAGCCATAGGAGAGGAGATTCTATAGGTGGAGAAAATGCATCTGGTTCTGGGGTACCGGTACCATTTGTCGTGTATCCAATCTTTTATAATGTGATACATATACGGTACATATCAGCTGTTCTGTCTTCAGAAGCCATGGGCCTGCAAGCTCAATGTGCGTCTGCCAGCTCAGCATGGGTAAGTCGGTTCCACATGGGCCTCATCGTAACCTGCAGAGAGAGAGAAAAAAAAAAAAAAAGAGGTACGTAGCAGGTACGTACAATGTGATGCAGGATAATGCAGTGATGCAGATAGCAGAGTGATGTAAAGTGATGCCGCGTGCAATGCAGAGTGATGTACGGTGATGCATGACGGTACAGGTGTGAATGCAGGGTGATTCATAGTGGTGCGGGGTGATGAAAGGTGAATCACAGTAATGCAGGGCGATGCAGGGTGGGACACGGTAGTGCAGGGTGATGCACAGTGATGCACGTTGTGCCTGATTGAAGCTGGCGAGTAAACAACGAATCTGAGCTGGAAACTCAGCAATTTCTCGATTGTTACCAGTCTTGTGTTACCTACTCGTTGCAAACCAGTCTCGTTATACGTCGCCGTTACTAACCGGAGTCATACGCGTTACTGGCTGGCGGTGACGGTGAGCTCGCCCTTGTCCAGCGCGTTGTACAGCTCCTCCGTCTTACGCTTCTCGTTGATGTGACCCATCTTCCATAGCGATCCGCCTGCCACGTAGCATTATCATGTCAGCAGTATTGCGTTAGCCTCGTAAATGTCTCATCTTTCACGACGCGCTTGGTTCGCAGCGAGAAACATTTTACAAAGAAAGGAAAGAGCACTATGTGAAAACTCCTCGGAAATCTTTCAAGGGTCGCGTCTCCATGCTTCAGCCATATTCTGAAGTCCGATTAACTTCAAGAATAGAAAAACGAGTCCCTTGAGCGAATCGGGAGAAAGGTCAGGAAGTCAGGGTAAAAACGTCGTGCAATTGCCCGACAAGGGCTTGGTACAGGGAGGGCTTGAGGAGGAAATTCGCGACGCTGCTATACAAAGTAATAAGCGACGCTGATGTACGGACCTACGGCACCGAGGCTAAGGCCAGCGGCGATCTCGAAAATGACACTCGGGCCGCCCTTCTTGGCGACAGCCGCCCCATGAGCCGCGATCTTGTGAGCAGCACCCATGTCGGCGAAGAACGCGGGGAGATCTGGAGTGGAGAAAGACGGATCGGACGTGAAAGGCGGCGGGATTCGCGGCGAGTGTGGAGGAAAGAAACGGCTATGGAGCTGGGTGTGGATGGAAGCTGAACTTTGCGTTGTGACAATGGCGGGGGGGCTGGGTGTGCTAAAAAGAGCAGGGTCGGAGTTTCCAAGGTAAGGCGGCTAAGAGTTCCGCAGCGTGGAGCTTCCGAGGCGCAGAGTTCCCCCGAAGAGTGGGGTTTCCTAAGCAAGGTTTCCCCGCACGAGGAGCTCCCCTCCCCTCTCCTCGTAGCTCCGCCTTGCGCAGCAGCGCGCATGGGGTACAGCTGGAGGTTGTCCAGGGCTCGTTTTGTCTGTCGTTCGGAGGGGTACCCAAGCGCAACTCCAACCAATAGCAAATGAGGCCTGAGTGTATTGGCGGAGACTGTCGGAAGTACCGAGCAAAGCCCTTCCTGTGGTTGGATCCAGGTTGTGCGGAAGGGGAAGAGCGTCACTTGCATTGTCGTTATCATTTTATATATTACCGCAGTACAGAACCCGTGAATTATCACACGACAAAACACATCAGTATGTGAAACATTTGCACTCTGCTAGGAATTTCATTATCTCTCCGATCCAATGCTCACTATATGGTGTTGTGTTGGTAATCTAGTATCATTTTGACCAGCTAAGGTATGCGTTTCCTGTACGAAATGGTGTATAAGGTGATTATCTTGATGGCACCTACAACGATCCTTTTGGCGTGGCGTCAGGAGAGGGCACTTCGCTCCTGGATCTAGCAGAATCCCCTGAAAGTGAAATCTTCTTAGCGTAGTGCTTCCGCATGTGTCCGCCCAGAGCCTGCCCTGTAGGGAACGCCCTGTCGCACCTGCTGCACTTGAACTTATTCTTCTCACTCCCTCCAATCCCCTGCCAAACCCTATCCATCCCTTGGCTCTCACGCCAGGGAGCCAGCAACCCACCGTCATCAGGCCCACTTACAGAAAATGGTATGTCTCCAAGCAATTCCGCAACTTTTTTAGCGAGCGGGCTGACCTCCCCTGTATGTGGGTATTCGTGTTGCTCTGGGAGCTTGTCAAGTGAATTCCCAACGCTCGGCATCCTGACCATGGAACCATCAACAGCAATGCCTGCAGCAATCCCCGAAGTGATCCCTACTGCGGCATCAGCATTGGCATCGGCAGCAGCAAGAGCTGCAATCTGAGTGGCAAGCTCATCACCACTGACAGGTGCGAGGCGATTCCACCTCCTTCCCATGCTACGGTCCGAATAACACCCTGTAGCGATGCTTGCACATTGCTGAGCTGGCACCGCCACGTCGGCCGCAGCAGATGTCAAGTTTCCAGCCAGGGGGTCGAAAACATTTAACGAGTGCGGTGGGGTGTGAGGTGAAGGAACGGGCGAGTCGTAGCCTCGGCCACCCCATGTCTTGGACCTCTTCCTGCTATCAAAACGAGCCCCATCTGCTGCAGAGGCAGCAGCAGCAGCAGTGAAAGCCGCCGCAGCAGCCGCAGCAGCTGTTGCGGCAGCAGTCGCAGTGGTAGTACTAACAGAACCCGAAGCAGCAGCAGCAGCAGCAGCAGCATGAGAAGTAGCCACAGCGGTATGGGACGACGCCCACGAGCGGGAGCGCATCTGAGGGAAGAGAGAGGCTCTCAGCGGATCACACCCACCTTGAGAATACACCTGAGAAACTCTTTCCCAGGCTTGGGAATCTGCTCCCCAGGCTCGGGAATCTGCTCCCCAGGCTCGGGAATCTGCTCCCCAGGCTCGGGAATCTGCTCCCGGGGCTCGAAAATCGTCTCCCCAGGCTTGGGATTCCACCGCTCGGGCTTTGCTGCTCGCACCCTGCTCCTCCTCCTCCATCTGTTTCTGCCATAGGTGAATCTCTGTCAGCAGATCCCTCCCCATTCCCGTCTGCTGCACCGGTTCCTGGGTCGATTCAAAAGTCTCCGACAGGAGGCTTGTTCCGGCAGCGGCTTGCTGCTGTGGTGGCATCATAGCTCCTTTCCTGCTTGAGAAGCTGAGACGCTGCTGGAGGTGCAGTCCTTGTGGATTTGCCTGCTCTCTTGCTGAGTCAGCAACATGCTGTTGACCAGGCAGACCAGACTGGCTATCACGTTGGCTGAATGGGCTTGGTTGTTCCGCTTGGTCGGGCATCAGACTACCAAATCCTGTTGACCGTTGCTGACCGACGTCAAGCTGACGCTGCACTCTGTCCCCAACAAAAGCAGGAGCATTCAGGTCTAGCCCTCCCTCCCCAACCCCTCTTTCCACAACCCAGCTTCTCCTAGGTCCCCTGTCCGCAAGTTGACGATCGTGTCTGCCTTCACTCCTCCTAGGTCCCCTGTCTGCAACCGCTCTCTCCCCAGCCGCTCCCTCCCCAACCGCCTCCTCAGCAGGGTCGTTCAGGTCTGGGAGCTCACGCCGCGCTGACTTGGCCCCAACCTTCCCACTCCACCCACCCTTCCAGCTCCTTCCACTCGTACCGCTCTTGACACGGCTCCCACTCCTCCCAGCAACCGCTGCAGCCACCGCAGCCGCATCAGCCAACTCAGCAGCCACCCAAGTTGGCCCAACAGGAACAATCAGGCTCCCAGCCACCCGCATTGACTCAGCTGATGCGGCTGCACAGGCCTCTCCACAGGCAGCAGTAGCAACACCAGCAGCAGCAGAGCTGGCGGAGATCCCGAGGGACGCCCGTGCCTGAGAGCCTGTGGAAAAGGGGCTGCTGCTCCACCCGTGCCGGGGGCGCAGGATAAACTCTGGCATAGGAGCAGCAGTGGGAACAGGAGCGGGGGTGGGAGACAGAGGGGAGTGGGCGCTGCAGCTCCACCCCATGCTGGTTGGAAACGCCATTGGCGCAGGGGGAGCCAAAGCGCGGAACAGGTGGTTTTGAGCAACAGAAGAGGGTCCTTCACCAGGGGACGAGTGAGCTAGCTGGGCGGCAGAGCTGGTGAACAGTCCACTGCCCGTGGTGGACAGGGTGGCGGTCGGCGGCAGCATTGCCCCAAACTTTTTCTGTGCCATCCCAGCATCGCCATCACCAGCAGCAGTGGCACCAGCAGCAATAAAATGTTGTTCTGTGGGGTTTGGACTATCAACGTCCGAAGGTTGCGGCTCGCAGCGGGGATGAAACCCTAGGTCCTTCTCGCGATTAATAAAGACCTTGACACGTGGCACACTCAGGAGCCTCTCCGCGTGGGAGTATGCGACGGCAGGTGCAGCGACTACGGTTCGCCGTGCCGCAGACTGGTGGATCGATACAGCATCATCATGGCTCATGGTGTTGCTGTTGACAGTAGTGGCCATGGTAGTAGCGGCTGAATGACCTCGGGACCATACCACATGCGCAGAAGCAGCAGCAGCCGCAGAAGCCGAAACCGCAGCACCAGCAGCTGGGGATAAAGCCGATTCATTACTAGCTGCAGCCATGGCTTCCATACAGTGGACTGCGTCTGACGTCATGTTGACGGCATGTGATGTCAAAGTCGCAATAGGGGGCGACGAGTTATTTCTGGCGCCGCCGGCTGCGACTGCTGCTGCTCCGAATAAGAACTCTGCAAGACTGCTCGCGTCGCTGCCGCCGCTGGAGCCCATTCTGACGCGACCAGGGCCGGCGTTGATCGCGTTTACCTCCTTTTTGGCCTCCGTCCGCGTTGGGCGCGCGTTGACCGCGTTGGCTTCGGTGCTTCACCCGAAGCATGTAATTCTAGGAGTCACAAGTGGCTGAATCAGTAATAGGAGTAGGAAGGCTTTCTGAGAGGCTGGTCGCCGCGCCTTTACTAGTAATTCGTGTGTCACTAATGTTACTTCCAACAGTACTTGACACGAAAACAAAAAACGCGGAGAATTCCACCGATAAGTAAGGAGTAGCTTGTCCGAACGCGTTCTAAGACGCTGTAAAATGCTCTGAACGCAGGTATAGGACTGCGACATAATAAGACTATTGACAGCATGGCAGTCAAGTTTTGACGGCTTCAAACGAGAGGATAGAGCTCAAGCCCCCCACTGGCTTCTCCCACCTTCTCGCACCTTCTCTCGCCCTGTTCCAGCCAGCTTTCCGGCGTGCTGAAGTTGGGCCCATCGCGATGTTCAAAATATACGGCGGTGATTGCGCGGATCTTCAAGATGCCAAGGCGTTGGCGGCCAAGGCGAGCGCACAGTCATGCGGCACATGACGATGATGACGATAATGAGCTGATGATGCGCACATAACGCAACGGAGGCTTGTTTTGGACTCTTTGCTTCTGAAGAAGCAATTACACTATCCCAGCCAAGAATCCACTTCTTTCAGCAGTAATTGCTTGTACAACTGTTCGGCAAGTACAAAAAGCCATGTGAGGTGCCTACACTACGGGAGCGCAACACTGTCATAATTTTCACACTATGCCAACGCATCCGATCAGATACTACGTATCCCGAGCCCATTTGGAATCTGAGGCATTCACCGACATTCACCGATTACGGCGACAAGAACGGAAGAGTAGTACTGTGAAGGGGTGCGCAAAAGATGCCACTGCTGGTTCTCTGCCCATCGACTTGGTTCTTTCTGTCTCAACTATGAACTGTACCATCTGCCCTTAGCAACTAAGAACTGTACAACGGCTGCCCTTAGTGTACTCTCTGCGGCTAGTGGTGCGGCAGTTGCGCCAGAGCATGCAAAACCTGGAAGGACCCGTCCGTTCTAATAGACGGACGGCCATTGCATCGGGTGTACGCAATAGCCATTGCATCGAGGCTGTACGACGGCTGGCAAGTCCAAATCAAAATATCGTGCAACTGCGAGTAGCGCCACCGGAGTCGCGCCGTCACGGCTTGAGATTTGACGCATGGCTTGCGAGTTTTTCCAACGAGCCGAGGTTAGAAGCGCTTTCCAACGACGAAAGTGATAATGGTCGTAAGTCACAAGCTAGGCGTCGCGACGAGACGAGTTATTACAACAGTGTCGCGACGCAACGACGACAGTCTGGAGTGGACTAGGCTGAGCACATGCGACGCACGAGCGATGAATAGAAGCAGTGACGAAAGCCGCCGCCATAATCTACGAGATACGGACGCAGTCGGAAAGGGCTTCTCGGTCAAATTTCCGTCCGTAAAAAATTCCTCCTCCCGTGTTGACGAAATTACAGTTTAGCTGCACGGGGCCTGGAAGCATAAGGTGGCGTTCACGGGAAGTTAGCTCAAGCGAAGTAGGCTCAAGAGGCCCAAAAGTGCAGATATTTGCAACCTCGCACACCCACTCCACGTGCCATGCGAATGTGGATACACACATAGACGAGTTTGAGCGAGTTCGCAAACCCAATCAGGTGCATGTAACCCCGTCGACTTCAAGATCGTTCACGACAAGCTTTCGTGAAGCGACCCCGAACATGTGTTTCACAAATATCTGTGCACTGTTGTTGAGCCTACTTCGCTTGAGCTAACTTCCCGTGAACGTCATCTCAAGCTTGAATTAGGGGTCTAGAGTCGCCACGCCAACTTTTACTGCCTAAACAGTTGAGCGACACAACCGCCATGTGGTTCACCCCGAGTGGGAAGGTGGTTGCGGTGAAATAGGGAGTGATGAGTGGGTGGGATACGGGCAGACGCACCACCACCCAGCCAGTGTCACCTGGCAGCCGGGCAGCCTGGCAAGCAGTCATGTCTGTCGAAGAGGACAGGAGATCATCGACGACCTGGTTTGATGATTCCGTTCACGTGGTTGGGGGAAAGCCATGAGTTCTGAACCAAATTGGGGGCAGAAGGCGTTGGGGGAGCACCGAGCCAAGTTGCGGACTCACCTCAACTTCATCATACCTGTACGATCTCCATGGTGTGTACGGTTTAGATGAGTTTGGATGGCAGGTCTGGTCCTAGCCAGAAGCAGAACCTGCGGACACGCAGATGTCCCAGAACAATGAAGTGAACACGTTTGGTGGAGGCTTGTTATGAGGAGAATTTGTGTATATTTATAAACACTTTAATGTCACAAAAACAAATCCATACATAAAACGTTTGGAGCAATGTCTAGTATGTGAAGGCTTGAGACTGGACTGGAGGCATGGCTTGCAAGAAGCTTGCTCTCATTTATACGTCAGTATGTGCAATCCCAAATATATGATGTACATAATAACAGACGGAGTTAATAGATTCTCGTGTAGTCTTTGTATTACAACCCGAAACAATTAATCCCGAAGGGTAGGTTTAGACCTTACACTACATACAAAAAAAACTTCGGTGATGCACATAGTAATGCTAACCGGAAATCCACCATTGCGCGGATTCGCCTGTTCACAATTTTAGCTGTGGTATTTTGTGAGCAGATCTATACACTGTGAGGCTGGTTGAAAAGTTTTTTGGATAAACATTAGAGGTCCAAGATTGCAAGAAGCAAAAGTTAATTGGAGTGAAACATTTGAAACTACCTAAAGTGTAACGTGAACTCACAAACGCTTATGTACACATTTATCCAAACCAAATCCGTTGATGCGACTGTCGTGCGACCATGCTGTGGTCGTCGTTGACCAGATGGGCGCAATAAGCGACCGTCGAAACTGCATCTTTGGTCATCGTGCGTCATTCCCCCTCGATGTAAGGACGTATGATTTTTTTGCCCTAGGTGACAAGGAACAGCATTGAGAGCTTGTTTCGGCAGATCTTGGCCAGGGTGGGATACAGCAAATCGACACAACGAGGGAACAGAATGCACTACTCGATACGCCCTGAGGGCGTAACATTGTAATGGCCAAGCCTAAAATCCGACCAAACGGTCGGGTCACGCGAATGCGAAATGTGTAACGATAAAATAGAACCCGGCCACACATTTCGAACAGAACGACCATTCTATTCGCGAGCTGTGGGGCACCCACCCTGAACTACCCCCGTAATTAGAATTGAAGGTTTAATCCAAGTTTCAGAATTTCCAAAGGGGCGTTTAATAAACGGGGCACAGACAGTAGTGTTTAGCAGCTCATAGTGCCCCCCAAAAAATTCGGGGGAAAGAACTGGATGTCAAACAACTATCCCTTCTCTGGATAAGATTAGTACAAGTCGCGAAAGTCGCCGAACCAAAATTTAATGAAAATCCAACCGAATTGTTTTCTGTGGTCAGAGTGACTACCACTTAATGCTAATCAGCGGGCGTAACCCCAAATAGTTCGCAATCGTCAGAACCGCCCAATGGTCGTTTTTTCAGGTCGGTAGGTACAATGTTACACGCCCTAACTCGCTACGACACGCCCAAGATCGGGAAAGGGATCCCCTGGTTCCCCAAGCCAAACCCGAACGTCATCCATACCCAGACCTCGAACGACAACAATCGGGGCTCCGGCAATAGTGACGTGGATCCGAATCGTCACACTCTCGTAAAGCGTGGCCCCAAAACCTCGAACTAGCTAATCACGTTTTGCCAGCACGGCGCAAAACGGTAGGTTCGGCCCCCTCCCGAGCCCCCCCTGCAAGCCTTGCCCTTACGAGGCCAAACTGAGGCATGTCCGCCTTCACCTTCTCTAAGAGAAACTGATCACCCCAAGTTTTTCCGTGAAACATTACACTTTTTGCAGCGCATCCACTGATTGTCAAGATTATTCAGCTTCTCCCCCATAGTTTCTCAGGATTTTCCCAGCAAAAGCAGCCGCTGCGGAACATTAGACCTATCTAATCTGTCCCTTGTGGCTATGGCTCAGCCTTCGCTGATCTCCTTCATCCTAGTTCTGGGATGCGCGAGCTTCGTTTCCGCGAGGTTCCTTCCAATCACTCCACCGCGCGTGATAAAACAGCAGCCAATCAGTGCAACATCAGATTTGTCCGTCAGTCTGGACCCAGATCCCTTTGAAACCCTAAAGAAAAACGGCCTCCCGGTCGGCCTGCTGCCTAAGACTGTTTACAAAGCTGAAATCAACGATAAGGGATGGTTCCGAGTGCAGTTACCGTCAATATGTCGCACATCTGTACACAACACGGGTGAGGTTCCGCTTTACTACTCAACCGTTCTCACCGGCAGGCTGCAGTACGGGATAATTTCAAGCGTCCGCGGAATCTCCGCGAAGCCTCCGGAATTGCCGTTTTGGGTATCCGTGAGGTCGATCTACGTGGACAACGCCACTTCGAGCTTGATCCACTTCTCTGTTGGATTCGGAATCAGCGAGCAGCTGCCTCGAGCGGCCTTCGAAGACTTTCCTGTCTGCCAATCTGGCGTTGACGCACTTCCGGAAATTCAGGACGAGGACACGGTAGAGTTCCAGCTTCAGGAGGAGCCGTTTGAAGTCGCGATTCAGGAAGCGATTAAGGCGGCTGAAGAGGAGGAAGCTGCAGAGGTGGCTGCAGCGGAGAGCGAGGGTGAGCAAGATCCTGCTCTGGCTGTAGTTGAAGCGATTACTTCAGACGACTCAAGTTACGAAGAAGAAATCGAGGATTCTGTGCTTGTAGAGGAGGCTGCGTCTGGTGAGGTTCAGGCAACAGCTGATGATGCTGGTGAGGCTGATGTAATTGATGAGAGATCAGTGGATGAGCCCACAGTGGAACACCTGCCTCAGGTTGGGGGAGTCCAAGACGAAGATACCGTGGCTGCAGCCTGATGGTCGAACCAGGGTCTTGTGATCAGGGCTGGTTGCCATGCAGGCTTGTGTATGAATATTGGCGTTGCATGAGGGCAGTCAAGGCTGGTTCGGCGGCTCCGGATATTCCTGTTGTGATTTATGCTTCTTTGTACAGGTCCCTAATAAAAGTAGCTTGGAGGCTTTGGTCTATTCACTACGTCTATTGCTTGCTTGCCACAGCTCCTTCACTTCACTTGAAGTTGGTTCAACTCAATAAAATGTTCAGTGTGCTAGGACAAAGGTTTCCAAGGCACTTGGCCAACCCACTCTGAATCATCTCACCAACCCCTACCACCCACTAGTACCGCAGTAACCTCATCCATGCCTCAGTATTCCTAGATCAGAAATAGTCAGTATGTCAATATGCTTGACCTTCACTGCCATCCTGGACCTTTTCATAAACTCCCCTTTATTTATGCGGAACGACAGCAAAGACGAAGTCCATGCCTTGCCGTGGACGAGTGGCTCCTCTGGACCCTCCGATCTCGTTCAGCGTGACAGTCCGATTCAGACCAATCACATGGCTCGAACCCACCACTCTCAAATGCTTCCCATCCACCCTCACCCGCATCACCACCAGCACCTCTCCGTCCTTCTCATCCTCCTCCATATCTGCTCCATGCCCTCCCGGAATTCTACAGTTATTACACTCCCAAATCGCTCTAACTATTTGCGAATCTGCTTCTGTAGAGTTCAGTGCACTGTAGTCTAGAGTGGGCCACGGGAGGAGGCTTGGGCTGGGTTTTGGGTACGATGTTGCCTTGTCAGGTGGGGCGAGAGAGGTATTGAGGTAAAGCAGGTCGATTGATAAGTTTTGGGTTGCAGATAAGAAGGTTTTAAGGGAAGGGAAGTGTAGTTGGAACTGTAGCCGCGCCCAGAGGTAGCCTGGCATGTCTGGTCGACTTGTCTCGTACCTGTCATCAAGCCACGTGGCCCAATACTGCAAGATGACACGTGGGGGAAGTGGGGGGAAAGTGGAAATCGGGGGGGGGGGGGGGGGGGGGGGGGGGGGGAAGGGAGGGAGGAAGGGAGGAATGGGTGGGAAGTGGGGGAAAATGGGAGGAGGGAAAGAGGGGAAGACTAAAGAAGGAGGGGTTGGAGGGTGGTGTCAAGAATAGACTGGCAGATGGGAGCTTCACTTGGAGAGACCCAATCATTGCAAGAGCAGATCAAGACGATGGTAGAGCAGGCAAATACTCTATGTTAGATTCTATAGCGGGCATGTCAAGACGATGCTAGAGCAGGCAAATACTCTCTGTTATTTAGCCGCCTCAAGCAGCGGCTCACCTTCACTTGCAGAAAGCCGACCACTGCATCTGGAGGTAGGGTAAACTGGCTCTAAAAAGTGGCTCACCTTTACTTGGAGAGAGCCGACCATTGCATCCGGAGGCTGGGATACGTCCAAAGCAGGCCACTCAGAAGGTGCTTCCGATGCTGGTGATGTTGGTACTGATGAATCCACTCCTTCCACTACAGGTGATGACGAGAAACTTGGGGATTCACCCGTCTGTGCTTCTGAGTCTGCTGACTGTGATTGTAACAAGGGTGGCGGATGCTGCTGCTGCTGACGTGGAACGAACATGAAGGTGAAGAGGAGTGTGAGGAAGACGGTGAGGAGGAGGGAGAGGAGGAAGAGCAGCAGGATGAATACCGTCTTCTGTGTTTCAGGCCGCTGCCAGTACTGGGGTTGGGGGTGAGGGGGAAAAAGGAAAGAAAGGGCATCGGATAGGTTAGGGAGCAGGAGAGAGGAGGGAGGAGAAGGCAGAGAGCAGCGCAATGAGTATGGTCTTGTGTGTTTCTGGGCGCTGCCAGCACTGATGGTGGGGGTGAAAAGGACGAAAGAGGGGCAATGGGTGCGTTTGGGAGAGTGAAAGGAGAGGGAGTAGAAGCCAGACAGCAGCAGTATGGGTCTTGTGTGTTTCCGGACGCTGCCAGTACTGATCATGATGCTGGGTGTGGCAGCGTACGGGCCCTCTTTCGGAGTGTGGGTGAGGGAGGAATGGAAAAGATTGGCGCCAGGTCACAATCAGCACTGTTTTCCGTGTTTCATGACACACGTGATGCCCTTTCATGCAGAAAGTTAGGGTGTGCCTTTCACAATGATTATTGTTGACTTATGACACAGGGTGGACACAGGGTGACACGCCCACAATAATCATTGTGAATAAAAGGAGGGTCAACGATATTCATTAAGAATAAAAGGAGGGGGGACACAGGGTGACTTGGGATGCTGGAGTGTGAAGGAGGGGAGAAAGAGAGGCCAAAGAGAAAGGGGATGGTTGGAGGGAGAAAGGGGATGGTTGGAGGGAGAAAGGGGATGGTTGGAGGGAGAAAGGGGATGGTTGGAGTGAGAAAGGGGATGATTGTGTTAGTGTTAGCCCTCAATCTCACACTTTTGTACTTGTAATTTTTATATCCTAGCTTAGTGTAGTTTGCACTTAGTGTTGGTTGGGTGTACACCCACATCCCAACCAAGCCCAAGTGTGATAACCAAGCAATCTCCAACCCACCAATTGGAGATTAACTTGGGATCACCCCCAATCCCCAAGGATTGCCCTCCATTCCCTCCCCGTCTATACCTTGCTGATTTTGGATGTACTTAAAGAGCTTTGAGCTCATTTACCGGTTCAATCTCAGTTCTAACAGGTTGGAGTGAGTAAGGGAATGGTTGGAGTGAGTAAGGGAATGGTTGGAGTGAGTAAGGGAATGGTTGGAGTGAGTAAGGGAATGGTTGGAGTGAGTAAGGGAATGGTTGGAGTGAGTAAGGGAATGGTTGGAGTGAGTAAGGGAATGGTTGGAGTGAGTAAGGGAATGGTTGGAGTGAGTAAGGGAATGGTTGGAGTGAGTAAGGGAATGGTTGGAGTGAGTAAGGGAATGGTTGGAGTGAGTAAGGGAATGGTTGGAGTGAGTAAGGGAATGGTTGGAGTGAGTAAGGGAATGGTTGGAGTGAGTAAGGGAATGGTTGGAGTGAGTAAGGGAATGGTTGGAGTGAGTAAGGGAATGGTTGGAGTGAGTAAGGGAATGGTTGGAGTGAGTAAGGGAATGGTTGGAGTGAGTAAGGGAATGGTTGGGGTGAGTAAGGGCATGGTTGGAGTGAGTAAGGGAATGGTTGGAGTGAGTAAGGGAATGGTTGGGGTGTGATGGATGGATTGAGAAGAGGGAATATGGCGAAGCGGGACATATTAAGGAGACAGAGGGAGAGAAACGACTTGTTTAACAGCGAGGGAGGGATGATGGAGAGGGAGGGGAAAAAGGGTTTGGGCAACAGAGATGGGTTAGGGCAGCAGAGATGGGTTAGGGCAGCAGAGATGGGTTAGGGCAGCAGAGATGGGTTTGGGCAGCAGAGATGGGTTAGGGCAGCAGAGATGGGTTTGGGCAGCAGAGATGGGTTTGGGCAGCAGAGATGGGTTTGGGCAGCAGAGATGGGAAAGCAAGTGAGACGGGGAAGTCAGCTTTTGATCGTTGGAGTGTGCATTGCTGGGAATCAATAGCTTATGAGAAGGGGGGATGGGGAGGCAGCGCACATGAGAGCGGGCAGGTGAGGAAGCAGAGGAGATGGCGACGGGAGGGATGTGAGAGCTAGTGGGTGTGGTATGGCGGTGATGCTCAAGTATGCGGATGGGGATGGGGATGGGGACGGGGATGGGGATGGGGATGGGGATGGGGATGGGGATGGGGATGGGGATGGGGATGGGGATGGGGATGGGGATGGGGATGGGGATGGGGATGGGGATGGGGATGGGGATGGGGATGGGGATGGGGATGGGGATGGGGATGGGGATGGGGATGGGGATGAGTATGGGGATAGGGGATGGGGATGGGGATGGGGATGGGGATGGGGATGGGGATGGGGATGGGGATGGGGATGGGGATGGGGATGGGGATGGGGATGGGGATGGGGATGGGGATGGGGATGGGGATGGGGATGGGGATGGGGATGGGGATGGGGATGGGGATGGGGATGGGGATGGGGATGGGGATGGGGATGGGGATGGGGATGGGGATGGGGATGGGGATGGGGATGGGGATGGGGATGGGGATGGGGATGGGGATGGGGATGGGGATGGGGATGGGGATGGGGATGGGGATGGGGATGGGGATGGGGATGGGGATGGGGATGGGGATGGGGATGGGGATGGGGATGGGGATGGGGATGGGGATGGGGATGGGGATGGGGATGGGGATGGGGATGGGGATGGGGATGGGGATGGGGATGGGGATTGGGAAAGAGTTGGGCATGGGGATGGGGATGGGATAGGATGGCCTGTGTGGTAATGGGGACAGGACGAGTTACACCACCCGTTGGATTGACGGAATCGCAATGTATGTATCGACTCGGAGTTCATTTTGCATGTGGGAAGGGGGGTGGGGGGAACGGGGGGGGCGCGCGCGCACGCCTGCGTACCCGCACGCACGTGTGTGTGCGCGTGTATGTGCGTGCACCGTGCACGCGCGCGAATGGGTGTGTGCGCGCGAGCGCGCGCGCATGCATGCATGTAAGTTGTTTACGCATGGGCACGGACCTGAATGGGGTATTCTTGAGAAATCTAAGAAATACTTACGTATTCATGAGTATTTTTTCTGGGTATTCTGCATGTGCGTACGTGAATACTTACGTGCTCGTCACCTCGCGCGTGCCTGCGTGTCTCTCGGAATTACCCTTTGATAATACGGGTCAATTATGAACTTACCTTTCGGTATCCGCCATATTGCTCTCGTTTACCCCCCATATCCAGCAGCGTGAATCCCGACGCGACCGTCCCCGCCGCGTTCATTTGAATATACCCGTTTCCAACTTTCCGCTGCCCGTAAAATTCTCCTATCCCGCCCTCCCCGGTTTCTCCGAAATTGTCATCTACCACGTCACCGCCGGCCGCGCTTCGGCCGTCCTCACTCCTCGGCGTTCCCGCGTCGCTATAGCCCTTCGGACCGCGACGAAACAGATGGCTCTCCGAATTCGCGGGGCTTCCGGGGCTCGTTCCGCCGAGTCGCGGACCCATAGGCCCCGCCCTGATCGGACTAATTGACACGCCGTGAAAGCCGCCGTGTATCTCGTCGTTATACGACCCGCTCTCGCTTCCTTGATAGTCGGAACATTCGTCCCCGTCCGCGACAAAGTCTCCGTATCCGCTATCGACGAGCGAATCATGATTCTCACCGCCGCCGCCGCCGCCGCTGGTTTCCGTGCTCGCCGCGTCGTCCTCCCAAGGAAGCGCATCAGACGACGCCGCGTCGCGATCAGACTCGGGGAGACTGTTGCTACTAGCGTTGTTGCCGGCGCGCCGGCTACTACCGATGCCGCCCCGCCGACTGCGCAGTCGCTTCGCGTGGAGCTCCGCGGCGCGCTGCTTCCCGCTCGATTCCGCCTTGACCGCGTCCTGCTGTTCCGAGGCGGCCTGCATGATTATAGCGCGTACGCGCTCCGACGGCGTCTTCGGCATGGCAGCGCCGAATGCGGCGTCATCCGCGCCGTCGTCGCCGCCGCTTCTTCCGCCGCCGGCCGCGGAGGATTTCTCCGCGGAGTCAATGTCAATGGAGAGCGCGCGGCGACCGTGCGCCGCCATTTCTCGGCCGCGACTCGACTCGTCCAAGTCGATGGAAAGACTGCCGCGCGCCGGTGGCGGTTGGCGGCGACCGGAGGAATTTCCCGCGGTCTCTGAGTTCATGATCTCAGCCGTCCGTTCGTCTCTAATAGAAATGACCGTCGATCTACCTGCACTAGTACTTCTGGCATCCGTCGGACATAACGAGTGGGCGGCGGACGAATGCGGACGAACAACCAGATGTGGTTACACCAAAGAATGTTAGACGAGGCGCCAGGAGGAGGTTTCCGTTGGCTATCGAACAAGGCCAGACTATCTAGTGAACAGTGCAGCGATACTCGGTGTTATCCAGCTTTTGGTAAGGTTCGAGAAGGCCTTCATGAAATTGCGCTGGCTGGGTGTGAAGCTGTGGTGTGGTCTCGTCACAATCAAGGATGAAGAGAGGGGTGAAGGGGGGAAGAGAGGCGCAGGGCGATGAGAGATGGGGGAGGTGACACCTCTCCGGCCTGGATGGATGGTGGGGCGGACGAACAGCCAAGGAAATGGATTGGGTTGGGGTGGGGAAATGAGGGAGGGGAGGGGAGGAGAAGAGACCGAGAAGGACACTGTTGAACAGTACACTTGGAAAGGTGCGACGCGACAACAGGTCGATTGAGGTTTGCGCGAGAAAGCGACAAAGGAAGCAAGAGGTATGACAAGCATCCCTATGGCCTGCATTGTGCTCTTGTGGTGACAAATTGAATCAAACTTCCCGCTAAAATCAAAATGCTAGCGGAGATCTAGTGTACTAGATCATAATGTAGACTGTAACCGTTTTACCTTTATGCTGATTTACCCGTTTCAGTGGGATTATGTAAAAAATATTACACTTGATGTTCGTTTGAGTCGCCCAAGGTTGCCTTGTGAAGAGGAAGCTTAAGTGATTAACGCATTTCGCTAAAACTTCGTCAACTCGCAGCTAGCAAAGAAAGGATTCGTCAGTGCTTATAAAAGAAACTGTAACTTACCGGTGACATTTTGACTTCAGTCTCTTATGTTTGACTGCAGATTCTTCGTTACTATTGGTTCAGAATCACTGCAGCTTGCGCGAGGTGCTTGTAACATGGGTGCAACTGGCTAGTAAAAAAAACACGGGTGCAGACTTTCCATCCGGTGCAGAGCGAATTCGCGTGCAGGGGCTGAGCATCATGTGTACAAGCCTAGGTTCTCTTTTCCCGCGTATGGTGCCGCATTTCCCGTGCGGCCAAACCATGTCGCGAATCCGTGTTCGCTCGATGTGGAGCCGCGCTGCTTCGACCCTCGCCTTCCGCGGCTCGTCTGCATGGACCTCGTCGATCGAGCTCGCATTGTCAGCTTACCCTAATAATATCCCATCAGGTTTGGCATGGCTTATTCCGCAGCGCCGGACCAGAAACATCCCTTTGCCGAACCTCCTTGCGTCCAGAAAAGCACAGCTCAGACACGTGGCATCGATAGTTGCACCTAACGATACAATCACTCAGATTCCGTTCAGTTTTGCCTCGCCCGTCCTGAACCAATATCGCCGTTTCGCATCCGGGGTTGACGGAATCGGAGTTGACGGAGGTGGGAGGGCGACGAGCGACGGGGATAATGGTGTCAGCGCGATTGGCGGGGAGCCGCAGGATGGATCGGCAGATCCGACGGCGGCTGCCACGACTGACAGAGACGAGATAGACGGTGTGCTTGTAAGGAGCGGCAGTATGACACTGGTAGTACATGTGACAATGGAGCATGTGGCTATGGAACATGTGACAATGGAGCATGTGGCTATGGAACATGTGACAATGGAGCATGTGGCTATGGAACATGTGACAATGGAGCATGTGTCTGCCGTTCCCTCCATTCCCCCCTCCACCCCTCCCTTTCCCAACCCCGCCCTCCCTTTCCCTTTCCCCCGTCCCCCCTTCCTCACCTCTATCCCGTCTCTGCCCCTCTCCCTCCTTTCCACCCCCGTTATTTCACCTCCTTTTCCTCCTCCCCCAACCCCCACCCCCCCACCCCCCCACACCCACACCAACCTCCCCTGTCCCCGTCCGATCTTCTCAGGTGCGGGATTATATTCACGCCAGCCTCTCCCATCCCACAGAGGGTTCTTTCATCTCCTCTTCCTCCTCCCCCAACCCCCAAACCCCCACCCCCCCACGCCCACACCAACCTCTCTGTCCCCGTAAACTCTTCTCCGGTGCGTGATTTCATTCGCGCCAGCCTCTCCCATCCCACAGAGGGTTCTTTCATCTCCTCTTCCTCCTCCCCCAACCCCCAAACCCCCACCCCCCCACGCCCACACCAACCTCTCTGTCCCCGTACACTCTTCTCCGGTGCGTGATTTCATTCGCGCCAGCCTCGCCTCGCCTCTCCTCTCACCCACCTCCCTTCCCCGTTCCCCCTCTTCCCCCTCTTCCCTCAGGCGCGCGATTTCATTCACACCAGCCTCTACCACCCCATAGAGGGTTATTTCACCTCCTCTTTCTCTACCCATTCCCCCAACTCCACACCCCACACCTTCCACCCTCCCCCTTCCCCCCTTTGCCCCCATTCAGATGCGTGATTTCATCCACGCCAGCCTCTACCACCCCACGGACAGCTATTTCTCCTTGTCGTTCTCTCCCCATTTCCTCAACCCCCTCTCCCCTACTTCCACCCTCCCCCTTTCTCTTTCCTCCCCCTCAGGTGCGGGATTTCATCCACGCCAGCCTCTACCATCCCACGAACGGTTATTTCACATCCAACGCTGCAGCTGTCGGCGGCCTCTCGCACCCAATCAGCTTCCGCCAGCTGGCGGGGCGGCGGGAGTGGGTGGCGCTGCAGCAGTCGCTCTACGCCTCTGCTGATACCTCCTGGTTCACTCCCTCGGAGCTGTTTCAGGTGAAAACGCAGGCACAAGCGTTTCAGGTGAAAATGCAGAAACGAGTGTTCTTGGTGGAAAGGCAGGGACAGTGCTTGAGGTGAGTGAAATGCAGAGGTGTCTGTTTCTGTTTTTCTTCCTCTTTCTCAACCACGTTCATTTTGAGTCGACTCAAAACTTCCTCTTTCTCGACCACGTTCATTTTGAGTCGACTCAAAACTTCCTCTTTCTCGACCACGTTCATTCCCCACATGTGTATCTGTTCATCCGTGCTGCATCCCCCTCTCCCTCCTTCCATCAGCCATGGTACGGCTATGCAGTGGCGGACTTTATTCTCTCGTCCCACCCGCCCACCAAGTCTCTCAAGGTGAGCTGACACCTTCGCACCTGTGTGCATGCCATCATGCCCATTGCCCACCAGCACTCCCACCAGCACTCCCACCAGCACCCACCTCTCTCAATCCAACCTACCTCAAGGTGTCTTTTGAGTAACCCAACCTAACTCAAAAGGCACCCACCTCTCCCAACCTACCTCGACCCCCCACCAGTAGATCTACGAGGTGGGAGGGGGAGGCGGCACACTGGCACCTTGACGGCAACCCTCCCAACCTTCCCAACCCCCTCCCATCCCTCCCAACCCTCCCAACCCCCCTAACCCCGTCTCACCCCCCCAACAGTAGATCTACGAGGTGGGAGGGGGCGGTGGCACGCTGGCTCGCAATATTCTCGACAGAATATTGGCGAAGGCTCCTGCTGTGTACAAGCGCTGTCGATACACGTGAGTGAGTGAGGGAGGGATAGAAAGTGAGTGAGGAAGGAAGTGAGAGAAAGAGTGAGTGACTTACGAGGTGGGTGGTGGCACGCTGGCCCGCAATATTCTCGACCACCTGCAGGAGAAGGCCCTGCTGTGTACAGGCGCTGCTGATACACGTGAGTGAGTGAGGGAGAAAGTGAGTGAGTGAGGGAGAAAGTGAGTGAGGGAGAAAGTGAGTGAGCGAGGGAATGAGTGAGTATGCCTCTGCCTGCTGTTTGTTATGCCAAAGCTCCTCTTTTCCCCACTTCTCCCCTCTCCCGTCTTCCAGCTCGGTGGAAATCAGCCCTGCTCTCGCCCAGCGGCAAAGGGAGAGGATCACAGGCCATGCAAATGCTTCGAATGCTTCGACCGATTCAACCGCCACTTCAGCTGTCTCAGCGTCTACACCTGCCACACATGCCACTCCTCTTTCCGCTGCCACAGTCGCCCCAAATTCTGGCGAACAGGATCGAGGCGCTTTAAGTGTCCGCAGAGCGCGGCGAGTGGTTAGGGGCGCTCAAGACGGCTCTGCCTGTCGCGATGCTTCCAATGGCGATTCTCGTCGGTGCTCCTCGCATGAGTCGGTTCATTCCGTGGCGGTGTTTGATGCTGCTGATGTGCGCGCCTGGGGTGAGTGTGAGTGTGGTGGGGGAGAGTGAGTGGTGAAGAGGGGGAATGGGGGCCTGGTTGGGGATGCTTTGTGTGCTGGTGAGAATGATTCTGACCGTGCTGCTCGTGTCTGTCGCATGAGTCGGTGCACTCGGTGGTGGTGTTTGATGCTGCTGATGTGCGCGGCTGGGGTGAGTGTGGTTGTGTGTGTGTGCGCGCCTTGGGGTGTGTGTGTGTGTGGGTGTGTGTGTGTGTGTGTGGGGGGGGGGGGGGGGGGGGGGGGGGGGGGGGGGGGGGGGGGGGGGGGGGGGGTGGGTGTGTGTGGGGTGTGTGGATGGGTGTGTGTGGGTGGGTGGGTGGGTGGGTGGGTGGGTGCGTGTTGGTTCCAATGATGGTTCCTCTTGTCTCTCGCACGAATCGGTGCACTCCATGGCGGTAGATGATGCTGCTGATGTGCACGCCTGGGGTGAGTGTGGTTGTGTGTGTGTGTGCGCCTGGGGTGAGTGTGGTTGTGTGTGTGTGTGTGTGTGTGTGCGCGCGCCTGGGGGGTTGGGGGGGTGGGTGAGTGGATGGGACACACGTCTGTGTCATTTGGGAGTGAGTTGGTGGCACTCGTGTGGCAGTGTTTGGCACAGAGGTGGGGTGCACTCGTGTGGCAGTGTTTGGCGCTGCTCGCACGCACCCACAGGTGGGGTGTGTGTAGGCGAGAAGGTGGGCGAGGAATGGGGAGGGGAGGGGAGGGGACGGACTGATTGATCCATGGGGCATCTCACCTCCACCGGCATTTGCGTTGCATTCTGTCTTGCCGCATCTCACTCACCTCCATCATGTTAGTTTAATGGGTGTGTCATCACATCATCATGTCTTATTCTTGCCGTCATGTCATGTTTTTGTCATGTTCTTGTGAGTCGACTCAAAAACTGCCGTTATGTCATGTCATCATGCCATCATGCCATTCTGCCATAATCACTCCATCACCATCCCCTCATGCCATTCTGCCATAATCACTCCATCACCATCCCCTCATGCCATTCTGTCATAATCACTCCATCACCATCCCCTCATGCCATTCTGTCATAATCACTCCATCACCATCCCCTCATGCCATTCTGTCATAATCACTCCATCACCATCCCCTCATGCCATTCTGCCATAATCACTCCATCACCATCCCCTCATGCCATTCTGTCATAATCACTCCATCACCATCCCCTCATGCCATTCTGCCATAATCACTCCATCACCATCCCCTCATGCCATTCTGCCATAATCACTCCATCACCATCCCCTCATGCCATTCTGCCATAATCAATCCATCACCATCCCCTCATGCCATTCTGCCATAATCACTCCATCACCATCCCCTCATGCCATTCTGTCAAAATCACTCCATCACCATCCCCTCATGCCATTCTGCCATAATCACTCCATCACCATCCCCTCATGCCATTCTGTCATAATCACTCCATCACCATCCCCTCATGCCATTCTGCCATAATCACTCCATCACCATCCCCTCATGCCATTCTGCCATAATCACTCCATCACCATCCCCTCATGCCATTCTGCCATAATCACTCCATCACCATCCCCTCATGCCATTCTGTCATAATCACTCCATCACCATCCCCTCATTCCATTCTGCCATAATCACTCCATCACCATCCCCTCATGCCATTCTGCCATAATCACTCCATCACCATCCCCTCATGCCATTCTGCCATAATCACTCCATCACCATCCCCTCATGCCATTCTGTCATAATCACTCCATCACCATCCCCTCATTCCATTCTGCCATAATCACTCCATCACCATCCCCTCATGCCATTCTGCCATCGTGCCATGCTTCCCGTCCGCAGGTGCACCATCCAACGAGCCATGCTTCATTCTGTTATTCGAGGTACGCAACAACAACATCGTACTCCCGTTGACTCAACTCAATTGACACAATAGGAGAAAGAAAGAAAGAAAGAAAGAAAGAAAGAAAGAAAGAAAGAAAGGAAGATAAAGAGGCTTAGCTCTGCAGATCTCGTGGACATTTGGACATACGAACTAAGTGCATCTCCCTTGTTAGAGTGTGGAACTCTGCTCTACAATTGTGGGATTGTTGGGTGGAGTGAGTAAAGTGCTTCCCCATTTCCCTCACACCCTCAGGTGCTGGACACTCTGCCACACGATAGAGAGCAGTGGAGCAGGGAGGGCAGCAAGTGGATGGAGCAGCTCTTTTCCCCCTCAACCCCCTCACACCTTGCGCCGTTTCCCTCCCCTCACACCCTCAGGTGCTGGACAATCTACCACACGACAGAGTGCAGTGGGGCAGAGAGGGCAGCGAGTGGATGGAGACCCGAGTGAAGCAGGGGCCAAAACGGGAGCGCGAGACAGGCAAGGCGCGTCAGGGGGAGGGTGAAGCAGAGAAGGTGCATCAAGGAGAGGGGAGGGAGGAGGAGGCAGGGAGGAGGCATCAAGGAGAGGGGAGGGAGGAGGCAGGGAGGAGGCATCAAGGGGAGGGGGAAGAGGAGGAGGCAGGGCGGCCGTACGAGGTGCTTCGACCCATCAGCGATCCACTCATTCGCCGATGCCTTGCTGCTGTATTGGTGAGGCTGGCTGGGAGCCGTGCCAAAACTGGAAATCGCCCGTGCCTTCTCTCATGAATCATGCCCTCCCCCATGCCCTCTACCGTGCCCTCTACCATGCCCTCCCCCATGCCCTCTACCATGCCCTCCCCCATGCCCTCTACCATGCCCTCCCCCATGCCCTCTACCATGCCCTCCCCCATGCCCTCCTCTACACTACACCCCCCTCCACCACAACTTTTTGCCCTTCAATTCTCCCACGTGTTGCCTCTCCCATGGCTAATCCGCGTGGTTCTTGCTGTCATGTCATCCCTGCACTGCAGAACCAGACTCCATCGTCTCCCACCGGCAGCAGCACCAAAAGCAGCAGCACCAGCGCTGCCACGACCAGCAGCAACGGCGGCGGCATGTTGGCGCGGCTGTCTGCGTCGTTGCAGGGACTGGTGGCGTCGGTGGTGGACGGACAGAGGGTTATCTGGCTGCCCACGGGATGCCTGGTGAGTGTTTCCACCCAGGGGTTGGATACTGGGGGCACCGCAATCACCACCACCACCACCACCAGCGGCGGCATGTTGGCGCGCCTGTCTGCGTCATTGCAAGGACTGGTGGCGTTGGTGGTGGGCGGACAGAGGGTTATCTGGCTGCCTACAGGATGCAGGGTGATTGAGTAGCAGCAGCAGCAGCACCAACACGAGCCGCAGGGAAGGCACGCTCCCCCTTTCCCCTCCCTCTCCCCTCACTCTCAGCACCTCTACCCACCCTCCCCCCCCTCCCTCTCAGCGTCTACTGGAGGCCATGTACACTGCGCGCCCCAACGCCACTGTCATCGCTGCTGACTTCTCCGTGCTACCTGACGTGCAAATCCCAGGCGCCAACGCCCCCCTCGTTGCTGCTAAGGTGAGGCTGTGAGGCGGGATGGTGGGTTTTTGGGGCGGCACGGAGGGGATTTGGTGTGGCACGGAGAGGATTTGGGGCGGCACGGAGAAGATTTGGGGCGGCAAGGGCGGGCTGGATTTCTGATTGTGCTTGCATGTGACTGCAGGAGTGATACACACCAATCTGCAACTGTCAGGACTTAGATTTGGTTGCGTTCGTCTGTCTGCCAAAAGTGCCACTAAATTGCTACCCGCACTCATTGGGGAAACCATGGCATAGCCGCGCACTGTTGTTACTTTGTTGCTCTCCTTGCTCCACACATCTAATATATATATGTGTATAAATAGTTATACATATACATTTTTTCCCTTTTGAATTTTCAAAACCTGCCCCACATACCCGCTTGCTCATCACAAACTCCTTGCCTCCAATTCCCCATGCCCCTTAAACCCATGCCTCCATGCCTCCATTCCCCCATCCCCCCTTACCCCCATCCCCCCTTACCCCCATGCCCCTATGCCCCCATGCCCCCGTTGCCCGATGTCCAACTTCCCCATGCCCACAACACCAGGGAGGAGGCGTCACTCAAGACCAATCCACATACCTCGTCCCTCGTGTAAGGATCAGTACACCCTACCCTATGATGGTTAGTCACTTGTTCTTGATACCACCTGCCACAGTGTCTTCCATTTTGATTTCTGATTGCTTAGCAGCTTGTTTGTCCTTGGCTCACCCAAGCTCATAGCTTCCTCTTGAGACGTCTCAAAACTAATCTTTTTACACGTAGCTTGTTTGTCCTTGGCTCACCCAAGCTCATAGCTTCCTCTTGAGACGTCTCAAAACTAATCTTTTTACACGTAGCTTGTTTGTCCTTGGCTCACCCAAACTCATAGCTTCCTCTTTTTCTTCTTCATCTTGCTTCGCACCAACGCCCTCCTGCCTTCTATCTAACAGGGCTCAGCAGACATTTTCTTCCGACAGATTTCGGGCTGCTGGAAAAACTTGATGCTTCTGCCTCTGCCTCAACCTCAGTAGAGCAGATTCGCGGCTCGGTAAGATACTTGATCCGATAATGTCGCAGCATACCTATAATAGATGAGCCTGTCACGTCAATGCAATAAATATATTTTGTCGCCCTTGGTAGTCCCCTCACCTTCCAAGATGCACCCTCGCTGTGATAATTCTCATGCCGCAAGTCGTTTTCATGTCGTTTCTGTCCCCAATGTAATCCTGCGTGCGAGGTGATCTTGTAGATGCTCATTTATATGGGCTCTGCTTTGCCTTTTTTTCTTTTTTTTTTTTTTATGCACATGTTTATTCGTCCTTCCTTTGTTGCTCCCTTCCCTGCCTCAGGTTCCATCTGCGGAGTTTCTGTCAACTATTGCTGCAAATACCTACACTAAAGATGGTTTCAATCCCTTGCTCCATGACTTCTCTAACACACGCATATTTGTTAGCGCCCCTAGGTGATGTGATCACATCAGTTTCAGATTTCTGTTAACGCGGATTTTGTGCAGACATGCCTCGAATCACCGTCAGATTCTGGTCGTCCAAAATGATTTGTCCGTCCGATCAAGTCCGCCCCTTCCAATCACACCTGCCAGAGAAGGCAGCTCTGGCTGACTTTGCAGCAGCTCGAAAGAGGAAACGGCCTGTTGAGTTGAGAAGGAACCTGGATTCTTCTCGATTTACTGTTTGTTTCCGCACTCTCCGGTCTGCGGGTTCATTGGCCAACTTTGTCCGAGCCTGCGATAAAGTAACTGGAGGTTGCTGTCGGCGAACCAAACAGCTGCGGAACGAGCCTCGTGCTCCGTCACCCCAGCCACTCATGGGCCAGATTACAGCTCGGCCGCAACGTCGAGCCACGTCTGCCATCCAAAGAGCTCACGCACCGCCGAGCCTCCACGCAAATCGCACGTATCTGGCTCATAGAGGCGGCTCGGTTTGATGTAGGCTTGGTTTGGGCATGCCCTCAATTCCCGCAGCACACGCAATTCGCCCCCTTCCCATCGCCAGCGAGCCTTTGCCGCAATTTTCGCCAATTTCAACACTCGCCCACACTAGGCTCTAACCGCCACGCTCCAACCGCTGTAATAGCCAAACTAACACTATCGAAACACATCGCACCGCAGGAAAATACCACGCCACACCACACCGCACAAACACTTCAGCGATCCCCTTGCCCCAGCAAGCATAAAGCCCGCTTCTTTTCAGATGACAGCCAGAGTGGCTATTCCAAATCAAGAAACTGACGTTTGTGCATTTTTTATCCAGCCAACGACCCCAGCGCCGTTCCGCTTCAACTCGCTTGACAGTGCCAACATCTCCATCTCTAGCCGCTCAGTTCGTCATTTTCCTCCCCCACCTCTAGCCGCCAACGCCATGGCCGCCGAGTACCCTCCTCCTGAAAGCAACCCGTCGACAAACTACGCGCCGCCGCCAGCATACCCACCGACGGGCGCTAACCCTCCTCCGTCTGCGGGGTACGACGTCGAGGCCGGCGGCGGCGCGGGCAAGCCGCCCGCCGCGACCGGCGGCTCAACGGGGTCGTCGAGGATGTCAACATTCATCGGCATCGGGCTGCGCATCGCCGAGCTGCTCCTCTGCATGATCTCTTTTCGTAAGTCCTTTACGGCGACGCAGTGCGACGCTTGCAAATTTGAAGTTCACTCCCCCCCGTCCCCGTACTCCCCTTAAAAAAAACTACAGAAACTTAATGTTTCCTCCACGTGAAAGTTTTTTCTTCTTAACTGACATAAAAAAAAAGCTTGAGGGAGTCCTTAAGAGTCTGTAAACCAAGTCCGACTAGACCAAAAATATGGGCGCGTACCTGCTCGCAGCGACGCGTTGCCTTCCTCCAGTTCACCCTCCCTTTCCACCCCCTTCCTCTTTTCTCCTCCTTTCCCTTTCCTTCAACGTTTTGCTCGCAGCCTGCTCGTGTCGACCAAGTACGACTACACGAAGCTCAGCGCGGGCGCGTTCCTCCTGGCCATGACCATCATCGGGTTCATCCTTGCCTTCTTCCTCCTCGTGCTCCTCGTCGCGTCGCTCTTCGTCTCCGCGCTCCGCCCCTTCCAGGGCAAGCTGCGCCTCTTCCAAGTTGTCGAGTGCTGGGTGAGTCACCTGCGCGCCTCGTAGAGATTTATGCCCAGCCCCCCATGTCATGCGACTCGGATTCTTAGCGCGCTCCGCCCCTTCCAGGGCAAGCGGCGCCTCTTCCAAGTGCTGGGTGTTAGTTCGTCGCGCGTTAATTAAGATTCTCAAAAGCAACTCAGATTCAGACCGCGACTCAGATTGGGCCTGGGCGTTTGCCCGTCTCTCTTTTCTCGGCCGCCAAGGTTTCATTTCGCTCACTCTCTTCTCTCCTTCCCTCCTTCCCTCCTTCCCTCCCACCCACAAATCCGTCCGTCCCACTCCCCGTCCTCGTTGCTTCCTCGACAGCTGCTTTCGCTGCTCCTCTTCGCGGCGGCGTGCACGGCGGGCGCGCAGGCGTCGAGCTGCGTCAACACAGAGGGAGGCAGCTACTTCGGCTACTACATGTACGTATTTCCTTGTTGCAAAGACAGTTTTTTGCTTCGCCAACAGATGGCGGGTCGCAGTTCGCATTGTTCTTTACTGCTGTCTCCGTTAAAAAGAAGCAATCGCACACATTGCAAGCACTTCATCTATGTCAAAACTTGAAAATCGAGCAGCACACAAACAGAAAATAATTCTATAAGCCATTCTTCCCCTCCCCACCCGCACCCCACTCCCCTCTTCCCCCCCGCCCCACCAAATTCTTGACCTGCTGCAGTCCTGACAACAATGACTGCGGGCTGGTCAAGGGTGGCCATGGCCTTCCTTGCCTCCTTCGCCTTTTGAGTCAGCTCAAAAGCATCCCTCTTTCCCCCTCTCCCCTTCTACTCTTGATCTGCTGCAGTCCTGACAACAATGACTGCGGGCTGGTCAAGGGATCTGTCGCCATGGCCTTCCTCGCCTCCTTTGCCTACATTGGCGGCTTCTGGTATGCGCTTCTCTCCCTCTCCTCTTCCCCCTCTCTCCCATGTCTTCCCGCTCTTTTGCTCTCTCCTTCCACACACTCACCTGCATACCCACCACCCTCTTGCTCCCATTTTCTGTCTTCGCAATGTCACCCATGGAGTTCTGCCCTTAATGTTTTGTCACCCATCTGTACCCATGCCAAACGTTTCGTTTCCGCAGGTACTACGCACTCGTGTCATATCACAGGCGATAAAGCCTGTGGCAGAAAGATGGGGCACTATTTATCGAGCAGTCAATAGCTGTCTGATCTTTATAGGTTCAAGAGGGCTCTCCTGAAAAAAATTTCCCTAGCAGTTTGTTTTTGGCCTGTATGAGTACTTTTTATCAAACTGGGTCATTGCCGTGCTAACACTGATGTGCAAAACTAATTGTGATTTATGTTAAAATTAATTCTCTGGGAAGTGCTCAATGCTCTGCTGACTCTTTTCAAGGTGCAATATGCCATGATAGGTCGTGGAGGCTGTCATGCACATGCTAATGAATTGCAGCAGGGCCACGTAAGAGGGTCCTGGATATATTGATTTTACCTAGGATGTTCATCATGTTTTTTTTCCGTGTGTGCTTGTTTTTACAGCAAATTTCAGTGTGCCAGCAGTATCTTTCAGCGTTTTTTTCCCTGATCAATAATATCCGAATGCAGATTTTCATATCCGTGTAACTAGTTCCGCTAAATCGAAGCACACATGCTTACTCCTTACCTTGTTGACTGGATGGAAAAGGCTGAATTTCCTCAGCACAAGCAATTGGCCCAATCCCATCGCCTCTCCAGGCAAAATCTTCGCTGCAATTCTCGTACAGCACAGCACAGCACTTCGCCCACGCCCAACCTTTCTCGACCTCCCAAACCGAGTCCCGCCTCCTTTCTTGGCGCCCTCATCCCGCATGGCACTTTCGAAGCTCACCGTGCAACAGCCAATTCCCAACCATCGCACCACACCACACCACACCACACCGTAATAAATGCCACACCCAACACCCCACCAGCACTTTCATCCAACCAAGCCCCCCTTCCCAGCGCCAGCATGACCACAACGGAGATACTCAGCCAAGAAAGTAGATTTTTTTTCTTGCAGAGGTGATTTATTCAACGAACCCAGCGCCGCTCGAGTTTATCTCACTTAGACGCCGCACAAATTCCATCTCAGCCTCCCTGTCTGAAAAGAGTCGCTCCCACCGTCCGCCAAACACCATGGCCGCCGAGTACCCTCCTCCTGAGAGCATCCCGCCGTACGCCGCGGGTAACCCGCCGCCGACAAACTACGCGCTTCCTCCAAGTTATCCACCGACGGGAGCAAACCCTCCTCCGCCTGCGGGCTACGCGGATGTTGAGGCGGGCGGCGGCGCGGGCAAGCCGCCCGCCGCGACTGGCGGGGAACCCGAGTCGTGTGGGTCTTCTTGGAAGTCGACGTTGATCGGCATCGGGTTGCGCGTCTTCGAGCTTCTCTGCTGCATTGCCTCCTTCACGTGCGTCGTTTGCGATGAGACGCCACTATTTGCGGTGACGAAGACTCGGTCTCGCCTTACGATTCTCACAAAGAAGCCCAACCACACTAAGAATCAGTGCGGGGCATCACCTCTCTCCCCTCTTTTCCTCTTTCTCTCCTCCTCCTTTCTCCATTTCCCTTTCCCCTGTTCCTCTCAGCCTGCTCGCCGTGACCGAGGGAGACTATTGCGAGTACAGCACGGGCATGTTCCTCCTAGCCATGACCATCATCGGCCTCATTCTCGCCTTTTTCCTCCTCGTGCTCCTCGTCGCTTCGCTCTTCGTCTCCGCGCTCCGCCGCTTCCAGGGCAAGCTGCGCCTCTTCCAAGTCATCGAATGCTGGGTAAGACCGTTCTTTTTGTTCTTTGTTCTTTTTAGACCCCCCAAAAATGCTCAGACTCTGGCAGAGATTCGAATATTGTCAGATCGTTTCTTACTCTGCATATTTCTTCCCGTCCTCTGCCGTCCGAGGTTTTATTTCTCTCATCCTTCCTCCCTCCAATCTCCCACCATCCCTCCCTCCCTCCCTCCCTCCCTCCCTCCCTCCCTCCCTCCCTCCCTCCCTCCCTCCCTCCCTCCCTCCCTCCCTCCCTCTCTCCCTCCCTCCCTCTCTCCGTCCCTCCCTATAACGCCTGTGGGCTAGTGTTAAAGGCATTCCGCTGCGCCAAATAACACCCTCGTTTTGACCCAGTGGGTAGCGAGGTGTTATACTCCCTCCCTCCCTCCCTCCCTCCCTCCCTCCCTCCCTCCCTCCCTCCCTCCCTCCCTCCCTCCCTCCCTCCCTCCCTCCCTCCCTCCCTCCCTCCCTCCCTCCCTCCCTCCCTCCCTCTCTCCTCCCTCCCTCTCTCCGTCCCTCCCTATAACGCCTGTGGGCTAGTGTTAAAGGCATTCCGCTGCGCCAAATAACACCCTCGTTTTGACCCAGTGGGTAGCGAGGTGTTATACTCCCTCCCTCCCTCCCTCCCCCTCCCTCCCTCCCTCCCTCCCTCCCTCCCTCCCTCCCTCCCTCCCTCCCTCCCTCCCTCCCTCCCTCCCTCCCTCCCTCCCTCCCTCCCTCCCTCCCTCCCTCCCTCCCTGTATCCATCCCAAACTCCCTTCTCCCTTCCTCCCACCCACCAATCCGTCGGCCCCCCTCCCCGCCCTCGTTGCTCCCTCGCAGCTGCTCTCGCTGCTCCTCTTTGCGGCGGCGTGTATGGCGGGCGTGCAGGCGTCGGGCTGCATCAAGACCTCGAGAGCCAGTGTATATGGCAACTACTACTTCTACTACGGCTACTACATGTGCGTGCTCCGCTGTCGCAAAAAGAGTCGTTTCTTTTCTCTCTTATTTCTTCGCCAGCAGATTTCGTGGATCAGTTTGCACTATTCGTCACACCTGTCTGCGTTACCAGAAGGCGATTCTATAGCGGAAAACGCTTCCTTGTACGGTATGTCGAACAGCTTGATTAACGTGTATTATGTCAAGCCAATTTTATCCCTCCACATTCTTTCTTCACCTGCGGCAGTGGTTTATTCGATGACTGCGAGCTGATCAAGGGATCTGTTGCTATGGCCTTCGTCGCCTCATTTGCCTACATTTGCGGATTCTGGTATGCGCTCCCCCCCCCCCCCCCCCCCCCCCCCCCCCCCCCCCCCCGCCCCTTCTCGCCCTTTCTCCCTCAGTCCCTATCTCCCTCCCTCTCTCTCTCTCTCTCTCTCTCTCTCTCTCTCTCTCTCTCTCTCTCTCTCTCTCTCTCCTCCTCCCCTTTTCCTTCCTCCCTCCCTCCCCCCCTCCTTCTCGCTCTCTATTCCACTCATTCCCACCTTCATCCCACCCTCTTCATCCCATTGACTGACTTCACAATGTCACTCGTGGTGCCTTGGCCTTGACATTCTGTCACCCATCTGTACTCATGCCAAACGTTTTGCTTCCGCAGGTATTACGCGCTCGTGTCATATTTCAGGCCATGAAGCCAATGGCAGAATAATGGTGCACAATGTTACGAGCAGTCAATTGCTACCTGAGCTGTATATGTTCCAGTCTGGTGGGCCTGCACAATGATTTTGATTTTGGCTTCTATCTCTTGCCGCAACAGTCAAACCAGCAATAGTCAAACCGTCTCATGCTAACAATTGTGAAATGGAAATAAATGCTGCAGGAAAACAATGTTACAAGTTCACTCCATGCTGTCTTCCCAACGTAGTACACCGCGCCACAAATCTTAGAAGTTTGTCTCCACAATTCAAATGCAGCAGGTCACCATGACTCTGATGAGCCATCTGTTGAAGATTATATAAACAGCAATGATTCTCCAAGGTTTTGCTACTTCGTCTGCTTCATCTGTTGTTACAACCCGGCAAAGTACAGTGTACCAGCACTGATTCTTCGCCGTTTCCCCCGACAGTAACCGTGGAAACTCAGCCGTGCAGATTTGCTGTCAATGGATGACTGAAACCGTAGATTGAAGCACACTTCCTCACACAGTGGTCTTTGTTACATGGCAATGCACAAACCCGGGGCGAGTTATATCAACAGCTGGTCGAGGCCGGGTGAACAGCTGAATGCCTAATAGCTACAGTCAACTCTGTACATACAGCATGGATAGTGTGTTGAATATCCAATATAGTATGCACTAGGCCTCATTAACCCCCATTCTTTAACCCTCTCTGTAATGGACACCGGAGCAATTCCGAGAAGTCACAGAGCATGACAGAACATTCCCATTAGCCCCGCTTCATGGCAAAGACATAGTACCTGCAAGCAAGCAAGCAAGCAAGCAAGCATGAGGAGGAATGCAGAGGTGCAGATGGTTAATGAAGGGGAACAGGAGAGGGAACAGGAAAGGGAACAGGAAAGGAAAGGGAACAGGAAAGGGAACAGGAGAGGGAACAGGAGAGGGAACAGGAAAGGGAACACGAGAGAAACAAGGTTGCACGCCCATGGTTTCCACTTCTAAAGTGCCCTCGCCCTCCCCACCCTCCTGCACTCACTATAAGGTGCCCGTAATAAGTGCTCGCTACACACACTAGAACATGAGCGCTACATCACTGCAGAGTGCAAGCTATATATACCATATTTGTTATAAGCTTCACCTGTACTCACCAGTGTGTGCCCATGAAAGCGAATGAGGCGAGAAAGGCAAACGCGACAGACGTCTTGGCGTAGGTGCATGTGTTGGTTGCCGGCAGGACCGCCTCATAGGTGCTGCGATGGGGGAGTGGGAGTGGGAGGAGCGAGTGGGCGCAGGGGAGTGGGAGAGAGAGAGTGGGAGAGAGAGAGAGAGAGAGAGAGAGAGAGAGAGAGAGAGAGAGAGAGAGAGAGAGAGAGAGAGAGAGAGAGAGAGAGAGAGAGAGAGCATCTTACCCAGCCTCTAGCACCTAGCCCTCTCATCCTTCTCCCCCTATATAATGGCCTCTCGGCCTCTGATCTAACTCATTGTTCGCTTGGTTCTCCAAAGCATTTTCCCGGCGCTCGCGCCGGCGCTCGCGTGCGCGGCCTTCGGCCGCGCGTGAGGGGTGGCCTACAAGACTAGCACAACCGTGGCCAACTAGAAGGACATCAACAACAACAATGGCAACCAAGTACATCTAGGAGCAAACACATGGAGCGGGTCTACACGCGAACGAGGGCCGCGCCTACATGCGGTCCGCCTCAAGCTCACCTAGCATTTCGCGCGTGGTCATCCACATCAAGCGGACCACTGACACGGTGGCGCCGACAAACGTCAACAGGA